AAAACTGTAAATACGGTCCTTCTCAAAAAATTTGCATATTGTGATTAAGTTCATTATTGTCTGTAATGTACTGATAAACATTAGACTTTCATATATATTAAACTTATTACACAAAACTGAAATACCGTATTTTCCGGACTATAAGCTGCTACTTTTTTCCAACGCTTTGAACCATGCGGCTTATAATGAGGTGCGGCTTTACTGAAGATTTTCCTTCACCTGCCAGGGGGCGCTTTAGCAGAAAGTGAAACAGGTGGAAATCAAAAGTGGAAATCGAAGAAAGTGCTCATTTTAATTTAGCACATGCAAGCAGCCGGCACGACGATTCTTTTTTTTTTTTTCAAATCATACCCCCTCATCATGGTAACTACATGTATGAGTTCATATGATGCCGCACTTAAGTTGAAGGCCATCGATCTGGCAGTAAAGGAGGGAAACAGTGCTGCCGCACGTAAGCTTGGCATTAGGGCCCGACCGATATATCGGCCGGCCGATATAGAGGTCATTAACACTATCGGCCATAATAGCCAAAAAGACGGCCGATATGGCGTTACCAGCAGATGGTGCCAGCTTTATGAACTCATGTTGTGTGGTTCCACTCCTCGGGTGGTGGAGCCACAGTCACAGCACACATGTAGCGGAGCACACGCCTGTACATGGTGGCTCTGGATGTTTCCACTCCAGACTCAGTCCACTGAATCCGCAGGTCCCCCAAGGTCTGGAATCAGTCCTTCTCCACAATCTTCCTCAGGGTCCGGTCACCTCTTCTCGTTGTGCAGCGTTTTCTTTTCTGCCACACTTTTTCCTTCCCACAGACTTCCCACTGAGGTGCCTTGATACAGCTCTCTGGGAACAGCCTATTCGTTCAGAATTTTCTTTCTGTGTCTTACCCTCTTGCTTGAGGGTGTCAGTGATGGCCATCTGGCCAGCAGTCAGGTTGGCAGTCTTACCCATGATTGCGGTTTTGAGTAATGAGCCAGGCTGGGAGTTTTTAAAAGCCTCAGGAATCTTTTGCAGTTGTTTAGAGTTAATTAGTTGATTCAGATGATTAGGTTAATAGCTCGTTTAGAGAACCTTTTCATGATATGCAAATTTTTTGAGATAGGAATTTGGGGTTTTCATGAATGTATGCCAAAATCATCAATATTAGAAACAATAAAAGACTTGAACCACTTCAGCGTGTAATCTAATATATATGAAAGTCTAATGTTTATCAGTACATTACAGAAAATAATTAACTTTATCATAAAATGCTAATTTTTTGAGAAGGACCTGTATGGGCCTGATATATATTGGTCTACCCCTAATGTGCACCTCAGAGGTTGATCAGCGCTATGACCCAAAGCACAAACATCTGAAAATACCATCAATAGACTGAATACGTCTACAGAGTAGATGAAAAAGCGTGATTTATAGTGTGGGGGCAAATGTTTGTGTGTGTCGTCCGACTATTAACCGTTAAGGGCGTCAATAGCCGGCTAAAGAAATTTAGGAAAACGTGCATCCCTAAGCTGTCATTCACCCATGCACACACACATGCACACCCTGGTGGTGAGGAGCTACATAGTAGCCACAGCTGCCCTGAGGCACACGGACAGAGGCGAGTCTGCCTTACACAGGCACCACCGGTCCCTCTGAACACCACCAGCAGGCAAGGTGGGTTAAGTGTCGTGACCAAGGACACAAGGACAGACAGAGTGGGGCTCGAACCTGCAACCTTCTGATTACGAGTGAGCATTTAACTCCTGCGCCACCGTGTCTGTCACTAATAGGGTTTGAACAACTGTATCCTATCGATGTGAGCATAACAGTCATTAAAAATAAGCTGTAGAGCAGACTGTTAATTTTAAGTTTTACTCAGATAACAAAATAAACTTTTCAGTCTCATACCTGTTAAAGCAACATGAAGAGAGTTATCAGAAATGACCCAGCATCAAACAATTCTTAAAAGTGTATATAAGTACTTATTTGGTGTCAACATCTGGCAAACAATCAGGTCTAGTAAACATAGCCTGGTTCAGCTTAGGTAAAGAGTAACATGAGTGTTTTCTATTGTTTAAGGTTTAACTGTTGCAGTTTGATAAACTCCACCTGTTCTGAATTCACCCATGGGAATGTAACGATGCCAACCATTTACCTCGACTTTAAATATTCACAGAATAGAATATTCCTTTATTAGTCCTTCAGAGGGGGAAAAAGTACCTGTTATAAATACATTTTAGGAAATTGAACTGTAACACATATGGAAAACATTCATAGAAATAATTTCATTCATGGCATGTTTTCAATTTATGTTTAAAACCGAACAGGAAAAACTTTTTATAGCTAATAAATTAACATATTAAATGTCTTAAGTGTGCGTCAAAGTGAACCATAATACACTGTATCACCCTTATGTACAGGCTTGTATACTTGCGATAAAATTTCCAAAAACACGACGGCATTTTTGTCTGTATGTGTCCCGTATTTTATCCTCCAAACCCATAAATGTGATCTAATAAATCTGGCATTACCCTGGCCAAAACCTGATGTCCTGGTTTCTGTTTTAAATAGGGCTGTAGCGAAGCCTCGATGACGTCGACGGCTCGATTCTAAAAATTTGTCGACGTCAGATCCGGTAGTCGACGCACCACGCCCACTTGTTGCATCCCCAGGAGTTTGTAAATAGAGGAGGAATCTGCCTGTTTTTCCTCTAGTTCGCCCTCTTCTCCGCCTGCACCAACATCTCCGCCAAATACTGAAGACCCGGAACAACGTCCGTCCGCTACTAGATTCCTTTCCTGTTTTGCCCGCCTTCGTCTCCCGGCAACGGACAACAACTTCCGGGGTCAGATGCGCTGCTCCGTCTCTATCGCAGATGTAGAAAATCACCGGGAGCGTTTCTCCCTTCATAAAGGAGCTTCTTTCAGACATTAGGAGAGCTGTTTTGGTAGTAGCAGTCTCTCCTCCGTGCTGGTCTGTTTGCTGGTATTTTTTGTTTATTTAAACTTGGTAACTTGAACTTAAAATTGGTAAAGCTACTGTTAGCATTTTCGCTAACAGCTTCTTGCGTTTGGATAAGCTGTTATGTTTTGGTTTAGAGTTCATCTTTTTTGTGGTGTAGATCTCCCTTTTATTACATTTAGAGTGTTGTGGGTTTTCGGTTTAGTTTAGAATATCACCTTGAGTTTGGTTTAACCACCCAGTTTAGAGTTTGGACCTTTGGAGATTCTTATTTTGGTCCAGAACCCTGTAATCTTTGCCCAGTGGGACATCCCTACTTATTTGTACTTTTGTTTTAATTCCCCACAGGTAGAATTCGTTTTGTTATTCCCAACTTGTGGATGGAAAGATTTATGTTTTTTTGTAGTTGTAAATAAACCTGATCATCATTTTAACTTTTTAAATCCCACGTTATCGTCCCTTCCTTTTTGCACACGAGCCAAACTCCCCAGGAAGGGTCGTAACACCACTCGCCTCACGCACATAAGTTACCAAAACAAAGCAGTATGGAGACACTCCATCTTCAACCACCTCTCAGGCAGCAGCCTGCACTCCCAAGTTCTACATGTCACCAGAACATAACCAACCGCAACACAATAAAAGCAGTGTTATACAAAATGGAAGGCCTGTAGTGTTTATTCTCTTACAGTACCAGTTTATCAATTTTTTTAGGAATTTATTAGATTTTTTGGGTTTTATTAACTGTGCAATAGAAAAATAATCATTTGATTAATTGTTTAAATAGTCATTAGAATAGTCGACATTCGATAAAATAATCGTCAGAATAATCGTTTTAACAATAATCGTTTACCCCCAGCCCTAGTTTTAAACGAAGACTCGTTTACCAACAATGTTACATTCATAAAGCTGTTCTCACTTTTTTATGAGACATTTGATAGCAAATTTAAAAGCTTCATTTAAAACGAATCTCGTGATAATACAAGACAGCGTTGTATGGTGATGGCTGGTGTCTGTGAAGTGACCGGTAGCATCATGTTTGCATCACTATCTCAGTCACCAAAAATAAACACAAAGGTCCTTAAAGTACCCCTCTGGTGTCGCCACAGTTCAGAAGATGGAATTAAAATCTGGTGAGACAAACATCTCTCACGGTCACTGAAATACAAAGGATGCGGACATGTAAACAAAAAGGAGATGCAGCCAAGGTGCCATTTGATTTCCACTGAGTGTACCATCCCCCACCTCTAGGTGAGACAAGAAAGATGACAGCGGCGTGAGGGGATGCGGCGCTCAACTGGGTGTCAGGCTTCTCAAAGATGCTTCCGACATACATTAAAAACCTACGTGAACTGATGGATTAATGTCTCTAGTCTCCTATGAGTTTATGAACCCACCGCGTAGCTCACCGAGATGAATAAAGGCACTAATGTCTTCAGCCGGAGAAACATTAGCACTGATTTAACATCACGCAAAGCACAACAGTCACAACCAACAGGAAAAACCTGGTTGGAGCAACAAACAATGAGATAAAAACTATGAATAAACAATCCTAAAATGGGCAAAGTGTGGGAAAATTATGCATTTATAAACGCAACCGGCTGGAAGAAGAGGGCTAATCGCGATCACCTTTTTTTTTTTTACAATCACTTTTCATCACACAAGCGTCCGCCATTTTCTTAGCTTTGTGTCTGGACGAACGCTAATTGTAAACATTTTTTAAACAGAATAAAGACAGCGGGGGGTATTTATTATGAACCAAATGAAGCTTGTTTCGCTCATTAGCTAATAAGATAGCTAACTAACCACAACAGCGGACAGAATGCGGGTACGGACTCGCTTTACCTTCGGTGGGCTAGCTAACAGATCGGCCTGAATTACCTACCGATCACGGCCTCTTAAAAAGGCCAAAGAAGGCCCAACCCCGAGCGGCCTCTCCACAACAATAAAGAATTAAAACAGAAAACCAAACGCAAAGAAACCCAAACAGCCACAAACACGCGCAGACACAAACAAAGCTCCAACAACTGGCGTCCCGGGAGCAAAAGTAACCCGCGTACCAGATTTATGCTGCAAGGATGGCCTCTGTCCGCTCCACGGCTTCCCAGGCCGCCTTGTTCCCCCAGGCTCGGGCAGGATTCAGTCGGGAATTTTGTGTTATTTGGGCGGGCCAGAAATGAGCTGAGAAGGAGGGGTTAGGGGTTGTTTCTGAAGCACACCGCTGAAAAACGAAGCTGGACGTGTGGAGCCAGAGATCTTGTCATGCTACAGCACCCCGCTTCTCCAGCTCCGAGGCCGCCGTCAGCGCGACACGTCACAGCCCGAGAGCGGCAGGAAACTGCGGAAGAGTTCAGGTGGAAATCAGCCGACAGCCACCGAACAGGCCATAATCTTTTGTCAAACCGTGCACTGTAGCGTTAATTTGAATTAATTTAAGCCCAAAGGCTGCTGGAGCTGCCTGACAACGGATCCACGTTGAACTGAAACAAGCAGACTGGTAGAAAGATTAATTTTACACAAAAATGCATCACAGCAAGTTCATTTTTAGTGCAAACAAAAATTTCACCCCAACTTTTTGTATCTTTAAGCTGTTCTCCAAACTTTATTTCAAAGTTAAATAACATACAAGAAAAATTAATAAGTAACAACGCTAAAGCTGACACTCTTGTTAGTAATATAGAGATGTCAACATATTTGACGTAAAAGCATCTCATTCTTAGAAGAAATTAACACACACACACACACACACACACGTTATCAGATAACACTTAATTTTATCTCCAGCACTTTGTGCAACAGCTCCAGACTCACCAGCCACCATTATAACAAATCTAATTGCATGATCTGTCATAATCTATTTTATGCATTAAAATAGTTTAAACTATATTTATTCAAAATTTTATTCAGTTTCAATGTAAAGTTTCATCCACTGACTTCATTTCACACTCAACTTGGCATTAATGTCATATAAAAATTGTAATGCACTAACTGTGAGAATATTTCAGATTAGGATTGATTATAAACATATTCAGTTTTTCTAAATAGAATTGTAAGGACAAACATGATTTTGATTCGTTTTTTGTTAATCTTTCCTTTTACAAATATGTCTTTATTACAGCCCATTTAAGTGTACTCAATGAAAACGATACTTGTTAGCAGTGTACATAAATATTACAATGTTATTCCTAGATTAGTGATTTTATTTTACAAGATGCATTTTGCTTAATCAGTTTATAATCAAATGTAACTGGTAAGCAGATATTAAACCGTACAAAATCAGATTCTGATTATCACTTTCGCCAGAATTCAGTGGAAGTTACTGATCAGTAAACTCTCATTTGCTCGTCATTCTCAGCAGCCCTTCTTTTCCAATCTCAAAGAGACGCCAGCCCTCCCGTGAGGATAGATCAGCTGCACCCCTCCTCTTGTAAAACTCGATAGACTCCTTGTTGTTTTCTGCTACGATGAAATGCATACCGCTACAGCGTGTCTTTACTGCAGTCTGGAAAGATAAAAAGGTAATGAACACCTGAAAGTAAAATGTCACCAGGAAAAAGCTGTAAATGCACACAAACAACACACTGTACCTCACTTAGAGCCTTTAGGATCTGAGAGCCAATGCCAAGACCTGGTAAAATATTAAACCTGCAGGTTAATTATAACACCGGTCATGTCAATGTTGTAAAACGTCCGGTAATCATTACATTTTAGCACCACAGTTAAACAACTTTACCTCGAAACTCCTGCATTACATAAAAGTCTTCCAGGTAAAGCAGCTTCCCAATCCAAGGGTCATATGTGAAGTAGTACATTGCAAATCCAATCACAGAGTATCCTTTAAAAACAAACAGTCTGGATTCAAGTCACTTTTCATTTGGGTTTGTTCTTTCTTGCTCTGTAGGACAGGGTTTTACCTTCTGAGCTCTGCTCTTTTGGGACTTCGGAAACTAAGCAGTGGTAGAAAGGATGATCGCCAAAACCATCTTCAAGCAGATCTAAAGGAAATACACTTTGAAAGACTCCCCTAATTTTTTTAAAGCCTGAGATAAACTTATTTTAACCAAAGTGAATGCATGATGTGCAGGAACTCCTCTTTAACAGAATTAGCACAATGCTGTCAATCATACATGTATTCTGCCCTCTGATGGTGCCTCAAGTACTACAGGTGACAAGTGCAACTTTTATTATACATTTTATTGTTACATAATATACAATGCAATTACCAAAATCTAATTTCTGACCATTTTTCCATGTACCAGGTCATCAGTATTTAGAGTAGGATAGTAAATCGTCAGCTAAACTCCAGTACCTTTCTCGGTGAGCATGACCTTCTCTTCCATCTCTTCAAATTTAGCAAGTTCCTAAAATGCAAAAAGAAAGAAACGGAGTCAAACGATTATTGAAATAGAAGCATATTTGCAACAAAGTTATCAAACATCTGCATTACCTTTATGAGTCGCAGGATGTCGGGCACATCCTTTGGCTCAGCCGTCCGTAATATGACATTGGCCATTTTCTTTTTTTACCCCTTTTCCCTTTGCTGACTAGTCCTCTGAATGTGAATAAAAGCAAAATTTGTTTCTTCATTCGCTCCTCAGGAGTTTACCCCCCGACAGAGAATTAGGAAACCAGCATACAAAGAAAGGAATCGGTTAGTTGCAGAGTCCTACACCAGCTGCAGGAACCTGCCTCTTATAGTTTCTTAGAAGAGACACACCCAGTCATAAACCCATATTTGGGCACATATCCTGTTTCTCTTCTTTATGAACTGCTTATCTCTGTGTTGGTAACTGTATGGCTGTTGATTAAAAGGTAAATATTAACCACATCTGTAAAATCAACACGATACCTCTGTGGCTCAATTATCTGTTTGTTAAACTTAGAAGTTTTGTCCCAAATATCAACAATTGTTTACATCCTTCAAACATAACATACAATCAAAATAGTTTAGATGGAAAACAAAGCCATTTTAAATATTAATAAACTAAGGTACAATAATCTTAAACTTTATTTACAAAGTGCACCTGCCCCAATGCCCTGCTGGAAAAAACTCCGGCCCTTCAACAAATTTATGTTTATGTTTATTTATTTGGCAGATGCTTTTATCCAAAGTGACGTACATTTGTTAACCGATAGGGCATGTTGTGATCTGTGGGGAAAACCGGAGTATGCACGGGGAGAACATGCAACTCCACGCAGAAAGGCCACAGCCGAGTTTCAAACCCGCAACTTTTTTGCTGCGAGGCAACAGTGCTAACAACTGTGCCACTATGCAGTACACAGATTTAGTTGAAGACCCCTGCTTTAGATGGTCTCTCAGCCGAAGTTGAGTTACTGGCAATTAACTTTTGGGCTACAATCCCATTTTTCCAGTTTCAGCTGTATTCCTATTAACTTGTTTTGCAGAGATTGTGTTTGTTCCTGCTGAAGTCAAAAGCATTTTAAACCCATTGATTGTTCTAATTACATAAAAACAGATCAGATTTTAGAAATGAGCAGTTTGATTATTTCTTGTTTTATGCATTTAAACAAAGTTAATTTACACAAATGTCTGCAAACTACAAACCTTTTTTAAACGACGGGTTTTACATTCAGGCTTCATTTGAGTTGACAGAATAAAAGTTCATCATAAAGTTGGGCAGTAGTGTGAAAGGTCGGACGTCTGTTGTGCAGTTCAAAGTGCGCTTGTAAACTGTTGCGTTTATTTAAGTACTCTGTATTTTTCCATAATCCCGCCCATACGTGGCCTATTTCCCAGCACATAAACAGAAATTGCTCATGGGCATTTTGACACACATAGTATTAAACCAGTCAGAACATCCTGTATCAAAGATGGTGTTTTTCTGAGTTGTCTTGGTAACATATCTCAAACTTGTCAGCCTCTGATTGGCTACGGTTACGTCCCCGACAGGAGATGTTAAAATGTGAAGGAGAGGGTAACGTAAGAAATTTCACAGTGGAGTTTAAAATGGTTTTAATTGTAGTAAAAGGTTCTAAAAATGAGCAAACAGATGGCGAGCATTATTAAGATAATGCAAAACTAACAAAAATTCTCAAAAAGGTTAACATCACACAAATTACCAACTATAAAAACACCTGGTACAATCTTAAATTAAAAGCTTTACCGAACAGAAGGTGTTTAAAACCGGAGTCAATAAAATTGCAACAAACCAAGTTAACCTTTATAATCAACAAGCATCAAAAAGATCCCTCTGGATCACTCAGAGTTTAATCTATAAAACTCATCCAAACAAAGGGGTTGAAAACAAACTAAGGCCTGGAGGACAGCAGAACCCCTGCAGCTCAGCTGTGCTCCTCAGCAGCCTGGAAGAGAGGAGGAGGAGGGGCGGTGTCAGGCTGATCACCGGGGCTGGGTGATCCTGGCTCCCGAATCTCACTGGCCAGGCTGGTAACCATGTGCAAATCATAACATCAAAACCTTAAAACTGGATCATCCTGGGTGATTCGACAGTTCTAAAGAATCGCTCAGAACGGCCATCTGTAGCAAAACCTCTTTAACCATCAAAGATTTTGACACGTCGTCAAAACCTTTTTGCACCTGCAAAGCTGATGAGCAAACAGTTCCTGCATGAAAAACAAAGCTGATATTGTCAGACTCCTTAAGAATCCGCCAAATGCACGGTTCCATCCAGCTGTTGTGACCCGAGACATCTCTGGACTGAAGAGTCGGTACCACGGTATTCTACAGCCCTGTAGTGCCAGAGGTCAGCCGACCCCTGCGACTTTCGGATCCACCGAGAGGGTCTCTCCAAAACGGGTGAAGTAGACATGACAGATTGCATCTGAATGTTCTTCTGATGATAACAACTTCATAGCTTAGAGCAAACCAAATTCTTTTCACCAGAACTCAGCTTACTTTGATAAGGAAGCTCTGACTGACATCGCATTCACACATAGGTTCCTTCATCATGTTTAGTTAGATCCACTCACAGTAAATGCTTAGTTAATTAGTCATGTTTTTAATTGTTTGTAAAATAAAATCTTACTTTTATGAACCCGACTCTTTCTTGAAATAACACAAAGTGTGGTTGATCACTGAAAAAGCAAAGAACCTAGATCTTCTGAATTAAATCCTAGAATCTTCTGAATAATTACAATAAAGACCTCGCAGGTTAATATTTTATATTTATATAGAATATTACATCTTCCTGGTCATAACAAATAAAATCACCTATTCGCCTACGCTACACCACCCCCTGAGAATTCTAACAGAGCCAGTCAGCGCTGAGTAGCGTACATCACACACCATAACGCTGAGTTTCTCAAACATGGCGAATGAAGCAGAGTTCACTGCGGCTCTTTCCTTTGTTCTAAATGACTTGGACGTCTTTAAAACAACAAGTAGAAGTGCTAAAAGCCTTTTTTCTAAAGAAAGATGTTTGCGCTGTCGCCAGACGCCATTTTTGACTACAGCTAAAAAACTACAGCATTGTGCGGTACAGTCGGCATTTCTGTCTTTTTTTCTGATTGGTTATTTTTGAGCTGACTAGTCCCGCCCCTCATGTGCCTCTCTGCCTGTGAGTTACCAGACTCTTTCTCTGTGCAGTATTAAACAGAGGAGGAGTCTGGCAGGCCAGGCTACAAGAAATCATAAATCATTCTTCGTTCTGGGTTTGATTTACTGCTAAATGCAGCAGCACTTTGTTTATAATCAATTTCAGTTGCACTTTCTGCTTGTTTGAGCAAATAAATTAAGCTTTAAGAAGCTTTATTTCTGGAATTTATTTATTATCATTGACATTAAATTGAAGTTGGACAGATTCTCAGAGGAACGCAGAGGGCAATATTTTCATTTCTAGTCCTTCACAAATTGATGATCTAGTTCATAATGTTACTTCTTATTTACGTGTGGCATTAGATGACGTTGCCCCTTTAAAAAATAAGGTAATTAGGGACAGGAAGTTAGCTCCCTGGTTTAATTCTCATTTACGAACTTTAAAACAAAACTCTAGAAAATTGGAGAGAACATGGCGTTCTACATACCAGGAGGAGTCCTACTTATCCCGGAAAAATAGTTTTGTGCTTAATCAAAATAAGCTTCTACAAGCTAGAACTGCTTATTTTTCAAGGCTATTTGAGGAGAATAAGAATATTCCAAAATTTCTTTTCAGTACAGTTATAAAACTTACACAGAATCATAGCTCTGAACCATCTATTCCCTTAGCCGTAAGCAGCAACGACTTTATGGGATTTTTCACGAGTAAAATCAATTCTATTAGAAACAAAATCATTAGCATCCTCCCTAACGCAATTTCTTCTTCCTCAGTAAGTGAGGCAGCATCAGAGGTGACTGTAGAACCTCATCTGTGCTTGAACCGTTTTGATCCAGTTGAGCTTTCAGAATGATCAAAAATATTAACTTCATCTAAACCTTCAACTTGCATTTTAGATCCAATCCCAACCAAATTATTTAAAGATGCATTTCCTTTGGTTACTGCCCCCATTTTAGATATAATCCATCTATCCTTAGTAAATGGATATGTACCACAGGATTTTAAGGTTGCTGTAATCAAACCTTTACTTAAGAAGCCCTCTCTGGATCCAGATGACCCAATGAATTATCTAACCTTCCATTTTTATCGAAAGTCCTTGAGAAAATAGTGGCCATCCAAGTATGTGAGCATTGAAACACTGATGATCTGTTTGAGGAGTTTCAGTCTGGTTTCAGAGAGTATCACAGCACTGAAACTGCATTAGTGAAAGTTATAAATTATATTCTCATGGCCTCAGATAAGAATCATGTGTCTGTTCTAGTCTTGTTAGATCTCAGTGCTGCTTTTGACACAGTAGATCACAATGTTCTTGTAGAAAGGCTTGAACATGTTGTAGGGATCAAAGGAACAGCGCTAGGCTGGTTTAAATCCTACCTGTCTGATAGATTTAATTTTGTTAATGTACATGACAAATCTTCTTCATACTCCAGGTTTACTTGTGGAGTACCACAAGGGTTCAGTGCTTGGACCAGTTCTTCTTCCTATATATATATGCTCCCAATTGGTAAAATCATTAGCAGCATGGGATAAACTTCCACTGTTATGCTGACTATACTCAGTTATATTTATCCATTAACCCTGATGAACCTAATCGGTTAGTTAGATTACAGGTTTGTCTTGAAGACATAAAAAATCTTATGACTCAACACTTTCTGCTTTTAAATCAAGACAAGGCTGAAGTTCTCATCTTTGGACCGGAACTTCAGAAAATGAAATTGCTTAGTCAATCACCTGACCTGAATGGAATTACACTAGTCTCAGAAAACAAAGTAAGGAACTTTGGTGTTATCTTTGACCAGGACATGTCATTCAAATCCCACGTTAAACAGGTTTGTAGGATTTCCTTTTTCCACCTTCGGAATATGCTAAGATTAGATGCATCCTTTCCAGAAGTGATGCTGAAAAACTAGTTCATGCATTTATTACATCAAGACTGGATTACTGTAATTCATTACTCTCAGGAAGTCCACAGAATGAAGTTAATAGTCTTCAGCTTGTCCAAAATGCTGCAGCTAGAGTTCTGATGAGGATTCAAAAGAGGGATCATATCTCTCCTGTCCTAGCTTCCCTACATTGGCTGCTTGTTAAATTCAGAATAGATTTTAAGATCCTTCTTCTCAGATATAAAGCTCTTAATAATCAAGCTCCATCATACATCAGTGACCTGATTGTTCCATATGTTCCTAACCGAGCACTTCGCTCTCAGACTGCAGGTCTACTGGTGGTTCCCAGAATATCTAAGAATAGGATGGGAGGCAGATCTTTTAGTTATCAGGCTCCTCTCTTGTGGAACCAGCTCCCAGCTTTAGTCTGTGAGGCAGACGCCTTGTCTACTTTTAAGACTAGGCTTAAAACATTTTTTTGATAGGGCCTATGGTTACAATCTGATGATAGCCCAGATCTGGACAAGTGGGGGAGTAGAGGGAGATGGAGTGTACAGTCGGTAAAGACGGCTCTCCCTTGCCCTGCCTACAACATGCCTCCATCAAAAAGGCTAGGTTATCCAGAGTTATCTCTGTAGTTATGCTGCTATAGGCTTAGACTGCTGGAGGACACACTGACCACTTTCCACACTCGACTACTTTCTTCTACAATCTGCTCTTTAACTGTATTTCCTGCAATTTCAGCTGTTAACTTTATTTTTTCTCTCAGTGTTTTTCTCGCCAGAAGAAGCTACAATGATGTCCTGCTGAGCTGTGGCGCCCTCATGGAGGGGGCCATCGGCTTGAACACTGCTGCTAACCACTTAAACATTCTCCCTCTCCTGATAACATTTTACTTTCTTTGACATTGAATGTGCTACTGCTAGTTTACCCGTTTAATTATAGATTTACTAGGATAAATACAATAAAGTTGATCTCTCACTAAATAGAATATTTACTAAGAAATCACAATGTAACCATAGAAACACTACTTGGTATATATGTTGTGTAGATGCATGTGTGTGTGTGTCTTCTCGATCCCCAGTGAGTCGTGGAGGATGGCTGCTTATACTGAGTCAGGATCCTCTGGAGGTTTCTTCCTATTAAAAGGGAGTTTTCCTCTTCACTGTCACTAAACGCTTGCTTAGTACGAGGATTGCTGTTAAGACTCTGACACCAGTCAGTGACTTGATGCAATTTGCTGGGTTCCTTATATAGAGCTCCGGACGTCACGTGACTATCAGAGAGTAGACGCCATGTTGGCAGGCAACAAAGGTAAACAAAATGAATGGGATCGGCTTGGATTTTACTCCGTCTGAGCTTACTTCACTCTCTAAAACTGAATAAATCATTTTATATAGTTAGAAATTAAATAGATTAAACATCTCCGACCCTTACCATGCCCCTGGGATACTTTTTAAAAACGCCAAAAGCTGTCAGAGCGGACCTGGCCAGAGAACACCTTGGGATTTCCCCGGAGCAGTGGCTGGGGAGAGGGAAGTCTCCCATAGATATGTGTATAAACACGTGTTTATACACATATCTATGGTTCCTCCTATGTCCGTCACAGCGGTGGGTGGGGTTTGAGCGGGTGTGTTTGACCGACTTCCAGGGAGGTTTGTTAAGATGAATGGCTCTCTACAGGGACTCGGCTCTCATCATTCACTTTGAAAACCCGTTCAAAAGATTCGATTCATTCGTGAACGTCACATCACTTACTGTGTGAAGTGCCTTGAGACGACTCTTGTAGCGATTTGGTGCTACATAAATAAACTTGAATTGAATAGGATGATGTGTCCAAACTGGGTTTTTAATGATTGGTTCAACAACTGCATGCTTAAAAATGGAGAGCCAGATTGACGAGATTAATAAAATCCACAATGCATTAACCAGTTTGGTCAAAAATGGTAAGAAGCAAAGCAGTTGAGAGAATATCAGCAGGGCATGAAGTTGGTTTCATGTTTTTCTGAATGAGAAATGACCTGGACATTCAGGAGTAAACAACTATGACTGGGAGGAAGGTCGGAGGAGCAAATAGGAAGTGGATGGGGGATAATAACTTGACCTGATATTTCTGATTTTATTTTTAAAGAATGTAAGGAAGTTGTAAGTCAGACCTTGAGAACACAGGCATGTGAGGACAAGAGGGGAAACAATCTGGTTTATGGTGTCAAACAAAACTTTATTTTTGTTAGAAGAAATCAGCTGAGCAAAGTAAGCGAGCCTGGAATTTTTCACCGTCTCATTTAAAAGATGCTGGCAGTTCTTTAAAATGCAGCCTATGAATTTCTAACCATTTTGATTTCCAACACCTTTTTCTTCTGAAACTAAACATTCATATTTATCCAGGGACTGTTCCTTCTGTGAGAAACAACAGTTTAACTGGAGCCACTGACGCAACAGCACTGCTGACTAATCGAATGAATAAAGAAGTTCAGATCGCCATGAACGATCTGTGCTCATCAGCTATCACTAGCTGGCTAGAAGATAACTTCCTCCCATTAAACTCTGAGAAGACTTGATGTCTGACTGGTTCCTCTGATCAGTCAACTGTCAAAGCCGTGAGCTTTAACTCAGGTCCTCATGTCCACAAACCAGAACCTTCTGGTAGTTGAGACCAGATGCAGAAGTCAAGGTAATCCCTCCGTCCAGTCTGTTGCACCTCGACTTTGGAATGAACTTCCTTTATTCGTAAGTTGACAGCTCCACACCTTTAATGCTTAAGAACTCAAGCCCTTTTAAAATAGAAAACAGATTGGTATAAACATCAAAATTTAGAAATAAATCATCTTTTTTGATAAATGTATGGACAGAATGTCGAGGTTGCCAATCTTGAATGTACGACTCAAGAAACAATTTTGCAGATGCTTGAAATGGGCTGACAACAGCGTCACCACAGGTTCTTGGGGTTAGAAAGCAGCCAAGGACCTTTTCATTTAAAATCGCTTTAGCTTAAATCTTTTTTTTTCTTTTTGTATTATGATCTTTTCTGTTTTTACTGATCTTTATTCATTTGTTTCTATATGGTCTTGATGCGACCTCTTTGTCTTTTCTTTGTGAGAAGTGCAATATAAATAAACTTTACTTTCTGGTGAAACGGAGTATTGCTCTTTAAAGCATGCATGCTTTGAGCAATGATCAAAGAAATAAAGGCTTGAACATAATGTTTAATGCATCTATACAGACTCCATATAGATGCATTAACGTTATATTCAAGTTTTTGTCATTTCAGAAAGTGAAACTCTACAGTTTCACTTTCTTAAATGACAAAAACTTTCAAACTCTTTCTGAATGTTTACATTTTTTGAGAATCACCTGTAAATGGCATGATGTAGCTCTGCCCTTTAACTACTCAGTAAAATGAAAAGCCAGACAAACGAGAGTTTAATGAAAACATTTTATTTGAAGTTGGCCGGATTTCACAAACTTGGGAAGGAAAAGTCACTCAGTTCCGTTTATCAAAATACTTGAGTTTGCCAGATGGGTCTGGAATGATCTGTAGAAGAATAATTAGATAAATTAGTACAGATGCGTATCAAAAATCAAACATTAGGCAACTAGAACACAGGTTCCCAAACTGGGTTCTGTGACCCCCCCCCCCAAAAGGGGTCCCCACACCTTTGTCTGTGCAGAGTTGCGAGGTTACAAAGATTATATTTGTAAAAATTACATTATTAAATACCAATAACACACCCAATAGTATAATTAAGCCTCTGCATAAGAGGTAGAACTCTGCATGCGTATATAAAATCACGGTTTCCTCTACATGTAATGGATCGTGGTGAACTGCCACATCATCAGAAATAGTTTTTTTTTAAAATATGTTAAAACAATGAAAATCATATAATATGCATATAGCTTACATTTGCACACATATACTAACCATAATCAAGTCTAAATGGATTTAAATATCATGAAATGTTAAAACGTAATGTACTTCAAAAACCAATTTGTAAGATCAGTAGACTCATTCAAATAAAAGGTTTAGTGTCACAGCTATCCTTTGAGCTCAACGATAAGTGAAATGTCTAAACAGACGAAACTAACTAGACACTAAAGATCACCACAGTCTGGGTTCTACTTACTGTATCGCTGCCTGGCTTCCACCCGGCTGGACACACTGTGGAGGGGAAACAGGGCAGTTATCATAACCCATGTGGTGAATAAAAGACAAGAAAGAAAAGTAGCTTCATGTACCTTCTCCGTGTTTATCTGTGTACTGGAAAGCCTGGACCAGCCGCAGAGTCTCGTCTACAGATCTCCCAACAGGAAGATCGTTCATGGTGATCTGCCTCAGGACGCCTTTGTCATCAATGATGAAGAGACCTCTGACAAACATACAGACATGGGAGATTAGCTCTACCTAGAGGCTAAATGTATAACTCACAGAAATAAATAACATCCCTCACACGTGTTTGACAGTTTGTCCATGCCATCAACAAAACAGCCACACAAGGTCACTTGATGAAGGTGATAAATGTTAAAGCACACCTCAGTGTGTGTCCCTGGTCCTCCAAATAGACTCCATAGTCTTTAGAAATCTGGTGGGTGAGGTCAGACAGCAGAGGGATTTTCATCTGTCCAAGTCCACCCTGCTTTCTAGGGGTATTAATCCTGTTAAAACAGAAATGGTGAGCAAAAACACACCAAACTACACCAACGACCCACAGCTTATTGGATATCACACCAGGCCAGGTGGGTGAACTGGGAGTCCACTGAGCAGGCGACCACCTCCGTGTTGATGGCCTGAAACTCGTGCACACGGTCGCTGAAAGCAATGATCTCAGTAGGGCAGACAAATGTGCTGCAAGGAGAAAAAATACACAAAATATGCTCTGAAATTCAGGCAGACACAAAGTTCTTACATGACATGTTCCTCAAAAGGTACTTACAAGTCCAGCGGATAGAAGAAAAACACAAGATATTTTCCCTTGTAGTCAGACAGTTTCAGCTCTTTGAATTCCCCGTTGATGACAGCTGTTCCTTCCCAATGCGGTGCAGGCTTTGAAACTTAAGCAGGAGAGAAAGACAAACAAGCATGCACTCATGAATTAAAACTGAATTTACAGACCAAACACCGTCCGTACGTTCAGCAAATACCAGCCGGGAATGGAATTATTACCAGTAAACAAATAAGGCCAACTGGATAGGAACAAAGCAGTAATTATTTGAAACAAAGTAAGAATAAAAATGTTATACTTAGTGTCATTTCAATAAGTGAAAATAAATCCATGTATAACTGCTAGAATTTAGGATCTTTGGTTTGATTAGCGGATTCAGTGTTCTTCCACTGTGGTGGTTTATAAAAATGACTGTTAGGGTCCAGTCCTGAAATGATTATGGGTCCAGTTGTAAATTTTGAGGACAAATTTGTTAAAAACATATCTAAACCTAATTTTACTCCGAGATTCATCCACTGAGTTTTGAGGCCCTATATTTCCTAAAAGGTCACTGGACACAATCTGCATAATATACTTCTTCCATCCATCTTCAGCCGCTTATCCGAGGCTGGGGCGCGGGGGCAGCCGCCTATTGGCCCAGACTTCCCTCTCCCTGGCAGTGTTGGGAACGTTACTTTAAAAAAGTAATTAGTTATAGTTACTGATTACTTTGTCAAAAAAGTAACTCGGTTACTAACTGAGTTACAAGATTATAAAAGTAACTAATTACCAAGAAAAATAACTACCTAGTTACTTTTTTCATTAAAGCATGCAAGAATTACTACAATAGTGAAATATAAATGACTAGTGACTGGAACATAATAGAATGTGTGTCCAAATGTTTTTTATAAACCTGAATAATTTAAATAAATAAGCACATAAGTGTGTGTGTGTGTGTGTGTGTGTTGCTGGCTTTGGAGCAGTTCCAAAGGGGCGGGACACACAATCTTGTCAAATATTGAGTGACGTGTCCTTAACAAATCTAACGTTTTAGGCCTGAGACGTATTAAAGGGAAGACTCTAAATTGCACGAGACTCTGACCAGGTGTCACAGACATCTCAAGTTAATCTGCAGCCTGCATCAATGCACATGTTGTCCTCGTGAGACCAAAGACCTGCTGCAGGTTCCCAGGAGAGGAAACCACTCAAAACCGCACCGTTTCGTTTGGGAAATGATAGTATGGTCCAATAGTGAATGAAAGCGTGAAAGGGACTCACTTTTAGCTTTGCTGAGGTGCAGGGAATGGTCAGAGACAGGCACACGAAAAGCCTCTCCGGGATAGACGTGTCCTCCTGCATAGTTGTGACACTGGGAGCTTTTCAGCTGAGCGCCTTCCTCTGCGGATGTGACCGAGCTCAAAACCAGCAAAGCGGAGCAAAAAGCACAGAGAAGGTCCCTCTTTACATTGGTGTTGGTACCAGACACCATTGTTGCGTTTCTGAAAACGGAGGTGCGTTCCAACCTTTTCCTTGTTTTCTTCTTCTCGTGAAGCGAAGTGTCTTTACTATTGCCCCGAGCCGCCCCCTGCTGGGGACAAATAGCATTACAACTACTTTAGCTTTTCAAATGAGGGCATGGCTGCAGAATTTGGGATTTTCATTACTTATCAATTGCACTCATCAAAGCTAAAGAAATAAACATCTGAAATATATCAGTCTGTGATAATGAATTAATCTAATATATGAGTTTCACTATTGAATGGAATTACTGAAATACCATAAATCCTCTAATACAGGCCTGTATTCAATTAACGGCCGGGTCTCATATTTTGGCCGGTGTCGGAGTCGGCGGAGGTGAATAATGGCCGGTCTCTTATTGTGGCCGGGTGGAATGTGATAACAAGCAAGTACGGGGGCGGTTGTGTCATCGTCTCACTTTTGATTTGCGAGTGATAGACCGCGAGGGTAACTTTAACCATGCGGAGATGAAGAGGAGACGAAAATTTGATATCAAGTTCAAAGAGAACATGCGGTCGGTAGATCTTTTAGAACTGCAGTTCAAAGGTAACTCATAAGGTGAATATATATGAACCCAGGTAGCAGTTTTTCTTTAGGATTGAGAGAAGATGCAGGAAGATAATAAACAGGCAGGACAGAAAAATAGTCAAATAAAAACAAGTTAGTTTTTGTACCTGGTGGTTGCAACAAACAGACACCACTGAAGGTAATCAGAAGTGAGGAACAGAAAATGAAATAATTATTTTAATGTTTAGAGCAGCAGGAACACTGAGAGGCTGCAGGCGCATCAGTGAGTTTGCAGCCGCTACGCAGGGGGAGGGGGGAGAGGGCTGAAGCAGAAACTACCGTTGTTAAAAGAAATGTGTTTAACTTTGAAAATGTGGGCGCAATTTTAATTGTCAAAAACTCCAGCGAACCATTAGTTCATTTTGCTCAAATAGAAATAGAGGCCTGCCTCTAATTCTGGTCCTCCTTCCAATAAAGGCCTGGATTTTGATGAGCTTGAGTCAAATACAGGCCTGGGCCTGTATTAGAGGACTTACGGTAAATCAACTTTGTCATGATTCTCCAATTTGATGACCAACACACACACACACACACACACTAGACTTTTATCTTTGGGGTCATTGCAATTGTCTATGGTGTGAAGATACAATATATCCAGCACCTGAAACCACGGATACTGGGAGCCTGTGCTGGCATTTCTCCTGCTGTGTTGCTGGCAGTGTGTGAAGAGTGTGAGAAGAGGGTTGCATCCAACACAATGGGCAGCACATTGAACACATTTTATAAGTAGTCAGAAACTTGTAAATAACTCATGAAAGAATTACGTTATGTTCAAACCAAGCACACCATTAATTTTCTTGTGAAATTCCCAATAAGTTTGATGTATCACATTTCTTTAAAAAACATAAGTTGGATCCAAGATGGCCGACTTCAAAATGGTCACCACCCATCTTGAAAAGTTTGTCCCCTCACATATACCACAAACAGGACGTTAATATCACCCACCATTCCCATTTTATTAAGGTGTATCCATATAAATGGCCCACCCTGTATAGTAACTTTTGACTTCATGTTACACAAAAGTACACAAACAGAATATTTAGATTATTTATTACTGGGATTCACACATAAATCACTTTTGCCTGAATGTAACAGCAGCCATTTAAAACAATCTTTTTTCCCACACACCTCACAAGGACGTCTCTGATCCCAGGACTGTAACAAACTTTAAGAAAATTTTCAGTTTAAATTAATCTACAGCCAGATGACAAACATTTTTCACACTGCGACAAAGTGATCTTAAATTCTGAATGTTTCATGAAAACATCTCCATAAAGCTGCAGATGATACTAAACCCAACATTTCGGTCTGAGAAGCTTTAAATCAGGGGTGGGGAACCCTGGTCCACCGAGGGCCGCTATCCAGCATAGTTTCATCCCGGCATCATCACACCTGATTTCAATCAGTAGGTGATTAACAAGCTTCTGCAGAGCTTGATGAGCTGCAGGTGAATCAACCACTGAATCAGAAGTGTTGGAGCAGAGATGAGCAGGATACCTGCCCTCGAGGACCAGGGTTCCCCACGCCTGCTTTAAAGGCTGAAACTGAAGAGTTCTGGTTGGGTTGAAATCTGGGATAACAAACTCAAAACACCCAGATTCTGCCTAACGAGCAGAAACATCATCAACACGTGTGGTTGGAGCTTGCTGCTTTTGTGACATGGTTGGAACATAAATAACTCAACAACCGATCAACTCAGATGGATTTAACTATCTTGCTCACTTGGAGCAAAATAAATAAAAAAATAAAATCATGTTACAGATCCGACCATGTTTGACATGAAGGCAGATATTTATTCAGTTGCCCTCAAAGCTTGGAGCTAAACAAAACCAGGTATAGAAGACACAACACATCCTCCCATGGACAGAAGAGCTGATGATGACAAATGCAAAGTGCTTAGCTGCAAACATTTAAACACAGAAGCCAAGGAAAATGCTTTTATTTGTAGCTTCGAACTTAAATGACTTTAAACCAGCAGGACCTCCCTGTTTAGCATACTTCTAATTAAATGTCTAAAACAGCGATTTTGGCTCGTTTTGATGTTTAATAAAAAAAACTGAAGAATTTTTAGACTCTGGCAACATTGACAAATCACACTTGAGTTCAGCAGTTTGTTTTTTAACTAAGAGTTCCTTTAAATATCCGTACAGTAGCGCTGCAGTGAAGCAGGGTCCAGCTGTAGGTCAGTGGGCAGGCTACGGTAAAGGGACATGAAGGGAAAATAAATACACACAAATTTAAACCATCAGATGTTTTTCCAGTTAACTTAATTCTCAAAACGTCTTTGCTGAAGCGGCTCTGATTGTTTCAAGTTGTAAAAATAAAACCTTTGTTGATGCTCTGGGTATTTTACACTAGTTCAAGGTGCATTCTGGGACATGTGTACATGATTGACAGTAAGGAAGGGGTTAAAATAATTTTGCGATGTTGAGAAAACCCAAACTTTAGCTGACAGACTTCAGCTTGGCCCAGGGGTTTGTGCCGCGCACCTCCAGAGGTGGATTGTTGGAAAAGATGTGATTGCACAGTTCCTCCAGGGGGGGTTCAGGATCCGTGGTGGCATACTGAGCAGCGTCTTCGATTTCCTTCCTCACCTCCACGTCAATCTCCTACAGACGCAACACAAGATTACAGAAAACAGGCAAGGCTACAGGCAGCTAATGAACAAAACCAACGTCAACACTAAAGGAAATTACAACAAGTGATCCAGGTTATTGGGGAAACTTAATTGAAAATTTTTGGAATAATCTTCACGGCTGTCCACCTGACAGGATGAAGTGTTTGTTACCTTGAGCTCCTCCACACTGGCCATGTTGTTGCTGAGGAGACGGTCCTTCAGCATGGAGATGGGGTCACTCTTACTGCGGACCTCCTGGATCTCCTCACGTGTGCGGTAGCTGAAACAGCAGAGATCGGTGCAGCGATCAGCTACAACCATCTTTTCACACACTATCCGACTGTAAGCATCTGGTCACTAAAAGTCATTTTAAACTGGTTTGGCCTCTTTGTGCTGTGTGATCAAAAATCCATCCATCCGTTTTGGCCACTTTTCCGGGGTCAGGTCGTGGAGGCAGCAGCCTAAGCAGAGACCCAGACTTCCCTCTCCCCAGCCACTTGGGCCAGCTCCTCCGGGGGAATCCTAAGGCGTTCCCTGGCCAGGTGAGAGACATAGTCCCTCCAGCGTGTCCTGAGTCTAACTTTAGGTCTCCTCCTGGTCGGACGTGCCCGGAAAACCTCACCAGGGCGACTTCTAGGAGGCATCCTAACTAGATGCCTGAGCCATCTCAACTAGCTCTTCTCAATGTGGAGGAGGCAGTTGAGGTGATCAAAAATAGCTAAATTTATGTAAAAGATACTAAAAAATTTCTACTGTGTTTTAAAATTGTGTAAATCTACAACAGCCACCATCGGTGTTGGTTCAGACGACCCTAAGGATGAGATCAGGCAGCTGCCAGACCACCTTGGTGAGAAGGAAAGCTCTTTCCTGTGGAAACGTGGCAGAAGCGTGGGGCAGCAGCCGTAGGGTTGGGCATCGTTTGATTTTGAATGATTCCGATTCCTCGTTTCGATTCCCGATTCCGATTCTTTCAAGACATGACATGTTTTACATGAGCCAGCTAACCACAGGTCCAATTTGATGAAACAATCTTAACTTCAACATGAATTTTAATTCTATGAACAATAACATCACCTTCATTTAGACAAAAACATGTTTTGGCGACAAAAAGAAAAAGACTTGCAGCACAACCAGTGTGTTTGTTTCTGACCACAACCAAAGTCTGGAAGAAGCCTCTGGGATGAGAGGCTAAATGTCTCCAACATATCCAGAAACGTCCAGCTGTTTTCAGCTAAAACTCTCAGGATGATCATGTCCAGGATGACTGAGAACTACACCTCCATGCTGCAGCAGCGTTCAGTCGGAACAGGAAGTGAAACTTAAATGTAGCTGCTGTCAGTAACAATCTAACAGATTTTAAACATTAAAAATCAACAGAAATAGTTCAGCAAGGAAATTAAAATGTTCACAACTTTGTGTGTGATTTATTATTATTATTATTATTATTTACACCACAGAGAAGCTTCTCTAGCATGATGACTTTAATTATTCTACAGGTTATTGTTCAGCCTTCTGACACGCACACGCGCACACACACGCACACGCACACACACACACACACACACACGCACACGCGTTGGTGAGCGGCTGCGTCTGACTGCTGACGCTCCGTGTGTTTATATTTCTGCAGTGAGACAAACTCACCTCACCGTCCAGAGTTTGTTCTTTAAAGCTTCTATTAAGTCCACCGTGTTGACGTATTTTAACACGTTTCCTCTACGCTGCAGGAGTTAAAGTTTACATTACGGAGTAAAAGCTGTGATCAGCTCTGAAAAGCGTTGATTACACTTTGCAGATCACGTTTATTTTTCATGGAGATCGGCTGTGGATTCCTCTTCCGTCGGCATTCTAGGAATCGAAACTAGGAATTGAAAAAAGTAACTTTGAACGATTCTGGGAAAAACTAACAGTTGGAACCGGTTCCAATCGATGCTCGATGCCCAACCCTAGCAGCAGGACAGTGGTAAACCGTTGTGTCTGATGGCAACAAAGTACAAGATCAGGAATGCTTTCATGCACCTGACTCCAGGGTCACTCATACTGTGTCCGTGATAGCGGTACGTCTGCAGTTCCATGAGAATTGGACCCTGGAGGTGAAACAAAAATAGTTTAGAGAAAATCATTAACAGTGTCTGATTTTAATGATTCGGTGTTTGAACAAACCTTTCCAGACCGGCAGTGATCAGCTGCAAATCTGGCTGCCTCCCGAACACACAGAACGTCCATCCCATCCACCTGGACGACCAACAGAAACCCAAACAGTCAGGAAAAAATAAGAGACTATTTCAGGAAGAAATAAGAGTAAATTCTACCAAACTAGCAAGAAACAAAACAGTTTGGGATTGTGTTAAGATTCCAATTTAATTTTACTTCCAGTTAATTTAGATCATCTACTTAATAACAACAATCTCTTTATTTACAGCTTTAGCTAGTTTAGCCTGATGTGGGTTCTAACAGCTCTCAAGCACTTTCAATGTGTTTTCAGGATGTTCCAGCACCTTCCACTCATAATAATGTACACAGCTGAACAGGAAACACACAAGTCAGGGAAAATAAGCACAACTGTAAAGTTACAGACAGACAGACAGACAGAGATATTTTTATTTGGGTCAAAAAAAAAAATCAATTTATCAATTTTACATTAAAGTAATCAAGCAACCGAAAAAAGGAATAGGTTGAAGTCTAGTGGCTTATAATTAGCCTATCCTTAACTCCCACAGAGATAATCACATCCTTAACCAAGAGAGAAAATAAAAGTAGGGCTGATAAGATTTATTTAGCACCACAACCTTTTAAAAAAGGTGCTAAACCTGAATTTTTGTTTTCTTTTTTAATAAATTCAGCATTAGGATGAAAGGAGAAGTTAATAGAAATAATTGATTATTTTACATATTTGTTTAACATGATTGTCTCAGTTTTGTAGCTATGCGAATAAAAAGTTTCACAAACTTTCAAAGCTCTAGACGAAGGTCAGAAGTTTAGATTACACACACACACACACACACACACACACACACACACACACACACACACACACACACACACACACACACACACACACACACACACACACACACACACACACACACACACACACACACACACACACACACACACACACACACACACACACACACACACACACGGCTAATATGACTCAGCTAAAACCAGAATCAGCAGATCAGAGCTAAAGGAGAACCAGAACTCTGAACTGGACAGACCAGAAGCTGTCCAGCTCTAGTTTTAGATGTTAGGTTAAATTATTTTCCAGGTGACATATTTCTACATACCTGTAGTAAACCCAACCACTACCGTGTCTGCAGTCGTGTAAAAACTAACAGACTTCCGTTTTACTTCCACATTGACCACAGATATTTTGAAACTAAAGGCAGTGAGAGTATTTATCTGATCTTCATGAAGCCACCCTGATGTGACGTTTCAGTGAGAAAAAGGTTGAAAGAAGAACCGTACCCTGAGTCCTGGAATAAACTCTCCTCTCTTGTAGTAGTCGGTGCTGGCTGCAGCTCGCTCCACGGACGTACCCATCCCATACCGGTTGTTCTCACAGATGAAGATCACGGGTAGCTTCCAGAGAGCGGCCATGTTGTAGGTTTCAAAAATCTGACCCTGTAAAATGCACGCACGCAAGCACACACCCGTATTAAACATGACAAACAAAACAGGTATGTTTTTTTTTTTTACTGAACCTCAGCTATAAGCTAGTCCAGCTTCTATCTTGATTCCAATCCGAGTTTGTTTGATGCATCATTTCTGAGCCTCACCTGGTTGGCAGCGCCATCACCATAAAGACAGACACACAGCTCGTTGTTGCCCTGATACTTGCAGGCTAGAGCCACACCTGCACCCAGAGGAACCTGAGGAGGATTAAAGCGCAGCCACTCAGTCTACTTCACCAGATACTAAAGATAAATATATATAATATAAATTTTTACTTCCCATGCATGCTTCCTGTATTCAGATCTACAGTGGTGTGAAAAACTATTTGCCCCCTTCCTGATCATCAAACCCTCAAATAAAGCTGAATTACAACAATTCTGCAAAGATGAGTGGGCCAAAATTCCTCCAGAGCGCTGTGAAAGACTCGTAGCAAGTTATCTCAAACGCTTGATTGCAGTTATTGCCGCTAAGGGACGCCCAACCAGTTATTAGGTTCAGGGGCAATTACTTTTTCACACAGGGCAATGTAGGTTTGGATTTTGTTTTCTCCCTAAATAATAAAAACAATCATTTCAAAACTGAATTTTGTGTTTACTTGTGTTATCTTTGACTAATGGTTAAATGTGTTTGATGATCAGAAACATTTTGTGTGACAAACATGCAAAAGAATAAGAAATCAGGAAGGGGGAAAATAGTTTTTCACACCACGGTATTATAACTGATCCTAAGTACATTAAACATGCTTGCAGTAAACTCAACTGTAGTAAATATGACAGTAAAATATGAGTCACAGCTTTTTAGACTAAAATTAACACATTGAAAACATTCCTTGCCAGGAGACATTCATTACACACCTGAGCTCCGACAATCCCATTTCCCCCATAGAAATGTTTACAGTACATGTGCATGGAGCCTCCTTTCCCCTTTGCAATGCCGCCTCTTCTGCCTGTGTAATAGAAGAAAAAATAATGATGTTAATAACATCTGGGAGTCAAGTGATTTGTGTTAAAAAGTTGTCTGAACAGAAAAACTCTAACCTAAATATTAAAAGATCTTATGTTTGCACTTAGTTTGTATTTTCTGACTTTACTCTGATCTGTTTCAGTTGTCTCAGAGTTTAGATGGCGCCTGCAGTTCCACTTTTACACTATAACCACCAACTAGTAAACAAAGATTCAGACTAGGGTTGTCACGGTAACCGGTGTAGGGTAAAAAAGTTGACAATAACAATAACCGTCTTGTTTTTAAAAACTATATTATCTCGGTGGATTACCGTGGCTGCGGTGTAGGCGCGGTGACCCTTACCAGCCACCGTATCATCTGCTGAAGTTGCCGGCGGCACATGCGCGCTTTGTTGTTTACAGCCAAAACTTTCTTGAAGCTAAAGCTGAAATAATGGCCAAAGGAGGAGACGGCAGTGCTCAGGACATTTATTATCCCTCAAAGAAGACAAAGTGGGAAGTACGGGCATTTTTTGGATATTTGAAGAATGTCGAGGGACAGTTGATAGAAGACGGCTATCCTGTTTGCAGCACGTGCAGAAAGTGTGTGTGAAAGGCAGCAACGCTTCAAATCTCATGACACATCTGCGTGACCATCACCCACAACTCTACAGTCAACTCAACGCAAGCTAACGTTAGCGTTTTAGCTAAAGTGCGTGATCCGAGGATTTGGGTTGAGGGAGAATGCAACGAGTCGCTATATAAAGCAGCCGCAGCGCCGCTACCTGCATATAAACCGTGTCGCGGACACCCCCATGTTGAAATGACGCTACGCATTACGGGGCTCCCAGGGGCAGATAAGAGTTGGTCTCTCTCCGAGAATAATTATGAATTTAACAATGATTACTGCCTGATGACATTTTCCTAAATCTGCAAAGCTCACTGGAAGAACGCAAACCGAGGACAATACTTTCCTGATATAGGGTTTATTACTCAAGTAAGGGTAAAAAAGTATCTGATTAGAAGGCTACTTGAGTACTGAGTATCATCTGATCTAATATTTTTAAAATGATGACATCAAACAGATAAAAAATAGGAAGTTATGGGCAAATATTGGTATTTTAAACACTAAAGGGGAAAAATGTAAACAAACAACATAACTACAAAATAACACATTTTAGGCAAAATTTAGACACAAACTGAGGACAATATTTTCCTGATAAACAGGTTTTATTTAGTTGTCTGAAAATGTAACACTTTAAAAAAAAATACCGCGATAATACCGAAAACCGTGATAATTTTGGTCACAATAACCGTGAGGTTAAATTTTCACACTGTGACAACCCTAATTCAGACATTCTGATTTTTATGGTAAACACTGCTGCATACACATGAACCAATAGCTCTTGGTCTTTGGGGGACGTGGAGATAAACCCTACATCTGCTAGACCCACCGGTGAGTTCAGCCATTATCTCCTTCACCGTTCCTCCCCTGGTGTAGGTGTAGCCGTGGGCACGGTACGCGGTAATCAGGTGATCCGTCAGATTAATTGATGCTTCAATCCCAACAGCACAAGCCTCCTGCGAACAAAACAAGGCTTTGATGTATGTGGACACAAATTATTTTAAGTAAGTAATTCTGACATTGGGTTCAATGTAACACTTTATTATACTAATAATAAACTATAATTCTAGACTAAAACATTCATGTCAAAACTGCGTTGGACTCTGAATAGTTCTAACCTGTCCATCGTAAAGGTGGCAGAACCCTCTGATGATCTTCTGCTTGTACAGCTGATCTGCCTTCAGCTCCATCCGTCTCATGGTCTGCATGACGCGGTAGTACTGCAGACCCTCATCCCGGGTCATGACCACCTGAGTAGCCGGGCCTTCTTCCAGCTTGTGGAGGTCACATTTCTAAGAAAACCATTTTAAAGAAGAACACCCTTAATAACTCAAATAACCATTCATGAATTTCAACATTTTAGTAATTAAATGGTACCTTGATCTCAAATGTAGCCTGGGATGTGAAGTCCGCGTAGGTGCGTGCTGACATAACCACAGCAGCTCCCTGAAACGCAGACAACAATCCGATTTTTTTTTTCACCATCAATACTGTTCCATTAAAAATATAAATGCACGCCCTTTTCAATTTACCTTTAAACGTTGAACAGTTTGCCAATTTACAAAAAAAAATCCAGTTTAACTATATTTAGCGTTAATTTCAAACCTGCATTTATTATGAATGAAGTTACAGTTTGGGGATGTCGGTCAAGTTTTGATTCTAAAAGAACATCTGTGAGTGCTTTCAATGATTTTAATGTTTACATTTAAAAACATCTGCATTTACTGCCATCCGTAGAAGAAGAAACGTCCATGACACATTTTTCTGTGATGATGAGCTGGGCTGACTTGTTTTGGAACAACAAGTTCTTTTAGCTAGCTGGCTGCCTGTTGGCAGCTAAAGTCAAACTGCACCGTCTGGCTCTATAAAACCAGAGCAAACACTACTCACAACTAAACTCACGAGGCTTCTTAACTCAAAAACACTAAAATAAACGGAATCATTGTGGATTTGTTAGCTACATTCGCTTTCATCGGGCGCTACAAGGTCAGAATAAAGACCGCTGACAGTCCGGTTGCAGGCAGACTCTGCCGTGTTGTAGAGAGAAAACTGTCATTTAGAGCGTCACCGAGGCAGCACGTGATAAATGCAAACTTACATTTTTCTGAACACAAGCTCTCAGCACGTTAGTGATACTGGTCAGCATCTTTCCAAACGGCACAAACCGCACGAAAGGGAAAGGCACGAACGTCCTTTTGCAGCGACGTTTTTCCGGTTTACTTCTTCTTCTGCGATTTAAAAAAATGACAGCAAAACCACTACTGCCACCCAGCGGCTGGATAGATGATAAATAGATAGATAGATAGATAGATAGATAGATAGATAGATAGATAGATAGATAGATAGATAGATAGATAGATAGATAGATAGATAGATAGATAGATAGATAGATAGATGATAGATAGATAGATAGATAGATAGATAGATAGATAGATAGATAGATAGATAGATAGATGATAGATAGATAGATAGATAGATAGATAGATAGATAGATAGATAGATAGATAGATAGATAGATAGATAGATAGATAGATAGATAGATAGATGATAGATAGATAGATAGATAGATAGATAGATAGATAGATAGATAGATAGATAGATAGATAGATGATAGATAGATAGATAGATAGATAGATAGATAGATAGATAGATAGATAGATAGATAGATAGATAGATAGATAGATAGATAGATAGATAGATAGATAGATAGATAGATAGATAGATGATAGATAGATAGATAGATAGATAGATAGATAGATAGATAGATAGATAGATAGATAGATAGATAGATAGATAGATAGATAGATAGATAGATAGATAGATAGATAGATAGATAGATAGATAGATAGATAGATTTTTTTCATTGACAGTCCACAGTGCACGTTCTAAAGCAGAGAAACTGTGGAGCCTTCCAAACTGGTTTGGACCTTCCTGGATTGCGTGTTGGTTAGAGCGCGCTCACGCTGCGACGCACGGTCTGCTGCCCAGTTCTAAACGCTCCGTCCTCCGAGCGTCAGTCCCAGCATCAGCAGCAGCAGTATCGATCTCCTCCATCCTCTCCCTCTAACCTCCACAATTACGACCTCCCGTCACTCCTGCTGACCGTTTTTTCCCCTTTGTGTGTGTGTGTGTGTGTGTGTGTGTGTGTGTGTGTGTGTGTGTGTGTGTGTGTGTGTGTGTGTGTGTGTGTGTGTGAGAGAGAGAGAGAGAGAGAGAGAGAGAGAGAGAGAGAGAGAGAGAGAGAGAGAGAGAGAGAGAGAGACGCTCTTGTTTTGTGGAGGAAACCCAGTGCTGCTGCATCGGCATCACTGCGGACTGATAGAGGGGGACAGCGCTATTCAGTCAATTGTGCGTCTCCTGACTGAGATAGAGGCTGCAATAAATGGCGAAAACACTCACATCATCCAGCGCAGTATCAGGTAGGGTTGGAGAAACTTTTATTTATGTTATTTCTTTCCTGAGCTGTTGGATTTACGGTGGGATTTGAACGCACAGTCATGGATGACGCAATTGATTTCCACGGTTCCCACCATTGGCTGCGACGACTGCGCCCCACTGTTTTATTTATCCGCTATTAAATTAAAAATGCGTCCAGATCAGTTATAAACGCGGTTAAAGAGCCAGTAGATGGTTTTGTTTACACGAATAAGGAAACGAATCATGGAACTGCAGGTTTTAAAGAAGCTGTCTCTTTGTGTTTTGTTCTGTTTATGCGCCTCAAAGTGGGGCTTTGTTGCTGAAATTTATAGACGATTTGGTTTAATTTAACGCGTTTGAGGGTTAAAATGCAAAGAAACAGGAAGGCCTTTATAACTTGAAACAAGAGTGATTGTTTTTACAGCATGAAGTTGAGTTGAGTCCCTGTTCATCATGTTGAGCCAATTTAAATTTAATTTTCATTGTCCACGCCCTGAATAATGTGGGGAATCTTCCAACAGGAAAACAATCACATAATTATAAATAATGTTTACATAATTGAGAATGTACTGGGAAATATATTCAGATAGCCATGATTAGTTTGTTGAACTCAGGATGCTTTAAAAATAAAGAAAATAACAAAAACAGTCATTTCTTTTTAGCTTTTATAATATCTAAATAAAAACAGTAAAAATCAGAAAGAGATGAACGTTCTGGATGTTTAGGGCTCATCATCTGAAATAAGATGGTCTGTGACCTCTGCCAGTTATAATAAAAGTCCTGACTGAAAACAGAGTAATTCATTTAATCAAGTAAAGCAGGTTGACAGTTTAGCCTGCGACGCACATATTGATTCACTGATACTTAAGCCTTTAATTTAGTAGTTTATGCCTCTGCCATTCAAATGTAAGATTTAATCTCCTTCTGGATTTGCATTGACTAATACAGGAAATAAAATCTGTTTAAAATAAAAACAGGTGACATTTTTAAATGGCATCAAATGTCTTTGACATAGTGAACACGTCTGTTCTGATTGGTTAAAGAGATTTTGTTTGGATCCATGCTCTACAAATTCTTCTCTTTTTTGTGTCAGGTGAAAAGATGCCACCGCCATCTATTACTCTACTTCCTGACAAGAGGTCTCCAACAAATGGACACTGCTCTCCTGTTCGGACAGGAAAAACTCGTAAGTAATCCTTCCTGGATGAGTAGCTATTTGGACTGATGCATACCTTCTGAGCTTCAGACATGGCTGGTCCATATGGGGCAGAGATTCGGTGCTATCAGTTCTCAAAGGAGCTGGTTACAGCCCAGAAACAGTAACCGAATGCGATAGTCAGCATGTGTGAAGTGATGACCACGTAAAAGGCTGTTTCCTCCTCATCTCCTGCAGTGTGGTACTTTGTCCTTGGCATGGGGCATTCTGCAACACAACCCCTTAATCACAGAGCAGCCTCTCTCTCTCTCAAAGCTGAAAGCATTCTTCTGCTGTGAGGAAGCAGGACTGCAGCTCAGGACAGAAACAGCCAAAACAATAACTCAATATTCCTGATCTTAAGCATCATTAAGTCACATCGCTGACCTGGATTAATATAAACACTACTAACAGGATTTTACCTTTTGCCTCTATTTTTGCCCAACTGGAGCCGATGTTGTCCTTGTCAGCCTAAGTCCTGCAGTATTAGCTGTAAAAGCCAAGTATTTGGCTTTCTCATGGACCATTGGTCATCTGGACCAAATTAGAAGAAGACTACATTGAACAAGTAAGCTAACACTAGTTTGACTGTGATGTTTAACAAAATTATATAGCTAAGCACCAACATTTAAGAATAGAGTCAACAATCTACTGTCATCTCCCGCCTCGATTACTGCAATGCCCTTCTAACTGGTCTTCCAGCCTGTACTGTGAGACCTCTTCAAATGGTCCAGAACGCAGCGGCGCGTCTGGTCTTCAATCAGCCAAAAAGAGCACACGTCACCCCTCTGTTCATTGAGCTCCACTGGCTACCGCTAGCAGCACGCATCAAATTCAATTTGCTAACACTAGCATACAAAGTCCGAGATGGTACGGCTCCCATCTACCTGAATCCTCTTGCAAAGGCTTGCGTCTTGGGCCGGCCGCTCCGGTCATCACAAGTTCGTCATCTAGCAGTGCCTACACCACGCTCAGGACAATCCAGACTCTTCTCATGCATCGTTCCACAAAAGTGGAATGACCTTCCAAGCACTACCAGAACAGGAGCTTCCTTTTCAATTTTCAAGAAACTCCTGAAGACCCTGCTCTTCAGAGAGCATCTTCTAAACTAGCACCCTCCCTGCACCTGTCCCTCCTCTCTATTGTCCACTCCTTGTTCCCTCCTCGCCATGATGTCAAGTTGTTGTTGTTATTGTTGTTGTTAGCCTCAGGGCAACATGCCGATTATCACTTGTAAGTCGCTTTGGACAAAAGCGTCTGCTAAATACATAAACATAACAATCAAAGCTCAAAACTATCCCTGTTTACCCAGGCCTCATTTTGGACATGCTGTTAATAAGTCCAAAAGCTCAGTGGACACTTTTTGGACCTTATCAGCTAACTATGCTAACTAGTCAACAAGTAAGCATCTTAGGAATTTATTAGTCAACTATTTGTAAATTTGCACTATTTGACTAGTCAGCAGAATCTGAATGAACTAGTTACCATACAATTGCTTTGTTACTAGTTAACTTGTGCGACAAAGTCATTTACTAGTTTGGTTTAGATGGCCCTCCAGATCTGAATCGGAGCGATGTTTTCTTATTGGACTTCAGCGCTCATCATGGATTGTTCATAACGAACACCGTGTTCAGACGTAAAGGTGTCCTCTTGGCACCATGATAGCTTGAGCCGCAGCTCGATGATTGCCTTTGTTGTCATTTCATCTGATCTGCGGCCGCATGTCTTGGACACTCAGGTGAAGAGAGGGGCGGAGCTGTCAACTGACCACTACCTGGGGGTGAGTTGGCTTTGATGGTGGGGGAGGAGGCCGGTCAGACCGGGCAGCCCAAACATATTGTGAGGGAACGTCTGGCGGAGTCTCCTGTCAGAAGGAGCTTCAATTCACCCCTCCAACAGAATTTCGAACATGTCCCAAGGGAAGCGGGGGACATTGAGTCCGAGTGGGCCATGCTCCAGGCTTCTATTGTTGAGGCGGCTGACCGGAGCTGCGGTCGCAGGGTTGTCGGTGCCTGTCGTGGCAGCAAACCCTGGAGCCTCTGCACAGCGGACACCGGCAGTTAGGGATGCTGTCAGACTGAAGAAAGAGTCCTATCAGGTTTTTTTGGCCTGTGGGACTCCAGAAACAGCTGATGGGTACCGGCAGTCCAAGTGGAATGCGGCTCGGGTGGTCGCGGAGGCAAAAACTCAGGCGTGGGAGGAGTTTGGTGAGACCATGGAGCAAGACTTCCGTACGACTTTGAGGAGATTCTGGTTAACCATCCGGCATCTCAGGAGGGGAAAGCAGTGCACTACCAATACTGTTTACCTTGGTGAGGGTGTGCTGCTGACCTTTACACGGGACGTTGTGGATCAGTGTGGTCCTTTTGGCTACACCGGACAGTGATCTCCAGCTTTTGCTGGAGCGGTTCGCAGCCGAGTGTGAAGCGGCTGGAATGAGAATCAGCTAAACCTAAGACCATGGTCTTCAATCAGAAAAGAGTAGAACGCCTTCTCCAGGTCAGGGACGAGGTCCTGCCTCAAGTAGAGGAGTTTAAGTATCTCAGGTTCACCAGTGAGGGAAAAATGGAGCGTGAGATCAACAGGCAGATCGGTGCTGCGTCTGCAGTGATGCGGGCGTTGTACCGATCTGTCGTGGTGAAAAGAGAGCTGAGTCAGAAGGCGAAGCTCTCGATGTATCGCTCGATCTACATTCCTACCCTCACCTGTGGTCATGAGCTTTGGGTGGTGACAGCAAGAAGGAGATCGCAGACACAAGCGGCCAAAATGAGTTTTCTCCACAGGGTCACTGGGCTCTCCCTTAGTGATAGGATGAGAAGCTTGGTCATCCGGGAGGGGCCCAGAGTAGACCCACTACTCCTTCACGCCGAGAGGAGCCAGTTGAGGTGGCTTAGGCATCTAGTTGGGACGTCTCCTGGACGTCTCCCTGGTGAGGTTTTCTGGGCATGTCCAACTGGAAGGAGACCCAAGGGAAGACCCAGGACACGCTGGAGGGACTATGTCTCTCGGCTGGCCAGGGAATGCCTTGGGATTCCCCTTAAAGAGCTGGCTCATCTAATTGGGGAGAGGGAAGTCTGGGAGTGTAGGCTTAGGCTGCGGCCCCCGCGACCCGACTCTTAACGGTGGAAAACAAATGGATGGTTCAGTAGTCCACTATAATGCATGAAAAAGCCAACAAGTCAGGGCTCTTGGGCTACCAGTGCAGGATTCTGGCTGATTTTTAAAATAAATGCACAAATGCCTTGCCATACTGTGGTGCAATGTGTGTCTCTGTGCTTGCAGCTCCATCTAACACAGAGAAGAAGCCACAGATAAATGGACATGCATCTCCTTCACATCTAGCAGCAAATGCCGGTAACAACCATGGAGGTAAACAAAGTGAGTGTTTCAGCTAAAGGAAGTTTTTTTTTCACCGGGGCCGACTTGTCACCTCACCTGTCTGGCATTGTCACTGGTTTCTCAGGTCAGGAGGGTTACATGAAGACTGATGACAGGATGCGATTGGCCAAAGAGAGACGTGAAGAGAGGGAGAGAAGTCTGGGTAAGTGATGTCTCTGTTGATGATGCCTCTGAACCGCCTCTGGCTTTCTGGTCTCCTGAAGGATTTTTCTTCTTCTTCTTGGACATGCTTTATTTTCCTGCGGTTTATTAGAGTATAAAAGCGCTTTGGATGTCTCACTCAGCTGGGTTCAGATAGACATGATGAGCCGTGTCACTGGAGTGTTGAGTAGTTTATAGAAGTAGGTCTTCCACTCGAGGATAATCCTACAGCTCCAGTGGTGGCTCCATGGTGACTAGGATTTATTTCTCCATCATTTAATCTTGAGCAGGAGTTGACGGATGAGATCAAACTCACTGCAGTTCCCAAGCTCAGGCTACAAAAGCTCTTTGAGTTAGTTAAATGGGACAACAATAAAAAATGGAATAATATTTGAAATTAGGGATACCGATACTTCTACCACACAAAAAATTTAATGTTTTATTTTCTTATCTGCCTTCAACAGGAAAAGACTGTGAGTTAGACAAAAAAAAAATTAAATATATTAATAGAAATGATCACAAAACTGAAATACTAGGTGAACATAAATGACAAGTTATAGCGAAGCCACTTTCATGCAACCGCATTGGTATCGGTTAACTTTTACCAATACCGATAAAATACTTCTGCATGAGTACTCACTGGAAACCTCTGGTGTCTCCCAGCGGCTAGAGAGCAGCTGATCCGGGAGAAGGAGCGCAGGGCTCGGCTGCAGTATGAGCGAACCGTGGAGGAGCGCTGGAGGCGACTGGAGGAGCAGAGGCAGAAAGAAGAGCTCCGCAGGGCTGCAGTGGAGGAGAAGAGGAGACAACAGCTCGAGGAGGAGAGGGTTAGATCACTTATGAGTTTGCATTCTTGTGTGAAGCATAGTTTTGAGTGACTAATTCAGAAAAGGACGTTTTATTGTCAGATTAGATTTGGTTTGGGTGAACTCTTTTGTGCTTCGTTCAGGAGCGACTCGAGGCCCTGATGAAACGTTCTCTGGAGCGAAGCCTTCAGCTGGAACAGAGAGCCAAACGTTGGAGCAGGGGCTGTCCTCCAGGAGCAGGTAACAGCAGAGTTTTTCAATGTCTGATGAGATACGGTCAACAGAATAATAAAAATAAATTCTAATTTTCTTAAAAACCATTTCAGTATTTCTGATCCTCTGAGTTTTTGCTTGAACTACTTCCTTGCCTGATCTCTGATTTGAATTGATTTGAAATGTTTGCTTCAATCATTTTCAAAACAATCAAACACATTCTAAAAAAACACAAGTAGATCCTCTAAAGCTTTATCTACCTACATCCACACCAAATCACCTTCAAATTACATTTAATCTAGTTCTTGCTGATACAGATTTTTTACCAAAGCAACATATTTGTCAGCAAACAAGACATATTTGAACAACTTGGGTTTCTAAGAAAACTGTTCATATTAAAAATAAAACTTTGGACTGATTATTGAAACTGGTTGGACTCTAAAAGTAATTTTCAATATGTCAGATTTGTTTAATTTAAATCTGATTCTGTCATCATGGACGTAATTTTTTTGGGGGGGGGACATGTCCCCCCCACTTTTTCCAAAGTCAAGTTTTGACCCCTGCACTTTTTACCATCCAAAAACAACATTACGCTATATTAAATTGACACTGGTTGAGCTCTAGGACCAAGCGGAAAGCAACCGTTTGTGTTCAAGCCTGTTTCTCATTAGAACATATTGTAAAGATACCCCCCCCCCCCCCGTGTCCCCCCCCCCCCCACTTCTAAAGTGAAAATTACGTCCTTGTCTGTCATAAAGTAGCTGCTCGAGCCAATGATAACACTTTTTATTCACTTATTATTATTAAGAATGTTTGGTCTTTGCAGAGGCCCTTTCTGCTGACAAAAACTTTTAAAAATACAAAACATCAGAAATTACAGTGAAATAATCTGAAAACAGTCTAAAGTCTCAATCGTGTTGGAAGCAAGGTTACAACAGCCCGTTTTAGACAACACACCATGATGGCAAATCAGCATAATACAGCCGCCACGGTGTGTCTTATGAACGTGCCGCGATGGCATGGCGGTGTGGGAAAACCAAGGCATTCGTGCCGCCACGCTTGGTAGTGATATTGCTGCAATACCGGAGTTGTGAATGCAAATTACGCCTTTGTGCAACAGAGGGCGGTGTCATGATCACATGGGGAGTTACTGCCGAGCTCTGGTCAGCACTTATGTTGAAAATGAAAGCTGGAGGTGACATCACCAGAGACTGTACGGGGACAGACACCTTTAGGAGCAGCTTGTCAAAAAACCTTAATGAGCGTGGCTTCGATCGCTATCAAAAGCAAGTTAAATGGAAGTCCACGGCAGTGCAGAGAACGCCTCCATACCCTTTGATACCGCCATGTTGTAATTTTTTTTTCAAAAAGCACACGATTGCGCCACATTACCGCCACACTCTGAACACGTATAAAAAACCTGAGGCGCCCAGATGGCAGCTCAGCGTTGCGGCAAATTGGCGGCATTGTTTTCTAAAATGGACTAACGAAACAGATTTCCTTCTCTGCCGACTGGAGGCCAGTCTTTCTCCGTTTAAAAAGGCCAAAGAGGGATATGGTCTTTGCTTACAGATTGACTCATCTCCATACTTCCTGGTTCCTGAGCCAATCCTATTTGAGCTTGCAAGGTTGCCAAGTCTGCACCAGGAAACACTGCTGCACAGTAATTTGTAATTTGACACTGGCTGACATAAAGCAGCAGAGTTGTGGATAAAAGGTCAGCCAGTGTACAAGACCGACCCATTCTTGTGCCCCTTAGAAGCCACAGCATCTTTTTGTTTTACTCTAATATCAGGTAAAGATAATAGAAACTAATAGAAATATTTTCTTTGCTATCATCTATACAATCATGAGTATTATTGGATATTTCCTGACACGCAGTGATTTTAAACAGACCAAAACCATTGATTATTCCACTGCATCTCATTATCCCTGCTTGTTTGCCAACGCCTGCTCGGCCTCAACAGCTGGATGAGACTTTGACCAGAGAAACTGTTCATAACACTGTGTCTGCTCTACTCTGCTCCACCTGCCGCCTATAGGTGACTGTGAGAATGCCCCACCCCCTTTCTCTGCTGCCTCTGCCTTTGCCTCCCCCCTTCCTGCTGCCATCGAATCTGGTAAAGTTAAGCCCCCCCTCATCCTCCCAAATTCGACTCTCTCTTGTGTTCATTCGATTGTTAGTCTTTGTCTGTTTATCTGTGTTTTTAACCCTCCCCCAAAACACAGGAAAACATGTTTTTTCTGTAATGCATGCCTGTTCATTTCTGCTGTGTGCAAGTAATAATGCTCCAGTTTTAGTATGCATGTGACCCTTCAAAGTAACCTGTATGCATAACATGCTGCTTACATGTTTTGCTGTGTTTGGGCGCTTCTGCCTCAGAAATTCAAATTGATGAGCAGATGTTATTTCTGCAAGATTTACACTAATGTGTTTTTCTAAAAAGTGAGCTAACTTTGCTTTCATACACTTATAGATTTTAAACTGCACAGCAGCTGCAAATATACCAAATTACTCAATTTTCTTTTTTAAAACAAAAAAAAAAGAAAGAAAAAGATATTTGAGTTGTCTGATTTATAACGAAGACAAAATGAACCTGTTTTAATGCAAATATACCAAAAATGCTGCTGCGTCAGCTAAATTTTGTAGGAGAAGCTGTATTTTTCCTTCCATTAATCCATCGGCAATGGGTCTTTTGCTCTAGTAAACACATGCTTTTAATGACTGAAACTCTCTAAAAACCGCCTCAGAAGTCAGCCTCTGGATTAGTCTCCTCGGCTTAGTAAAGCGCTCCGTAATCACAGATGGGTCAGAGCGTTCAGATCGGAATGTCATAGAAATCGCATTGGTTTAATAACACCAGAGGTTTTGTTTTCACTGCCAGTGAACGAGTACAGAGTGATGAATCATGTTTTTTTATTTTATTTTCATTTTAATTTTTTTATAACCTAGGATTATGGTTTCAAAAGGACAGCAGCTAAATGGTACTGTATTTGACTTTGTGCAGCAGACGGGTATGGAGATAAATCGCAGATGACCTAGAATAAAAATGTGTGCACCAAAATAGTCTCAGATATTGTTAGACCTGGGAGACGACTGAACTATTTAGAGATCTGTCTTTAGATTGGTGAGTAACAAAGGATGTCAGACAGACTATTTATAGTGTTGTTCAGTGCAGTCTGTGTTTAACACATTGCTCTATTAATCATGTATTTCAAGTCAAGTCAAAGTCAAAGTCATTTATTGTCATTTCTACCACATGTGCAGGACATACAGAGAAATGAAATTCAGTTTCAGCACACACAATTCAAAGATCAGACATACGTGGGTAAGACACATAACAAGAATTGGTGACTGTGGTCATTCGCAACATGAGTCGCGCTACCTTAATAGATAGATGAAAAGGGTGTTACATGAGGATAAGTGGGGGTAGGTAAAAAAAAGGCATAGCAGAGTTAGCCCCAGCGGGGAGTAACTCTATTATACAAAAAAAAAAAAACTCCTTTCACATGGAAGCACAGACAGCACAGATACAACATCAGAGTCCGATGGGGAGGTGGGGATGGGCGGGATCCTGAAGCCTCCAATGGGAGCTGCCACTGCGGCGCATCGACCAGCTGCAGACCAACAGGTGGGAGGGAGAGATAAGGAACAGAGAGCACATTGAAGTTCCTGCAGACATGTCAGCCGAAAGGAAGAGGGTGAAGGTCGGGACACAGCATCTGTCGGCATTCCTCCTTTTGTGGGGGTGTGTTGAGGCAGCCTTGAGAGGCTGCTATGGCATCAGATAAGGATAAACATGACTTTGTTTAGGGCAGGCAGAGATAATCTTCCTCTCCGCCTTGGAGTCTCTAAGAGGTCATTCATGTCCACCAGTGAAGCCAGTTTTACATTCCACATCCCCGCATCGTCCGGCGACCCTCTCAGAGATCAAATCCATCTTGCGCACTAACACAGGCAACGCCGCGAGGACATTGTCCAGCTTACGGTTCACCTCAAGTAACGTCCCAGTCTGTGAGGTCACCGCACGTGCGGCACATTCCGTGGGTACGGGTCGCACTCCAATCGCTCCCGTCTTCCCAAATTTCCAGAAAACCAGATATCCTCCCACTCCAATCAGAAGAAATACAGTGATCATTAGGCTGAATATCCACAAATCTTCCACGTCCTCGATGGACAGCTGAGAGAGGCATACGATTTGCCAGACCTCCCAAGAATCGAGTGCATATCCCGATGCGAATGTCCCCTCGGGACAGGTGGGAGCCCCCTTCTCCGTTCTCATCGTAGAGAAAATTTTGTCAATCGCGTTGAATGACCAGTTAATTAGGTCCATATTTCCAAAAAAGAGTAGTGGTTCCAGGAGAAATGCAGAGAAGTGCTCTGTAGGCAGACAGGACAAGAGCCTTAGGGAAGCCGATAAGGGAGCTGAGAAAAAAGCGTCTGTACTCTCTGAAGGCTGAGAAGAAGAGTCTTTGAACTCTTTGTGTGTTTTTTTTATCATTATTTTAGTTGTTTTTTCAACTCTGTTACAATTCTGAATATGGTAATAATGTAATGTTACATGCATAAATAACACAACAAATCACAACCACAATGTAACATACCATAATGTAACTTACCATAATATAACTTACCGTAATGTAACTTACCATAATGTAACTTACCACAATGTCATATGCCATAATGTAACTTATCATAATGTAACATACCAAAATGTAACTTACCATAGTGTAACTTACCGTAATGTAACTTACCATTATGTAAATTACCATAATGTAACATTCCACAATGAAACTTACCTTAATGTAACATACCATAATGTAACATGCCACAATGTAACTTACCATAATGTAACATACCATAATGTCACTTACCATAATGTAACTTCCCATAATGAAACATGCCACAATGAAACTTACCATAATGTAACATACCATAATGTAACATACCATAATATAACTTACCATCATGTAACATACCATTATGTAACATACCATAATTTAACATACCATAATGTCACTTACCATAATGTAACTTACCATAATGTAACTTACCATAATGAAACATGCCACAGTGAAACTTACCATAATGTAACACACCATAATGTCACTTACCATAATGAAACATGCCACAATGAAACTTCCTATGATGTAACTTACCAAAATGTAACATACCATAATGTAACTTACCATAATGTAACATACCATAATGTAACTTACCATAATGTAACTTACCACAATGTAATATGCCATAATGTAACTTATCATAATGTAACATACCAAAATGTAACTTACCATAATGAAACATGCCACAATGAAACTTACCATAATGTAACACACCATAATGTCACTTACCACAATGTAACATACCATAATGTCACTTACCATAATGACACGTGCCACAATGAAATTGATGAATGTGATGAACAGAAATTTTCGCTAGATGGCGGCAGAGCGCCAATGGTGGGTACGGGCGGGGGTGCTGACGTCACCCGTGTGTCCGCCCGGTGCTCCTTCATCACGTTACAAAATTTACCATAATGTAACATACCAAAATGAAACATGCCACAATGAAACTTACCACATTGTAACTTACCATAATGTAACATACCACAATGTAATTTACCATCATGTAACTTACCATAATGTAACATGCCATAATATAACTTACCATACTGTAACATGCCATAATGTAACATATCATAATGTAACTTACCATAATGTAACATACCATTATGTCACATGCCATAATGTAACATACCATAATGCAACTTATGTAACATACAATTCAATTCAATTCAAGTTTATTTATATAGCACCAACTCACGACAAGAGTTGTCTCAGGGCACTTCACATAATAAAACATTCCATTACAGGTAAGTTCATTTAGCCAATCAGAAAAAAAGTTTCCTATATAAGGAACCCAGCAAATTGCATCACTGGTGTCAGTGACTTTACAGAAATCCTCATACTAAGCAAGCATTTAGCGATGGTGGAGAGGTGAAACCCCCTTTTAACAGGAAGAAACCTCCAGAGGATCCTGGCTCAGTATAAGCAGCCATCCACCACGACTCACTGGGGAACGGGAAGACAGAGCAGACACATGCATACACCGACACCAGCCCCCACCCCCACCCCCACCCACACACAAACACACATTCACACACACAACATATTTACCAAGTAATGTTTCTATGGTTACGTTGTGATTTCTTAGTAAATATTCTATTTGGTGAGAGATAAACTTTATTGTATTGATCCTAGTGAATCTATAATTAAATAAGTAAACTAGTAGTAGCACATGCAATGTCAAAGAAAGTAAAATGTTATTATCAGGAGAGGGAGAATGTTTAAGTGGTTAGCAACAGTGTTCAAGCCGATGCCCCCCACCATGAGGCTACCACAGCTCAGCAGAACATCATTGTAGCTTCTTCTGGGGAGAAAAACACAGAGAAAAAATAAAGTTAACAGCTGAAGTAGCAGTAAAATAATACAGTTAAAGAGCAAATTAAGAAAGTAGTCGAGTGTGGAAAGTGGCCATTATGTCCTCCAGCAGTCTAAGCCTATAGCAACATAACTACAGAGATAACTCTGGATAACCTACTGTAGCCTTTTAGATGGAGGCATGTTGGAGGCAGGGCAAGGGAGAGCCATCTTTACCAACTGTACACTCCACCTCTCTACTCCCCCACTTGTCCAGATCTGGGCTAACATCAGAATTTAACCATAGACCCTATCTAATAAAAATGTTTAAACCTAGTCTTAAAAGTAGACAAGGTGTCTGCCTCACAGACTAAAGCTGGGAGGTGGTTCCACAAGAGAGGAGCCTGACAGCTAAAAGATCTGCCTCCCATTTTATTTTTAGATATTCTGGGAACCACCAGTAAACCTGCAGTCTGAGAGCGAAGTGCTCGGTTAGGAACATATGGAACAATCAGGTCACTGATGTATGATGGAGCTTGATTATTAAGAGCTTTATATGTGAGAAGGAGGATCTTAAATTCTATTCTGAATTTAACAGGTAGCCAATGTAGGGAAGCTAAGACAGGAGAGATATGATCTCTCTTTTTTATTCTCATCAGAACTCTAGCTGCAGCATTTTGGACAAGCTGAAGACTATTAACTACATTCTGTGGACTTCCTGAGAGTAATGAATTACAGTAATCCAGTCTTGATGTAATAAATCCATGAACTAGTTTTCCAGCATCACTCCTGGAAAGGGTGCTTCTAATCTTAGCAAAGGAAATCGTACAAACCTGTTTAACGTGGGATTTGAGACATGTCCTGGTCGAAGATAACACCAAGGTTCCTTATTTTGTTCTCAGAGACTAATTTAATACCATTCAGGTCAGGTGATTGACTAAGCAATTTCCTTTTCTGAATTTCAGGTCCAAAGATGACAACTTCAGTCTTGTCTTGATTTAAAAGCAAAAAGTGCTGAGTCATCCAATTTTTTATGTCTTCAAGACAAGCCTGTAATCTAACTAACCGATTAGGTTTATCAGTGTTAATGGATAGATATAGCTGAGTATCGTCAGCATAACAGTGGCAGTTTATCCCATGCTGTCTAATGATTTTACCAATTGGAAGCATTTATATATATATATATATATATATATATTTTAAAAAGAATTGGTCCAAGCACTGAACCCTGTGGTACTCCACAAGTAACCCTGGAATATGAAGAAGATTTGTCATGTACATTAACAAAATTATGTCTATCAGACAGGTAGGATTTTAACTAGCCTAGTGCTGTTCTTTTGATCCCTACAACATGTTCAAGTCTTTCTAAAAGAACATTGTGATCAACTGTGTCAAAGGCAGCACTGAGATCTAACACGACTAGAACAGACACAAGATTCTTATCTGAGGCCATGAGAATATCATTTGTAACTTTCACTAATAAAGTTTCAGTGCTGTGATATTCTCTAAAACCAGACTGAAATTCCTCAAACAGATCATTAGTGTTTAAATGCTCACATACTTGGATGGCCACTATTTTCTCAAGGACTTTGGATAAAAATGGAAGGTTAGATAATTCATTGGGTCATCTGGATCCAGAGAAGGCTTCTTAAGTAAAGGTTTGATTACAGCATTCTTAAAATCCTGTGGTACGTATCCATTTACTAAGGATAGATTGATTATATCTAGAATGGGGGCAGTAACCAAAGGAAATACATCTTTAAATAATTTGGTTGGGATTGGATCTAAAATGCAAGTTGAAGGTTTAGATTAAGCTAATATTTTAGATAACTCTGAAAGTTCAACTGGATCAAAACGGTTCAAACACAGATGAGGTTCTACAGTTAACTCTGAAGTGCCTTTTTTTTCTCCACCTGACCCAATCCTCATGTAAACCCCTCTGATCTGTATTAAGGTAGCGCGACTCGGGTTGCGAATGACCACAGTCACCAATTCTTGTCATGTGTCTTTGTCTTTGCCTATGTATGTATGTATGTCTGATATCAGAATTATGTATACTGAAACTCTAATTTCCCTCTGGGATTAATAATGTATATTTGAATTTGTTGATTTAATTACCTCAGATGCTGCCTCACTTACTGAGGAAGAAGAAATCGCATTAGGGAGGATGCTAATGATTTTGTTTCTAATAGAATTTATTTTACTCGTGAAAAATCCCATAAAGTCGTTGCTGCTTACAGCTAAGGGAATAGATGGTTCAGAGCTATGATTCTGTGTAAGTTTGATGACTGTACTGAAAAGAAATTTTGGATTATTCTTATTCTCCTCAAATAGCCATGAAAAATAAGCAGTTCTAGCTTGTCAAAGCTTTTTTTATAAAGCACAAGACTATTTTTCCAGGATAAATAGGACTCCTCCTGGTGTGTAGAGCGCCATGTTCTCTCCAATTTTCTAGAATTTTGTTTTAAAGTTCGTGAATGAGAATTAAACCAGGGAGCCAACTTCCTGTGTCTAATTACCTTCTTTTTTAAAGGAGCAACATCATCTAATGCCACACATAAAGAAGAAGTAACATTATGAACTAAATCATCAATTTGTGAGGGGCTAGAACTAAAAATATTGCCCTCTGCTACATGCCTCTTAGATGCTGAGGACAGTAAAGATGGAACAGTTGATTTAAAAGATGCAACTGCGTTGTCAGATAGAGACCGACTATAGTAAAATTTACTTTCATTTCTCGAGAACTCAGTCATAAAAAACTCAAAGGTTGTCAAAAAGGGGCCCGGGAGGACTGAATTATGTGGAAATATCATTATTTCTTCACACTCTATGCCATAAGTCAGCACAAGGTCTAATGTATGATGGCAGGAGTGGGTGGAGCTATGTATTCTTTGAGTATAACCAATTGAGTCTAAGATGTCACTAAAGGCTACATTGAGGCTATCATTTTCAATGTCCACATGGATGTTAAAATCCCCCACTACAATGACCTTATCAATATTTAGCACCAAATCAGAAAAAATATCAGAGATCTGATCCAATAACTCAGAGTAAGGGCCTGGTGGACGATACAAAACTACAAACAAGAGTGGTTTTACAGTTTTGCAATCTGTATTAGGAAAACTAAGAATAAGATGTTCAAAAGAACTGTAACTATTAATTGGTAAGGGATTGATTAATAGGTCTGAATGAAAAATGGTTGCTACTCCACCTCCTCGCCCTGTACTTCGAGCAATATGATGATTTAAATAACTAGAAGGAGTCGACTCGTTTAAACATACCATAATGTAACATACCACAATGTAACATGCCATAATGTAACATACCACAATATAACATGCCACAATGTAACATACCATAATGTAAAATACTATAATGTAACATACCGCAATGTAACTTACCATAATGTAACATACCATAATGTAACCTACCAGAATGTAACACGCCACAATGTAACTTACGATAATGTAACATACCATAATGTAACTTACCACAATGTAACATACCATAATTTTACATACCACAATGTAACTTACCATCATGTAATATAACACAATGTAACACACCCCAATATATAACATACCATAAGGTAACATACCATAATTTTACATACCACAAGGTAACATACTATAATATGACATACTACAGTGTAATACGCCATAATGGAACATACCACAATGTAATATAACACAATGTAACATAATGTGGCGTAACATTTCTTAATGCAATAATACATCCTACTGTAACAAAATATATTGTCATACATATTATACTATAATATGTTGTATACGATATCATACCATGTCACACAATTACCATATTATATTGTACTATACCACACTGTGATATACCACATTGTACTTTACAGCATGATGACATACCACATCTTACCATACCGTATCATATTATAACACATCATACTATATTGTATTGTACAATACATCATTGTACTTTACCATATTGCCATAAACCACTTTGTACCTTACCATGCTGCACAGTATTGCACCTCCATGTACTATACTGTACTAGTGCATCATACTATTCAGTACCATACAATATCAAATTATTTCATTCCAGACTATGAAATATTTTACTTTACCATTTCATACTGTGTTTTACCATATCATGATATACAGTATACATCAAAATCATACCCTTTTGTATTGTACTCCTACACATTATGTATGTATTTATTATAGTGTACTGTCTAGTATTTTGTCATGTTGTATTAAATAGTATCATAGAAATTTCAAAATTCCTTTCTTACTGAACAGGAAAGCTGTCGGATTTGATTCCAAATTCAATGCAGATTTTCTAGATTTAAACTCTTCTCTTTCGACCAAACACTGATAATATTACTCCACGTTATGATAATATAATTGATGCCATTTAAACCATGATATTAAGTTGCTTTGAGTCGATGTTGCTCCTTTGTGTTACTTTATCATAGCTTTTTGCAGCGAACTGCTGAAACGTGGTCAGACAGCTGAATAAATGACATTAATCATCAGAAAAAAGGAAAGTTGAGTCTGACATTAGTCAAAAGAAAAATACTGCTACCAGATTACAGATCTTGTAGGATATCATTGCTCCACTGGGACACTATCAAATGTTGTGAAGGTATTGCACCATAACAGGAAGTAAACTGAGATTACCACCAGTTTTATTTCTGCAGGCTTTGACAGCTAAACTCATTCTGTACCCATCAGCTTAGTGCAGCACACTCTTTCCTCCCTGTGCTGCTGTATTCAAATCCCTGTCATTTGTAATTTGACTTTATTGAATTTGGTTGTGTTTGCTATCATGCAGCTCCCTGCAGCCCCCACAGGTTGCCTTTCTGCAACTCGCTCAATCCTGCTAGTCCCAATAGAGTTGGATTTCAGGGAGGCTCTCAGTCCACTCCCAGCACCCCCAAGGTCAGACATGGACAACTATCATGTTCTTTACTTTCACATAACTTTAAAACAGGAGTAACTGTAAAAATATGTTTAGTCTTCAATCTAACTCTGCTTTCAGAAAGAGCGAGTGCGCAGAGAAAGAAGAACGGCTTCCCCTGGTTGTGGGTCTCCTCTGAGAAGATCTGATTCTCCTGCAAGCGTCACTAAGTACTTAGCGTCTCCTACTACCTCCGGGTAGGATCATTAGTCATCACTGAAATAAATGTTTAAAAAAAGTCACTCAATTCTTAAAGTCAGACTTCTTTGTCTTTGAGTAGGTTAGTGTCTAAGGTGCGGGCCCAGTCTCCCAGCAGTCCATGCCAGTACCACCAGTCTCCAACAAGACATCGTCCAAATCTGGCGAGTGGCGAGAAGAAGGACAAGATTGAAAAAGCGTGTGATGAATCCAAAGTGGAGCCAGTGGCAAAAAGCAGAACTGAGTCCAACGGCTTGAATTCACCTTCACAGTTTGGGAAGATTGCAGCCAACGCCAGCAGGGAAATGTCTCCATCTGAGAGAAGGGACCAAGTGTTCTCTGAGGTGGATCCTTCACAGAAGAAATTACAGAGTGGAGACAAAGGTAGAGGTGAGCTACAGGGGGGTCTTATAGGGTTATGTTTTTATTTTTTTAAACTTCTCTGTGTGTTTAACAGAATCCCCAACGATCACGTCCTCAGGGAAAGTGGGGGTTGGTACGACGAATGCAGAGGAGGCTACGAGGCTGCTGGCAGAGCGCAGGCGTCAGGCTCGAGCTCAGAAAGAACTGGAGGACAAAAAACGGGAGAAACAGGAAAAAGAAAGGTGAGTTAACTGAAGATGTTACGGCCAGGCTTGAGCCCTGGGTATTTTCTATCAAATGAAAACCACAAAACATCAATTTGTAAAGAATCTGTGAACTTTCTCATCAGATTAAAAGACGAGGAACTAAAGAAGCAGCTGGCTCAGGAGCAGCAGCGGCAGGAGGCGACGGCTCAACTCGTGGAAGAGAGAGGGAACAACCTGAAGGACTCCCACAGGCTGAAAGAAGAGGAAGACACAAGAAAAGAAACGCAACATCAAAAAGATCTACAGATCCACATGGACACAGAGGTCAGGGGTCACTGTAACCAGCTATTGATGGAGAACTGTACGATTCAAACTCTTTGGAAATGTTAATCGTAACAATTCCCCACTTCATATACGCTTATTGTTGTGAACAGAAAGAAAAGGCCAAAGTCCAGCAGGCCCATGAAGATGCAGAACGTCATCGACAGGACAGAGAACTGCAGACACAACAGGAAGAGGAGGAGAGGCAACTCAGGAAAAAGGTTCTGCCCAATTATCGTCAGAAAAAACGCGAACCCAACCTGATTACAGTTTCATTTTAACGTTTTTTGCTTTACTTTTGCAGAGAATTGAGGAGATCATGAAGAGAACAAGGAAGAGTGAAGCTGATATGAAGGTAGTGTGAGAGAAACCGCTGACCTGCTGCCTTTAACGTCTACTGAGACTTAGCTCCTTTTTTATGTTTTTATTCATCAAGTGTTTGACCTGCTGTTGTTTTTATGATTATTTATTAAATGAAATCATTGCTGACTCTTTGGTTTTGTGTCCTGATTGTTGAATCAGAAGGAGGAGCAGGTAGAGACGAACTCTGTCTCTCCAACAGGTCAGTATGTGCTGACTCAGCCTTTCAGCTGGCGTGCTGTCCATCCTTATTTTGCCCCTTTCTGAATGCCTTGCTGCTGTACAACTGAAAACGGCATGAGCGGTTTATGATTTAATTTATGATTCGGCAAACCTTTATGCATGTGCAGCAGCATTCTGGGTTTTATTGAGCTGGCTTGTTTTGACTCTCAGATATTTATGTCATCTGATGCTTTGGCTTTGGTTTGTTCGGAGGAATGAGCATCAAGAATCCAACATCAACCAACAAATTAATATTGTTGTATTATTTGAGTGTTGGGCCTTTTATTGAAATGATTTGCAGTCTTCTGCATGTTGCATATTGTCCTATAATTTATATTTTAATTTGCAGTTATTAGGCAATATGCAACCAGATTATATTGTACAAACTTGTGTGTTTGCCCTCAGTTTAATTAGTAAAACAGTTTTTATGTTGTGTTAATATCTGACACAAGGCAAAGATGCCAGTAAAGGCATGGGTGCATTAACAAGGACTGCATTTCAGTTCTGCAGCTGTGCATGCTGGTTGATCTCTAACAAATATTTAGAAGCAAAACTTCCTGGAATCCAAAGGATTCCTCATTATTACACGTTCCCTACTCTCTCTGGGTCAAACTGGGTCTGCTGTGAAGTGGACCAATCCATTGGTTTATGTTTTTGCATTAATAGTGTAGATTAATCATGATTAATCAAGTAGATTAATTAAATTAGAGCATCTAAACAAGAAAAAATACCCAGTTTCTCTGTAAACAAAAACTAGAATATTAATAATCATTTACCTTTAAAGGGATACTTTGAAACTTCTTCATATTTTAAATGATTTTCTTGAGCCAGTATGTGCTAAAATGACCCTTTACACTTGGTTAATGAAATGTCACCCAGCCCCTATCGCCCCCCTGTGGCCAGAATATTCCACTTGCAGCTTTAGTCTGGCGGCTGCTCTGTCACCGCTTGGAAAGAAACTGAACTGACATACCTGGTGCTGCAGTCTGCTTCCAGAAGGTTTCCTGCATATTTTAGATCCTAAACACAGCTGATTTGTTTGAATTAGTGATGAACTGCTCTTGTAGACACTAGTAAAGGCTGGGGAGATCTTTCAACTGTTACATTAAGGTGTTCAAAAGATGAACGCGCAGAGAGGAGATTTTTGGTTTCGGTTCTACAAACAGACACTAGGGGTTGCTAAAAACAAGCCAAAACTGCCTAGTATCCCTGTAAAAGTATACCTTCAGATGTTTATTGGATTATCTCAGTGATTCAGCTTGAGGGTCTATGCATGTTATAGTAATTGTTTTTAATGGAAAAAAATAAACAGTAATGAAAACCAAAAATAAATAAACAATAGACAGGATTGATTTAGCGAAAAAATACTGAATAATGTGTTCTATTAACAAAAAGGATTTAAAAAAATGTTTTAAAAGTTAAACTACTGGTAAACAAAAATACTCTTTATTCATATTCTGACACCAGATGTCATCAAACAAGATCAAATTACCAACAATTTGTCAAAGTTACTTCCTGTTAATGTTTTCAGACCATGGATGGATCCATTAAAACAGGAGGCATCGTTGTTTTAAACAGAAGATCCTTTTGAATCCAGGAAGTAGACGTTTAATTTCCAAAACATGCACAGACTCTTGTGTCTTTTTCGTATTATGATACATATTTGACTCCATGAGCTGAGGCACAATAGGATAGTTCCATCCATCAAATTTCAGGTGGTTATCTTATCATTTTACAAATGTGTCAATAAATAAACCCAATAATTATTAAACAATTGGATTTGGAACATAATAGCAGACTGATCAGAATGCCTACTTGCCTAATGGCTGTGCACAGCTGTAGAGGAGGAGCTGTGAAGGACTTTTTCTTGGTGCTGATAGGATGTCGATCTCTGCAGAGCAATCCCACTGGAGCTGACGCTAAAATTAGCCCGCTCTTCAGAATGTCCTTGGAACAGCTATTTAGAATGGACTTCTCTGCAAAGTGTATTTGAACTGTCCAGGGTTGACTGTGGCAGTGAACAAAGATTTGGTCAGAAATCTTCAATCAAAGCTCACAAAACCTACCAGAGATGTTGAGCGGATTTATTTGGATCCGTCGTGTTTCTGTGTTAAAGTCATAATTATTATCTGACCCACTGAGGATAGCTTCCTGAACTAGCCTTTTTTATACCAGGGAGTAGATACAGGACAGATGAGCCAACACCAAGTTCAAACCAACCAAGATCAATCTTACCTGCTTCAAAACACCTTCAGTTTAAAAGAATTCCCATAAATATGTACAAATGTACCTGCAGTTAGCATGACATGGTTGTTTTCTTGGTTTTCTACCATAATAAAGATCACCAACTGTGGCTCATTCCGGGGTTCAAGTCCGGCAGGAAATTCTTGATATATTTATTAACCTAAAAATACAAAAATGATGGCAGTGCTAAGGTTTGTAAAGTAATGTGGCATGACTGTTATCAAAGAGTGTTAATTAGAGCTGCTTTAAAACAGCAGCTGGACTAGCAGTTAGCTCATCAGTCCTGTAGGGTGTAAACTCTGTTTCTCCAAACGGAGGCCATTCAGGAAGCAATCTACAACAGGTAAGATAATGATTATTTAAAACCTTTACACAGGAATGTACTGGAAATGGCTGGAAAATCCCTTCAACTGGACAGTCCAAACAAAGTAAAGTCAGCTGTGATGTTTTCTGTCCTCCACAGAGGATCTAACTCCTAAAACTCAGGTGACTGAGCAGGTAGGCAAAAGGGTGGAGGTTCAGCTGAGAGAGCAGGTCCCAGCTCAAGTCCAAACTAAGGAATGTGCTTCTCTGAAGAAAGAAACAGCAGCACAGGTGGACAGCAAGGAGGTTCAAAACGACAACCAGCCTGTCAGACACAGCGTTCCAGAAAACAAACCTGATAAGAAGCAAACGAGTAGAGAGGATCAGAGCAGCCATAAAGAGGCTATTAGGCAAAAAGGAGCTGAAGTGGAACAAAATCTGAACAAGCATCTCAGAACAAACGTTAAAGTCACAGCCCAGATGAACGCAGAGTTGGTCAAGTCCACGGGAGACTCCAACAGGAACCACAGAGAGGGTGGTGGGGTGAACGGAGCAGTGAAAGATAAAGGAGGCAGAAGCCTGGATTTGCAGACATCCTCTGTGAGGCAGCCTAAAGCAGGGTCCCAGGATGTGAGACCACCTGTGACCACGCTGCCAGTTGGACATTTATCACCACCAGTCATCAAGCTGGGGCCTCTGGATGTGAAGCGTACAGGGTCTGGTGATGAGGTGCAGTCAATGGAAGTCAGGTGAGCTACAGCCAGTTTCTACTGCAAAAAACACAAATACCATTTTCTCTTAAAACATCATTTTGGAAAAATGTTATCTTCTTAAAAAATTGTTTCAGTCCAGCTTCAAAGGAAGAGCTGATCTCAATCCCAGAGTTCTCACCCATCAATGAAATTCAGCAGGATGTCATGAGAAACAACCGGGCTCTTGAGGATCTAATAGACCTGACAGGAAGCGTCACGTACCAGAAACGACCCTCTGAGATTACCGTGACCGGCGACTGCAACAAGAACCTGATCGAGGGAGTCGTCAGTCCCATGTCAGACTCAAAGCTCGTTGGGATTTCAGCCCCATCCTCCAACAACCTTAGCGTCAAGTAGTTTCTCTTCCTCTCCTGTTGTCTTCTCTTTCTTCTGTCTTTCGATTGCACATGTGCACACACACACACACACACACACACACACACACACACACACACACACACACACACACACACACACACACACACACACACACACGTGTATGACTATGTGCCTGTGTGAAAACAGCTAAGGGAACAGAGCCATAATAACTATCTTAGAGATGCAAACCATGACTTGCAACATGTGAAAATGAACATAAAAGATGAGATTAAATCAGTTTAAAACACTAATCACTTATATAGTAAAACCACGAATATGTTTGATATGAAGAATGAGAGACAAGCACATGATTTCAGAGTGATTATGCACAGATCGGCTGTCTGTAAATAAATTATAAGAAAAAGGACAAAATAAACACATAGAGTTTAGAATTAAAAAAACAGTCTAACTTGCATCATCTAGAAACTGTATTTTTGTTTGTTCTGCTCCGTTACCAAAGTATTAGAAGCTGCTCAGAACATCAGTTACTGCACCTGCACCTCTACTGTCCCTCTTCCTGAAACGTTCACCTCAAACTTTACACGCTTCGAGGAAGTGGTGTCATTGAGACGTAGAGATTTGTGCATGGTTCCTTTGGCAGGAGCATCAGAGCTATACTTCTGTGAAAAACACCTAAACATCTGATAATGCTCGATCGTGCAGAGATCTGCTAAAAGCATATGAGCGAGAAAACCTACGCCATCATGCTGTGAACTGGAACTTTAAAATAAATAACAATTTTTTTGTTGATTTGACTGCAGCTGCACGGAAATCCCCAGATTAGCATATTTTATTTCATATTCCACAAATAAAATGAGTTCCTCTGGTGTCAGCCAAACTGTTTCATGTCAGCTTCATGTAGCACTTTAACCGTGTCAAACACAAAGAGGATTTGTGAGGAAAATTCAGGAATGTTTGCTTTAAACACACATGAATGTATGACATGTTAGTTGTGTGTAGTTTTTTTCTCTTCATCCTAGTCTGGTTCAGTGCAGGAAACATATACAAACAAGTAATCATTTTCAGTGTTTGTCAGACGGCGCTCATTTATCTTAAAGTCACAGTGTGCATTTTTCCTGGCGATAGGGGGCAGTAGATACCTAAATCGTTGCAAGCAAGCAGTATTTTTGTGTTGGAATAAGACCTTACCAACGGATGCCCATTAGGGTCAAAAAGGGGAGTACAAACTTTAGCTAAATAACAAGCACATATACCTCCTTCTTATCACTGACAACAAGTGAAGAGGTAAATGAGTAAAACAACAACATTTAAGAATGACGAAAGTTTTGTAACGATTTGTTACAAATTAGTAAATGTATTTTGTCCTCACAGGCTCCCGTAGAGGAAAACATGGTATCTAACATGGCGTCACCCAGAGACTTAGACGCACTCCCACGTAGTTTAGACCAGATTTTTATGGTTATATGTTACAAAGCTGCCAACATTTTTCAGCAACTGGGCATCATTTAATTCATTTTCAACAACATTTTGATGGATATTTCCAGAAATGAATGGTAAAAACTACACATTGTCTCTTTAATGCATTTTTATTTATTTATTGCCGTAAATGTGACATTTTGCCTAATGCCTGCTATTGCTGCAGCTTTCCAGCTCCTTTGACACAAGCACCAGTTATAAGATTTCATTAAGATCAAAATCATTTAGAAAACACACCACCTTAATGTCAGATGCTTGTATTCATCTGAAGCAAAGTAGCCAAATGGGATTTGCATTGTACGTAGCATCAAAAAAGTTCTGAACTGATGTGTTTTATTTTTTAATTTTTGCAAAGAGAATTTATTTGTTGTCTTAGGAAACAAATTGAAGCATTTTCTGAATGTATTACAGTCTTTTTCAAAGAGTTCATTCAAAACAGCAACACAATTAACTGAACTCTTCATGTCATACAAATGTAGACATTGTGCATGGTTAGCATGGTCATAACAATGTTATGCAAAGAAAAAATAAAGAGAAAATCTGCAGAATCCGTGCATTTTGTCATGGTCTGCGTCTGCCCCTTCCTTCATGTGCCTCCTGGTGTTTCTCTATCCTCTCTAGGTGCTCCTTTTGTGTCTTCTAGCGCCCTCATGTGTCATGTCTGCATCTTTCTCATGTGTCTCCTGGTGTTCCCCATTTGCCCTTTAGGTTTCCCCCCTCAGACATCCCTTTCCCAAGTCCTGTGCTCTCTTGGCCCCCTCTTAGCCACACCCCTGTTGTTTCTTTCTATAGTGTTTTCCTTTAGTGCCAGCTTCCCCTTAGAATATTAGTTATGGTTCATGCTTTCTGGTCTTTTGTTTTTTCTCTTAGGTCATTTTCCTTTGTTACAGCCTTTCAGTATTTAGTGTGTTTTTTCCCACCAGTGTTTTCTTCCTCCTCCCTGAGTTAGTAATTGCATTCACCTGGTCCCTCTCCCCACACACACCTGCAATTATCTCCGTCTCATCTTCCCAGTCTGTTTAAGCCCTGTCTTGTCTCTGTGTTGCTGTTGGTCCATTGTATGTTTGTCAGCGTAGTTTTGTGTTCTATGTGAGCTTATGTCTCCAGGTTTTGGTGCTCTCAGTGAGCTTTTGTTCTTGTTACCAGGGTTTTTGGATTTTGGGATTTTTGGCTCGCTGCCTTTGGATTGATTTTTGTTCGTCCTGCAAAATAAAGCATATTTACTTTACATCATCTCCAGCCTCTTGTCGTCTGGGTAATCTGCACTTTGGGTCCTAACCTTTCCTTCCCCTCAACGTGACATATTTTTTATTTATTTTTTTGTCACAAATGTTAAAAGAATTCTAATAAAGTAGGTTCCTTATTATTTGTGATTATTTTTTTAGCAGACGCTTTTATCCAAAGCGACTTACAATTTCTAACCTGTAGGGCATGTTGTGATCTGTGGGGGAAACCGGAGAACCCGGAGGAAACCCACGCATGCATGGGGAGAACACGCAACTCCACGCAGAAAGGCTGCAGCCGAGTTTCGAACCTGCAACCTTTGTGCTGCGAGGCATTATTATTTACTTTAGTTATTCCCTCTGATTAGTTGTTTTTGTAGCATCCAAGGACATTGCTTGCTAATTCTGTTTTTTAAGTCTGATCAATGTAGATGGGCGAAAATGTATTTTAACTTTAGACTTTCTTCAGTAATGAAAAACATTCCCAAAACACAAATGTATTTTATTTCCACATGGGATAAATGTGGTGAACATGGATAGAATTAATCATTAAATATGGAGAAAGGAGTATTTGAAAAGGCACAGGAATTATTCCACTACTTTTATATAAAATAAAAAGCTAACATTTTAATTAGGTTTGATGTGTTAAACTTTCCTCAAATATTTCCACTTCTGTTTCAGTTTTTTTTTTTTGGGGGGGGGGGGCGCTCAAATTTGTCATTTACTATTAAATTATAAACCCCTACATGGTTTCCCTAACTCAACTTTCTTTTAGACATTAGTTTTTACCCATTAGTCATCAAGGCAGATTTAGCCTTTTTGTAAAATGAACCCAATTTGGAGTAGATGAAGGTTAAGTTGCTTGATTTCATTATTTTCTAAGTAGTAACACATTTCCCATCCATTCATTTTCAGCCGCTTACCCGGATAATAGGAAAACACAAAACACAATTTCTCATTATCCAAATATGAAACACAGTTATTTTTCCCTTTTATTTCCAGGTCAACCTGTTTTTATGAGGTGTGGCATGTAGTCAGTACTCCCGGGCGGTAGGTGGCGCGGCTAAGCGCCGAGCTCCGTGTGAAGAGAAGTAGACGAGCTTATTCTGTGTTTTTCGTCTCACACATCTTTCATTTTGATTTTCTCCTCGGTTTTGGTTTTGGTAAGTAGCTCTTTATATGGTCGTTAAAAAGCGATTTGCAACGAGCTGTATTAGATAACTTTTTTTTGTTTGTTGTGATGTGTTACTAACAGGCTGAAACCACTCTCCGGGATGATTTGAAAGCCATTTTGTTAGAGTTTCGTCGAGCTAGCCAAAACCCACTGTTAGCTTCACCAAGCTAATTTCCAAACACGGCTATCGACGTTGTTGTGTATTGGCCCAATTTTTTTGGATCGTTGTCACCGACTTCGAATCGTAACGGCCACGTGCTCGCTGTGACGTTAATTCATTGCGGAGTTAATTTGAGACACGAGTCGTTCTCTTATGGCGCTCCAGAGGAAAAGCTAAAAATGGATCCACATTCTGCTCCCGTCACAAGAATGTGAACCGAAACAGAATCCGCAGCCACCATAACAAACGAGTTCAGCGCTCACATGCAGCTTTGGACTAATACATGGTCATTCTCTTTCCTTATTTTAATGCTTTACTTTTCGCGTCAGCAACTTAGTTTTTTAGTCTTCATTTCACGTGATTGCAACGCGTGTAAACTGTTTTGCTATCAAATTCTTCCAAGACAAGTAAGTGAAAATTAAAATCCACATTTGTCAAAACTAGTACATTTAGATCAAGGTTTAATGGCTGTCCCCTCCCATCTCACTCAGGCTCTTATCCAACTTTAAACCCTACTTTTATGACATGATGATGCTGGGAGGAATAGTTTACTCCTGATGATTTGTGTATTGTACAACAGATATTTAGAGAACGGACTGATCTCCATGGTTTGCGAGCAATATGCCAGAGTCTAAGTGTATTTAACTCTGAACATTTTTTATTCTAATAATACATATTTTATATTTGGTCAGTAGAGGATACACTTGCTTCAGAAGATGGTTCGAACACAATATGGACCACCACGCTTGAAGCCCAGGTAATTAGTCAGCTGTGTTCTGATGTTTTAACAATTGCATCTAAAATGGATAGAGTTCTGCTCATATGACAGATTCAAGATTAATGTTGACTCAATTTTTACATAATTTTCTGAAAATTGGAATATTGTGGTTTTTAGTCTTCTGTGTTTTTCCTGTTAGATCCTATGGAGATGGCCGTAATGAAGGACGTTACAGCCCTAGCTCCAAGAGCAGAAGAGATGGCCAAGACTACTCATCAAAGCCCCCTCCGAGCTGGAGGGATTCCAGAGGTAGGGGTAGAGGACGAGGACGACCACCAGTTGGTCGAAGAACTCATGAAATGGGAGAGCAACGAGAGCCTCGTTTTAATCACTGGAGGTCTTCGGGTCAGGATTCCTTCCATTCCCACCATACCAAAATGCAACCACATCCTAGGTCCCCATCCAGGCTGAACCGCTCCCCTCAAGTCCAGCATCGTTCATCTCCTCACAGTTCTGCACACGGACACCAGAGTCAAAGGGGCCCATCTTTCCATGGGCCCCCGTCAGGTCACAGATTATCGTCCCCGAGACATTTCCACGGCCACCCAGCTGACAGGAGGCCAGGCTCTAGGCCACCCTACCAGGGATCTTTCAGGGGTTCCAAGAGGCAGCCAGGCTTTCCTCCCGAGCGGAGTCGAGACCCCCACCCAAGAGGAAGACCCTATGAACAGTCAGGCCATGGCATGAAGCGCTGGAACGAGTCTGGATCATTCTCTTTCTCACACAATGGAGAGCATCGCCCCTCTGGGTCACAGAGAAGCCCCAGGGAGATGCATGGGAGAGGGTCATGTCCAGAGAGGTACAAGAGTGAAGCAGTACCCCAAGCTGGGTAAAAATGTGTAACAGAGGAGGCCAGATGTTGGTCGTTTCTCCCTGTCTCACGTTGTAATGATCAACTCCAGCTCATGATAATTGTAGTTGATTAAAGTGGGTCTGGTGTAAATGTGGCATTAAGAGGAATGTTACATCTGTAGTTCCACTTAAAAATTTCCCCCTCCTACCTTTTTGATTCAGTCTCGGCTTGTGAAACGGCTGCATTTAAGATAAAGGTTAAAGTCCCCTGCCCCACTTAAAATGGCAATGGATCTGTCACTGTAATGATTTTTTATTGTTTGGTGGATGTGCAGGTGGTCATCTGAACAAGACTCCAGGCGGCAGCGTGGTCCTGTGGAGAGGCAGAGCAACAGACCCCCCAGTCGAGAGAGGGCACAAGGTGTCCCTCAGCTACCCCCTTACAGATCCCCCTCATGGAAAGGAGGCCCCTCAACCTCCTACAACAGGAGCTTTCAGGAGAGGCAAGAGACAGGGCCTCGCAAGAGGAGGATATCAAGCATCAGCATGTCTTCTTCAGGTCCTGAACTGCCGTATGGCAACTCTAAGTACCCCAGGAGAGAGAGGCCTCAGCTGATGAGTCTTCCCAGGCCATTTGGTGGTCCGCCTTTTTCTTTTAGGGGCAAAAGTTACCTAATGAGGAGCAGGCCATTTAGAGCAGAGTCTCTCATGAGGCTCAGAATGCCTCCTGCTGGGAGACCCAGGCCTCGCTTGGGCGATGGAGCCATACGAGGATACGCCAGCTCTGTTTTTGCAATGAGGAAGAGGCGTTTCCAGCCAAGGCCAGTTCCTCTGAAGGACACAGAACCAAGAAAGCCCAAACCTGAAACATCACCCTCCAGAGAGGAAGACAGAGCCAGCAAGTCCTCAGTAGAATCTGACACAGGAAAAGAACAGGTGGAGTCTCGTCGCTCCTTGAACAAACACAGGTATGGTATTTTCCTTGTAGCACTGCTCGCTGGGGCTTGATGGTGATGATGATGATTAAAGGGTCAAGAAAGAATGTGTGAAATGGTTACCAGCTGTGGAAAATGGAGATGTCATGATGAGCTGAATGTGCAAGAATTTGATGCAAAGTCACAAAATTCTCACATGCCTCCCAAACTACGTGCTACACATGTTTCGAAATACCTACCTCTCAAGTGGAGTGAAGAACAGGTTTAGACCCAATTTACAAACGGGCCCAAAAAGTGAGTCAAACATCCATGAAAGTTACACGAGCTGTACTTCTGAAGGATTCCTCCATCAGCATTCATGTCTAAGGCTTGATGAAGTGCATCCCTGCATGTTGTGATGACGCCTTCATTCTTGTTCAAGAATCACAAACTTGTGTCAAAGCGCACTTGGGTCTGTGATGCAAAACGGGTGATGGAAATGACGTGACCTTAACTGGAACTGCCGAGCTGCAGCCTAACTGGAAACTAATTGGTCTCTCGGATAAAAGGTGCAACAACGTTGGAGGCTCATCGGCAGCCTTTAATGGAAAACGAGACAACCCTCACAAGGAAGTGGATGAAAAAACCAAGAACAAAGCTGGATCCGGAGCTTGCATGGCGATGGGCTACAACAAGAGTTTTCTGGAAAACAATAATTGGATATTGATTAAAAGATGGTCAAAGAGCAAATGCTTTCCCTAAATCAGCGATCGCTTAAGAGTTTCACTAGTTCGTTTTACAAAAAGCATTTGGAAGCATTAAAAAGGCCCAATGACCGGCTTTCTTCTGATAAGTTACTGCCACAGCAGCCAGGAATTGTCTTCCTGTGAGCATCGGTTATATTTAAAAGTGGAGTGGATTTACTGAAGAAGCCATTTCTCAGAATTAGAAATGTTTTACTGCGGCTAACATGAACTCTTGGTGATGCTGCCTCCATCCCACTAACGGAGGGCTCTACTTAACTGTGTCAAGAATTGTGAAGAGGAGGGGCACGTCCATTGTAAACTTGATATTTCCCATTTCAGAGCTGGATCTTTTTGAAAGTCAATAAGGTTTAAATCCCTGCAGCTACGAGATGGATGGACCTGTTTGTGTCAGCTTTTACTGCTGGAAGGAACCACAGATATGTTTCAGAGTGCAGAAAATGGATTCCAGATTAATGTAAACCCAACAAATTGGGATTACAAGTGACGCATGTTTTATATTAATACTGCATGGGGCAGTATGACCTCAACAATTGATGTGGTCAGTATCTTATGTTATTCCATATGTGATGTGGCCTAAATCTAGTCAGGAGTTTCCCCCTTTGACCCTGATGGAAATAGTCATTTACAAACCAGGAAAGCTGCCATCAACATTACAGCTGTGTGAGTTTGGTGGAGTGGAGACGCACTAAACCAGTTTTTCTTCCCAAGAAGTCGTCGAATCGCCTAAAGCCAATCTCATCTCCACATGTTATTGGATTTTGATGTTAAGCCAACCTGAATACTCCATATTTAAAAAAGAGCAGGATATTCAACAGCACAGCCATTACAAAGCCTTTAGCTGACTGCCTCGAAACTCGAACCCAAGTATCAACTGAGAAGCAGCTGTGGAGAAGTAACCAATAATCTGACCCCATCTGCTGCGTCAGCAGTTTAAACCCCCGTGAAGATGATTGCAGAAGGAAGTGGGTGGAAAATCTAGTATCGGCTGATCATAAACCCATCTGAGGTTCAGCCCGAGGATGAAAACGCCTCCCCCGTGTTTGACGAAGGATCATCGAAGGCTTGACGTGATCTAGCCGAGTTTCTTACATCCTTCCAGGATTTGGCTGCTGTAACAATTTCTGAGTAAAGGGGAGACAGCTGAGATTGGTTCAGGGTACAATAGTAGGAGTAATCCAGCATGGACATTCCATGTTTTTGTAAGTACCCAAATGATATTTGGATCTGTGATAACTTATCAGATTAAAAATACATTTTCTTTCTGGTTAAATGTGTTTTCCCTCTTACATGTGACAGGGTAATTCAATTTCATTTCATTTATACTGTTTCTTTTAGTGTCAGTAATTTAAAATTGTTGTTGCTGGGTTTATAAAACAAAATCCAAACGCTTGCTTTCATTAATTTTCTCAGGTCTTCACCCATTGAGAAACGGGATCTTGTGGTTTTGTCCCACTGGCCTCCTGGACCGAGGTCCTCCACCAAAGACTCCACACCTCCAAAAGGCTCCAGCCCAAAGTCAAAGACTGGTGAGTCTGTTCCCATAAAGACTGGAGGTTCTAATGCTGAGATCTAGCTTAAACATTTCTATGTTTTTACTTCAGACCGCAGTTCAGATGGAGAGTCCTCATCAAATAGGCGACTATCAACTGAATCCAGATCTCCTGAAGACAGAAGACATTACTTGGATAAGAGGGTGTTTAGGTAGCATAAATACTGGAACAATCAGTCTGGCGAGAACCTTTGTCTAGTTTCTAAATGTTCTTTTTGTTTTGTTTTTCCAAGACCACCTAATGTTGCACATGACAGCAGATCCCCGAGACCTTTCAGGAGGCCACCGCCCATGCAAGTAAGTGAATAATTTGTCTAAATTTCCCATATTTCATAACTTGATAGCAAAAAATAAGCATCACTAAAAAGCAGCATAACACCCTGTAAGCTATGAGGCCATTTCAAAACTTTGATTTGATCGTAATCCTCATCAGCTTCATTTATAAAGCACGTATCATCAACCAGAGGTCATACTGAAGTTCTGTACAAAACGAAGACTGCACCACGGAGACGGCCAGCCGAGATGCACTAGGGCTGGGACTTGATTAAATAATTAATGTAACGAATTAAAGGCCTTGCATTTAACTCATTTACTGCCATTGACGACTAAAGTTTGTTTCAAACGGAGAGCGCTGTGATTGGCCCACTATATTAGCTTTGTGGGCTAATCGGCACTGTGAAGCTGTCCAGACTGGTGATTGTTGGTGACTTTAACATCCACGTTGATGATCCCTCTGATCACTTTGCCATGAATTTCTCCAGCCTCATGGACTCCTTCAGTTTTACCCAGCATGTTTCTGGCCCCACACACACCAGGGGGCACACTCTGGACCATGTTTTTATCCTGGGTCTAAATGCTGACCGTGTTTGTCCTGAGGACGTTTATATTTCAGATCACCATTGCATTTTCTTTATCTTGTCAGTTTCTGCGTCCCCACCTCCTGCTCGCCGTATGTTTATGTTTATTCATTTAGCAGATGCTTTTATCCAAAGCGACTTACAATTTATAACCTATAGGGCATGTTGTGATCTGTGGGGGAAACTGGAGTACCCGGCGGAAACCCACGCATGCATGGGGAGAACACGCAACTCCACGCAGAAATGCCGCAGCCGAGTTTCGAACCTGCAACCTTCGTGCTGCGAGGCAACAGTGCTAACCACTGCGCTAGTTCTCGTTTTCTTAATGAGCACAGCTAGCAATTTTTCTGCTGCTTTTGATCCACCCTGTTCTTCTGATAACGACCCAGATTCCTTAACTTCTCAGTTTAAGAGCACTGCCTCTCCATTCTGGACAACATCTGTCCTGTCAGAACCAGATCAGTTCCTGCAGTGAACCCTACTCCCTGATTCAATGACAGCCTTCGCAGCCTGAAGCGCCAATGCAGAAAAGTTGAGCGTTTGTGGAAGAAAATCCATCTCCACGTCCATCTGCTGCACCTAAAGTATCTTCTGACATCCTTTAACTCTGCAGTCAGAGATGCCAGCGTTTCCTATTTCTCCAACCTGGTGTCCCAGAGCAAAGGGAAACCCAAGGTGCTGTTTAACACCATCAGCAGCATCGTGTCTCCTGCCTCTCCTACAGCCTCCATCCACTCTGTTGCAGGTTGTGAGAACTTTCTGTCTTTCTTTATGGACAAAGTCAATAAGGTTAGATCTAGAATCTCTCCTTCAGCCTTATCGCTGCCTCTCCCGACTCCAACCAGGCACATCATACTAGATGGCTTTGCTCCTGTTTCTTTGCCTGAGTTATCCAAACTAGTTAACTCTATGAAGACCTCTGCATGCCCCCTCGACATCTTACCCTCATCTTTGTTTAAAAGTGCTTTTCAGTCCATCGGTACCAGCGTGCTCTCTCTAATTAATGCTTCTCTGGTCTCTGGTCAGGTCCCTTCTTACTTTAAGAACGCTGTAATCCCCCCGCTTCTTAAAAAACCGAGTCTCGACCCCTCTCTCCATATTATATAGCTTGCCAGGCTTTTGACCTCTGTGACTGGGCAATTTGGATGACTTACACCTCTTAAGTAGTGTTAAAGCCAAAAGAATAAAGTGATACTCATCAACATTTGATTGACAGCTCAGTCAGCCAATGAGACTTCTCATAACACGGCCATACACAAACCTGGAAAGAGAAGTCCTACAGGATGTTCCAGTTCTATTTGTTTAGGTCAAAATGTCTTTGTTTTCTGTCTATTTTCAGTGTGACAAAAGAGTTGGGGCTAATAGTGTACACAAAAACAAATAAGAACAAGATATGTAAATAATTACAACAGGATAAAAGTTAGGAAATTATGTAAAACCAAAACTAAGGAATGGGATTGAGAATAAAAGCGAGTCTTCATTCGACTTAAACACTATCAGGAAAGGTGCTTGTCTGACTTCCAGCTGAAGGTCATTCCACAGTTTATGAGCCAAGTCCAAGAGGACCCTGCCTAAGTGCACATGTAGAGATATATCGGGTGAGTCGGTCAGACAGGTGGGATGTAGTACTACCGTGTACTTATAAACAAAGATAAGCAGCCTTAAATTCCCTCTAAAACAAGCTGGCTGGAAATGTAAAATGGCCAAAACTGATCAAACATTCCATCGTGCAATCTGGTACCTGTCAGAAATCTGACTGCAGCATTTTGGACAAGCTGAAGCCAGGCTAGTGCAGCCTAGCTAACGCTGAGTAAAAGGAGTTAGAATAGTCCAAGTGCAAAGTAACCAGTAATTGGTGTACTACCATCTCCAGTTGTGTTTGTGACACTAGCTGCTTGATTCTGGCGAGGTGGCCAAGATGAAATGAGCACACCGCCACATTTAGTGGTGCCAAATCTAGCTTCACACCCAGATCAGCAGTAACATTTTTCCCAAAGGGTGCCAGCAACCTGAGGTTGATCTCCTGCTGGGGCTAAAAACAATGACCTCACTGAAATTTAGAAAGCTGGAAGCCAGCCAGCTCTAACCCCTCCAGACAACGCAGCAGACGGACGTAATACCAGATCCACAAAGTTTTTATACATAGAGGCTATCAGACCTAAAATGCCATCCAGAAAAAGGTCTAATTTGATCTATTTACCCATAAATACTCAGTTTCACTGATGCATTTCACAGAGACAACGGTTTCCTGGGGGTCCAAGGAATTCTGGACCGACGCCGCCCGGGCCTGTTAGAAGACCTCTCATGGTACGCACAGCTGTGAAGACCTCCTATCCCCCTTTGGGATTGCTGCTCTCATTTCTTTGTAACTAATATTTCTTTGTATTAAATAGGAGACTTTTGTGCCGCGTCCTTTTCCAAATCAGAGACCAGCATTCAGGAAAAGCTACTGCATCGTGTCCAAATATCGCAACATGAGAGTGATGCGCCAGCGCCCTCCCTACAGCCGAGGACCCAACCAGCAACGCTAGTGTCATCACCTGGTAAGTTAGGTGTCTCTCTTCAGGTCACATCCTGTTACCCTTCATTATTTCACACTAATGGTTTTTAAATGTCACACACTGCCTCTGAAATGTGTAATAATTCAAATGCATATTGTGCTTTCAACACAGGTTCCAGATTCTGTGAGCTGAGAAATCCTGCAAAGTTTTTTATCCTGGTCTCTGTGGGGCAGCTTCGCTTCAACCCAACCCGCTAGTGTGTCGTCGGTGTTGTTGCTAATATGTGATCTTTACAAGTTTGACTGTTTTATTTCCATCACCGCTGTACTTAGTTTTAGGACATTTGTAACATACAGTGCTCTTTGGTTTCTTTAGCGCTCGTTGCTTTCAAAGTTGGGAGTCCTAATTTGATGTAGTTGGTTCTAGCTAGTCTGTTTTTCTTTATACAGCATACACTTTATTATGTGACTTTAAATCATGTAATCACCTTAGTTTCATGTTATAAATAAAACTGAATGTCAAATGTGGATTTTATTTTAAAATGTGAACTAATGTCACCAAATGTAAAATGTTTTTTTTTTCTCAGAACAATGATTTACTTTCAGGTCAAACTACAAACCAGAATATTAAAAATCCATCTGTGCAGCTAAGATTTGAATTATTTTACTGACATCGTCCAGATTATTTCTGCGTGTTTTATCTGACGCCCTGCCTCATAATTTACTCCACCTGAACTGTGACTTGTTCAGTTCTGTTAGTTACTTTGAGGACCGTGTCACCTCAACCACACCTGGAAATGGGCTCTGTTTATCTCCAGCAGAGACCTTTGAAGGGGCGGGTGTAGAGCAAGATTTTTAAACAGATTCACTATCCAACAAGTTTGAAAATTCAGATAATGAGACCATTGGGTTCAAACAATGTAATATAATCTAGGAAAAGTATTTAATTTAGTGTTATCTGGTCGGAATTACAAAGCATTCAAAAAAACTAAAGTTTTAAGTATCAGGCGTGACATTAAAAGCAGACGCTTTGATGCTCCACCTGAGAGTAAATCTGTAAGGCTTGTTACCAGCATTCAGACATTCTGTTTGCTTCACAGACAGGACAGGGGGAAAAATAAAAAATAATCATGTGGAATCACACCACAGCCACACAGATGGTGACATTTCATTCCATTTTCAGGATACCACATACACCACGGCCATAAGTTTGCTTCATGGTGCTGATCCAGAATATTTCCAACAAATGTATTTATGGTCACATTTGTGTGAGGCAGAACATTATATGTGTAACCCTCTTAAAACCAGGTTAGTTTTATGGCTGTAAGATTGTAATAAGTGCAAAGCGTTTGTAACTGCTCCAACCTCATCTTATAGAGCCTTGTTGGTTGGTTATTTCTAATGTGACAAGGTGTAGAAACGAGGGCCCGGGCGGGATTCGATCCCCAGACACCCGGGTGAGAGTCACATGTGCTAACCAGTCAGTCAAAGGGACATCCCCTTGGCCAAGTAGCCAGAGCGCATGATCAATCGGGACACTGTGACAGGACGCTCACACTGCCACACTAATTAATTCTGGAAAAATGCAGCTTATGCATATAACATGTTTTAAAAGATCTTCAGATAAGAACAGCAAGCCTTGGGTGATGATTCTTGTTTTTGTTAGTGGTTTGTCACTACACAGGGTGAATTTCTACTTCACAAGTCGTTCCATATAGACAAAAAAAATATCACAAATTTTACCTCAGATCTGAGATAGCTGTACATGTTGGGAAAAAAAGAGCAGTAGCTAAAGAGATTGATGAATAATATGTGTATGTAAAAGTTGAGTCATTAAAAGACAGAAATCACAACCGCCCAACAGGAAGGAGCAAGCACAACTTCCGTTTTTCACAATAAATCGATAAACAAAAGGCGTTTTTTGTTTCATATGCACAGGTTTAACAACTTTTAACAACTATCAATGGCGGCTGAAGTTTAAATGCACAAAAGTAAGCCATAAATACAGTTCCCACTATCAAAGTAGTCACACTTTGTTGATCCAAACACTGCTGATCTCTGAACACAAATGATGGGCAGATTAAACAGTTCATTTCGATGCTTCTCCCACACAACGGGTGTTTGGATCTAACTTCCGTGTTTATTGCTCGGACTGTATCGCAAGATCTCGAAAATCCCGCGCATGCTTGTTTGCCCACCTCAGGTCTCCGCACCGGAGCGGAGCCGTTGTAGAGCGGATACCAGTAAAAATTGAGTTCGGAAGCGAGCGGCTGCGGAAGGCGGGGGCGGACCGGAGCGGAGCGGAGGTAGTGGAATTTGAGGGTTAAACCTATATCGATATTTTCCGATATTATATTTTAATGTCGATATTAATTGTAGATAATATCAGACCCCCCTAATTTATATATAAAAAAATCCTATCTCACCCAATGGGTGGTTTCATCCTTCCAAGCTCGCCAGAGGCCAGGGAGCTTGAAGGTTCTGCGGAGGTTCTATGGGGATTGACGGACCTCAATCCCCACACTCATGCAAGGAATAGTTCATAGTTGGCAGCCCTGTAGTATATTAGCTGTTACTGTAACTGCACTTTCTGATATGTCTGATGTTTTTCCTTGGATCTGCTTTAGCCACTCCTCCAGTTTGGGGGTTACTGCCCCGATGACCACGGGCACCACCGATGTCGTCACTCTACAGGCTTTCTGAAGTATTTCTTTAAGTCCCTGGGGCCTCATTTATCAAGCTTGCTTACGCACAAAATGGGGTCGGAAAACTGCGTAAGCAACTTTCCACGCAAACTTTGGGAGTTATGAAAGAAACCTGTGTGGAAAAATGTGCGCAACTTTAAGTTGACTAAGGACCTGGCTTACGCACATGTTAGACATGGAGAGCACCTGCAGTGCTGCTGCTGAGAAGGATAACATTATGAAATCCAGCAGCATTATCACTTGTACTGCTTCATTTTCACACAGAACAAGACCCCCCCCCCCCCCCCCCCCACACACACACACACCCCACACACACACACACAGCCTGAAGTGCAGAATACAGAATGCAGAATATCAGCAGGGGGACAGATTGAGACAGAATGTCATGCGTCTGTGACAGTGTGTGTCCTGTCACTGTGACACGAGGGATCATGCGCCCTGGCTACTTGTACAAGGGAGATCTCTGTTTGGCTGACTGGTTGGTGCGCGTGACTTTCACCCGGGAGTCTGGGGATTGAATCCTGATTGGACCATTTTTTTTTATATCCGCCACAGATCTCTCTGAAGAATTCACAACATTGACGGCTTCAGCAACACTGTGCCACTCCGTGGATTTTCTCTTATTTGTTTTGCAAAAGCACTTCCTTTCATTTCTCCACCTCACCCACAGGTAGTACCTCAGTTTCTGCTTCTGTGAAATAGCGCTTCCTTGATCTGCCTTGATCTACGGTCGCCATGTCATTGGCGGAGCGCTGCAACAGCTGGCTTATGTATATGTATGAGATCCACAAGGCACTTTGCACTGACTATTTATGGCAGTAAGTGGGCGTGGTGAGGGGGTATGTGACTAAAATGCAGCTGAGAAACATTCTCGTTAGTCTCCAATTTATGAAGCGGATATTGCGTGCAGCTGTGCGTACTCCATGTTTGATAGATCACATACCTACTTGGCGTAAGTACATATTTTTTGCTGAGCTTAAGTACGGTTTTAGTAAGGTTTCTATTCAATGTTTGATAAATAAGACCCCTGGGGTCTCATTTATCAAACATTGAGTAGGTTTGTGACCTATCAAACATGGAGTACGGGGGCACAGAGGGACATGATTAGTGCGGTGAACGAAGTGAGGGAAGAACTGCACAGAATATGTAATGTCCTGACTGAAATTTCAGGAACACTTAAGGAATTCGTGAAAATTTAAAATATGAAAATCATGCCTTCGGTGTTGTTTCAATAAACAATGCATGACATTCTGTCTCAATCTGGCCCTGTGAAAATGTAGAGCAGCCAGAAGGTCTTCAAGATGAAAGAAGTAGAGGCAAACTGCAGCTCATGGACATTTTTCCTTGAGAGCCAAAATGCTTCTCAGGCATTTATTTAATAATAATAGTACATTTTATTTCAACAGAGCTTTCTAAACACTCAAGGACACTTTACAGACAGAGATAAAATACACAACAATAAAAGATAGAACAGCATAAAACAAACAGACAGATTGGAGCAAAGAGAGTAACTATTGGAATGCTAGACGAAACAGGTGGGTTTTGAGTCTGGTTTTAAAGAGAGTGAGGGAATCAAAGTTACGGAGGTCAGGAGGGAGTGAGTTCCAGAGCTGGGGAGCAGAGCGACTGAAGGCCCTGCTCCCCATAATTATCAGATGGAAAGGTGGGACAGAGAGGTGGATGGAAGAGGAGGACCTGAGGGAACGGGTGGAGGTTGAAGGATGAAGGAGGTCTGAGAGGTACGGGTAGCTATGTTATGGATGGCTTTGAATGTAAATAGCAGAATTTTGAATAGGATTCTGGAAGTGACTGGGAGCCAGTGGAGCTGCTGAAGAACAGGGGTGATGTGGTGGAAGGCGGGAGTTCTGGAAATGATGCGGGCTGCAGAGTTCTGGAGAAGATGGAGTTTATGGAGGGATTTGTGAGGAAGACCGAAGAGAAGAGAGTTGCAGTAGTCAATGCGGGAAGTGATGAGGCTGTGGACAAGGATGGCGACCGAGTGAGCAGTGAGGGAGGGGCGTAGGCGGTTAATGGAAGGATAGTGAGGAGTCGAGGATGACACCCAGACTCTTGACCTGAGGGGAGGTGGAAACTAAGGAATTGTCGACAGGAAGTGTAAAGCTGTGGATTTTGGATAATAAAGATTTAGTGCCGACAAGTAACATTTCTGTTTTATCACTGTTAAGTTTGAGAAAGTTTGATGTGAACCAGTCTTCGATTTCAGATAAACAATTGGTGAGGGAGGAAGGAGGAAGGGCCCTCCCCTCACAACTTGCTCGGGATACAAAGCAAACATGAAATCCCAAATGGTAACTACATCCACACCAGTGCAATATTCACATTTCACTCTGGTTAAAATATCCCCCATCACAGTGCCAGCAGGCTACAGAAATAAATTACAGGGGCGAATGGGAAATCATCCATACCACTTCGTCACAGGCCCCCTGCTGATATTCCTCATGTGGGGGTGGGAGCTGCACTTCAGGCTGGTCAAGGTGAGGAGAACGAGGTAGCCCCGGTGGGAGAGGAATGTTGTTCCTCAGTGCGATGTTGTGCAGGACACCGCAGGCCAGAATTATTCTGCATACCTTCTTTGGGTTGGTATAGCAGTCTGCCCCCTGATGCATCCAAACATCTCCACCTGCATTAAATATAGTCAATGGCGCACTCAATAACAGAGCGTGCATGCCCATTGACTTCATTGAATCACAGCTCCTCTGTGTTCTGCAGGTTGTTGAAGAGACTGTGGAGCCAGGATCTCAGGGGGTAGCCACTGTCACCTGTGTGTTATACCACAGTGATTGTAATATGCAGTGGTTTAAGTAATATAAGTGTGGATCTACTTACAGAGGAGCCAGCCATCATGCACAGCGCCTGCCTGCAGTCTTTAGCTCACACTATTGTGCGTCTGGATAAATGAGTCATGTGTAGACCCAGGCCAACGTGCCACCATATTTGTTAGAACCATGTCTGGCCCACAAATAATTTGGACGTTGATGGAATGTATGTTTTTTCTATTTACATAAACATATTCATTCTCACTAAGAGCCCTTATAGCAACATGAGTGCAGTCGATAGCGCCGATTACATTTGGAAAACCGGACGTTGCTGCAAATTGCGCTTTAATGTTCGCCTGTTCTCCGACAGCGTAGGGAAACTTCATGTATCGGACTGTCATTTTAATGATGCCATTTAAAACTGCAGGCATTACGATGCTCAGGGATGACTGAGATATTCCAGATCTAAGGGTCACATGTATTTGCTATCCAAAGAAACTTTGGGCAGTAATTAAAATAATATCAATTCGATCAAGCCAAGATGACCCCACCTGTCTGCTAATTCCAACGAGCCGGTTGCCAGGAACCCAAGAGTAGTCCTTCTCAGCAGCAGAACTGCAGGGTCTCTCCATGTCCAAAATGTGCGTAAGCAAGGTCCTTAGTCAACTTAAAGTTACGCACATTTTTCCGCTACGTTTACTTTTATAAATCCCAAAGTTTGCGTGGGAAGTTGCTTACGCAGTTTTCCTCGCCCGTAAGCGAGCTTTATAAATGAGGCCCCAGGTACTTCTCTAGTTTCTAGTGTTTCTTTTACTTAATGTTGCCATCACTTGGTATTGCCACATCAACTACAACGGCTGTCCTCTGGTGTTTGTCCACCACCACAATGTCTGGTTGGTTCACCATCACCATTGTCGGTCTGGATCTGGAAGTCCCGCAGGAGCTTGGCTTGCATTGCTCAGTTCTTTTAAAACAAAAACAAAACAAACAAAAAAACCTGCAATAAAACACACACAGGAGAAACTGGACCCCAACTCAACACACGAACAATAGAACATAGACAGGAGTGTGAGAAGGAAACAAACCGAAGACACACAAGGGCAGCGAAACAAGAAGCAGAAAGTACAATAAAGAAATCAGCCAAAACAGACCACTGCATAAGGGAAAACCATATAATGGACTGGGACAGAAAAACTATAATAAACACAGAGCAACAAAAATATAAAATCAAAGAAGCAAAACAAATGAGACGTGGACACGGAACCATGAAAAGAGGCGATGGAGTCTACATGTTAAATCACACATGGGACCGTGTCATCGACAAAGGGCGCAGGTAGCAGCGGGTGACATTGTCCTCTGTTGCCAGCAGAGAAACGGAGAAGGGAGTGACGCCACCAACATTAGCAGAGCTCTGAGGATGGCTATAGTAATTAGCCAAAAAGTTAGCAAAACAAGCTAAAGAGCAACTCTTTTTTTTCTGTGTTTTAAAAGAACCAAGCAATGCAAGTGCACAAAATATAAATAATGAACATACAAGATGTTTAAGGAGCTTGGCTTGCTCATTCTCCACCATTTTAGGGTATGTCCCACTTTGACCTTGGGGCTTCCAGTCCATACTCTGCACAGATTTTACTGTAAACTATGCTTTCCCTTCCAGCATCTTCCACCCTGCAGTTATGTGGTGGATTGTCTCAGGGGCCTCTTTGCATAGCCTACACCTCGGGTCTTGTCTGGTGTGGTCTTGGCCTCTGTTGCTTTGGTGTTCAGGGCCTGTTCCTGTGCAGCCATTATGAGTGCCTCTGTGCTGTCCTTCAGACCAGCTCTTTCTAGATTTCTTGATACCAGCCACTTCCGGTATCTGTTGGTGGTAGGTTTGTCCTCCCAGTCCCACCTCGTCTGTTCACCCTTGTCTGAGACATTCACTGACCATATTATCTGTTGGGGCCTTGTCCTTGATGTACTTATGGATTGTGGATGTTTCACTCTGGACAGTGGCTCTCACCCTCACTAGTTCTTGGCCTCCTTTCTTACGGCTAATGTAAACTCTCAGGGTGCTGGACTTGGAATGGAACCCTCTTCTAGGAGTGAGACCTCTTTTGTGTGGACTGCCTTCTTTGTCATCATCTGACCTCACTTTTCAAGTCCAAATGACATTCCGACATCAGTGCTGTAGATCCTGCTGGTGTGGATCAGTAAGTCGATGTCTCATTCATTCTTGGCGTACAGCTACAGCTTTATGTCACCCATGTAGAGGAGGTGGCTGATTGTGGTTCTATTCTTTAGTCGGTATCCATGGCCAGTCTGATTATTTGGCTGAGGGGGTTCAGACTTATGCAGTAGCAGTGGGGACAGGACGTCTCCTTGGTATATGCCACATTTGATGGAGACTTGTGCAATTGGCTTGTAATTGGCCTCAAGGGTGGTTTTCCACAGCCCCATTGAGTTTGCAATAAAGGCTCTGAGACTCCCGTTGATATTGTACAGCTTCAAGCATTCAGTGCAGCATTGAGTCATAGGCTTTCTTGTAATCAGTCCAGGCCGTACACAGGTTGGTGTGTTAGGGTTTGCATTCTTGAGCGACTGTTCGGTCTACCAGCAGCTGGTGTTTACTGTAATGCTCACCTGTTCCAGCCAGATACCTGCATCATGGGGTTGATCTGAGATGAGGAGGAGACTCCTGTTGTTTTGTTCATCTTCATCATAATAATGACAACATTAGATAACAGATGCTCCGGTTTGTGCTGCTGAACATGTCTGAGCAGCTTGACCATGTTGTTGTGCGTCGGGGAGGAAAAATAAAAACTACAGCAGCCATAGAGTCATGCTGGTTTGAGCGTGTCGCTGCTCGCTGGAGTTATATCAGCTCTGTCTGGAAGTTAGTTGGAAACCTTCCTCTTTCAGTCTGAACACATTACTGAGTGGTTAAAATCTCTATTTCGGGGCTTTAACGTTGGCAAATAGCTGAGTAAACTCGGCGCTGAATGAGAGGAGTGTTTAGTTTGTCCGAGACAGCGAGCTGCAGACACCGGCTGCAGACACTGGAAAAAACACAAAGGAGGGGGCGCTTCGGCTCCACGCTTATGGGAGTTGTAGTATTTGCGGTAAAATCGGCCAGCAGGTCAGTTTTAATATATTTTTGATATTTATCTCACGGGCCACATAAAAATGCTCCGTGGGCCTTGTGTCTGACACATGTGAGAAACTTCGTCTGCACTGTTCGCCAGTGGTTCCATACCCCTTTCTCCAGGCCGGCTGCTCCTCTGTTGTGCCCTCCTTTCTACACTTCTCCATGCAGTCCTCCTCCTTTGCTCGCTCCAGGCCAGAGGAGCGAGTGACAGAGCAAATCATGCATTACTGGAGGGTGGACATAGAAGGACCAAGCTCCTCCACCCTTTTTAGTCCGTGCAGGGAAGGGATGGGAAGGGACGGGACCTGCCCTGGTGAGCCTATTTTTAAAGGAAGCCACCAGAGTCCTGATTGGCTGGCTCCCTAATCAAGAGAAAGTGGGTGCAGGTGGATCAGTTCACTCTACTCTGCCACACACACACACACACACATATATATATATATATATATATATATATATATATATATATATATATATATAATTTATTTTATTTTACTTTTGCATATATGCATATATGTAACAAAAAAGTCAGTCTTGGTAGTTTTTATGAATATCTTCTATTGCTTTACTCGTATTTAAACCAATATGATATATATTTTTTATCAATATACCACTTGTTTATTTTTTTACCAAAGAACCTAAAACCTTCCAAAATAAATTAATTTATAATTTCATATACTGGCTGTATGGGATGATCTTCTCTTATTCAAAAGGAAACAATCATTTGGAATATTTGCTGAATTAAATATGCAACCCATAAAACTACTTTTTATTAAGTCTTATTTAAAAATGGCTGACACATTTTTCTGTATTCATGGTATTCATTCAGAGAGCATCTTCTTAACTAGCACCTTGCCTGCACCCATCCCCCCTCTCTACTGTCCACTCCTTGTTCCCTACTCTCCATGACTGATGTCAATGTTGTTGTTGTTATTTTTGTTGTTAGCCTCAAGGGCAATATGCCGATTATCACTTGTAAGTCATTCTTTTCAAAGCTTGAGTTCTTAGATGCTACTTTCCTGGATAAGCTTGACCTAGTTTTTATTGAAAAAACTTCTCTTGGATCTCCAAATGTCAATGTCAAGTTTATTTATATAGCACATTTCCAACAATCAGAGACTGCACAAAGTGCTGTACACAGACAAGCAGTAAAAATAAACTGATAAAACACTGACAGCCTTCCAGTAGACCCTAAAATTAATTAACGATAAAATCAGTTAAAAGCAAGTGGGCCAAATTGTGTTGTGCCTTAAAACAGACCAGTAGCATTTTAAATTGAATCCTGTAAGTGACCGGGAGCCAGTGAAGAGCTTGTAAAACTGGTGTTATGTGATTCCTGCGTCGCCTACCTGTCAGCAAGCGAGCTGCCGCATTCTGAGCCACCTGCAAGCGGTGAATTGATGACTGCTCCAGTCCATGATAGAGTTGCAGTAGTCTAGTCTCGACATGATTAGCAGGTGTATAACCTTTTCAAAGTCTTTGAGTGGTAAATAGGGCTTGACTTTACTAAGAACACGCAAATGAAAGAACAAACTCTGGACAACAGAACTTATCTGTTTATCAAGTTTAAAATGGCCTTCAATGAAAAAACCCAGATTTCTTGCACGCAAAAGGATTCTAAAGGGCCAAATATGCCGTTTACCCCATGCAACAGCCCAGGGTCCCCAAATGTGTGAAATGATATCATGTTCTTTATTTTCTGTTGTTTGGGAAACATGAAGTTCAGTTTTGGGAGAAAATAAATCTGAATGACTTCTAAGGTGTAAGTTCATCCATGCTTGTCTGTGCCCTCTCCGGTCGGTGACGCCCTTCGTTTTTACCCCCCTGATATTTGCGGTCAGAGTGGGGCTCCTCTCTGTCCTGCTCTAAACTTAGCCCTGACGGTGTCCCTCCTCATCACAACATGCACACCCCAGCAGAACACAAAAGATGGTGTCCAGTTACCACACATGTTGTCGTATCTCACTGCTGATGCCATAAAACAGGTGAGTTGGAGCTGGATTATTCACTGTGACACATAATCTGGTACATAGCTGCCTTGGTTTTCTAACAACTGGTGGATTTCTCTGTGTTGGGATGGGCATTGTGTGAATATTTACTTTGTGGCACCAGAGAAACAGTTGCCTCTTCTGTAACACTGGCATTTCATTTCTGCTCTGATGAAGAGGTATCCGCGTGTTTAAGCTGTTTGTTCTGGAAATCACGAGTTTTTATTTATATTTCTCCTAAAGACCGAGCCTGTCTGATCATCTATCTGTCATTTATCGATGTAAACTTGAAGCTTGGGCAGTTTTTTTCTTCTGTCTTTTACTTCCTGCACTTTTACTCCCCTCTGGATGTGCAACTACAGCTCAGCCCTCATTCCTGGTAAGACCTGCAGCTGTTGTTTGTACACTTGTTTACATTCTTACAGACAATCCTCAGTGTGCATGTGGCTTTTAAGGTATTTGGTCTTCAGCTGATTCTGGTGTTTGGTCTCCATTTTTCTAAAAGACACAGAAGAGTTTGAATCAATTGTGAGTGCAGTGAAGGTTGGGAGAGAGCCTGGAGCCGATGATGGAGATGAGAAGTTCCAGTCAGAGCTTCAGACTCTGGGAAGTATTAAATGAAGCCACTGGAAAATCACATACGCTTGGTGCTCTGGTTAAAAAGCAGTGTGTGTGTGTCCTCGTTCCTTGGGATAAATTTAACTTTTCTGAGCTGACTTACACACACACACACACACACACACACACACACACACACACACACACACACACACACACACACACACACACACACACACACACACACACACACACACACTGCAACAGAAGATATATATTGAGGTAAAGCAGGTTGTCCTGTAATCGGATGGTTGTAGGATATTGATCCTGGTTCTCTGCAGATGTTTCTGCTGTTGTGTCCTTGGGCAAGACACTTAACCCCCCCCCTTGCCTGCTGCTGGTGGTGGTAAGAGGGACCGATGGTGCTGGTGCTCCACTGTGTGCCCCACACGGTAGTGTAAAGCGCTCTGGAGACCTCCGACTCTGAAAGGCGCTATTCAAGTGTGGGTCGTTTATCATGAGACCAGTTTGAAAGTCGCTCATTCTGCCTTAGATCAGCTCTGTCTGATTTTTACTTGAAAATGAAACATAAGAATCTATTAACCATCTGGTTTCACATAAAGTAAAATTGAAGTCATGATTTATTCAGATTGAACTTGAGTTGACTGAAAAGTCAAACTAGGCTTGATTTGCAGGTAGCAAGTTTGATTGAGGAGGAGAGAAGGGAAAACGGTGCCATGAATTCTTCAACACATCAGGAAAATCCTCAGGGAACAAATCACAACAATTCTTCTTTGCAAGTGAGTTTTAACCTTTACAATATTCTCCCTTCTAATAGAAAATGTTTTATTCCAAACAGTTAATTCTGTTTTTGTACCTCCTAGGCAGCAGATAAGAGCGTGCCGATGGAGTCTTTCTCCTCCCTGCTGCCTAAAGCTCTCGCTGCTGTCCTGCATCCAGCTGTGAATTCAGAACACCAAACAGGAAGTCTAGAGGAAAACCTGAAACCAAACCTAGAACAACTACAGACAGAACTCAAAGTCCTGAGGGACCAGTTTGAACTGATGAAGAGTCAGCACAAGTAAGGCTTTTATTTTGAAATTACCATCCCAAAACAAAACAGTTTAGCACACAACCTGTTTGTGCTTCACTTTTCATGTTCCAGCAAAGAAATCAAGCTACTGATGAACGAGCTTGACGAGGAGAAAAGGATTCGTTTAACGTTGCAGGTAAATGAAAAACTCATGTTCTGTAGATTATTTAGTTAAATCTAAGAAGTTTGAATTTTAAACCTGGTTTGTGTGACTGCCTCCCGATTTACTAAAGATGGAAATTCAGAGGATGAAGAAGCACATGTCAAAATGAGCAGAGGACATCTATCTGAAGAACTAAAAACTTCTCTCTGATAAGAAATGATCGTGTTTCTGTGGGAAAAGTTTGTGAGAAAGTGAAAGAGAGAGAAGACTTCTTCCAACTTTCATTTTGTTTTATTTTCTGTTTATTTTATTAATTTTACCAAAAGCAGCTTCAACATCCAAGTGGAGCAAAAAATATCCTGAAACTGTGGTTCAGAGCTGGTCAGAGACTCTCGTGGAGAGAAAAGATGGGAAATGACAGCCCCATGGTGCAGAGATGTCTTTATTATGACGGGATGAAGACAAACATCAACAATGCTTCTGATCCCATGAATAATTTCTTGGAACGATCTAAGAGCCTAATAAAACTCTTCTCCAAAATCAGCTAAATCTGTAAAATCTTGTCTCACAAATGAAACTAGACTTATAAACAGTTGACTGTAAATGTGACTTTACAGTGTGTAAAGTAACCGCTGTGATAAACTGATGATCTTTGTTGTTTTAAAGATTGTTTATTTCACTTAAAATGTGGTTTTTACTGTTATTCTGTGGAAATAAATGATAAATGACCCACATATATGTATAGCGCCTCTCAGAGTAAGGACTCCAAAGCGCCTTACACTACAGTGTATCATTCATCCATTCACACACACATTCACACACTGATGGTGATGAGCTACGATGTAGCCACAGCTGCCATGGGGCACGCTGGCAGGTCCCTCCGACCACCACCAGCAGGCAAGGTGGGTTAAGTGTCTTGCCCAAGGACACAACAGCACAACCTTCCGATTACTGGACAACCCGCTGAACCTGTTGAGCTACTGCTGCCCCCTGCATCGTAATGCTGCTGAAAATGAATTAAATGATGTCCAGTTGGCTTCGTACCATATAACCATTTTATTCGTTGATGGAAATGACAGGAAACGTGGGTTTAGAGGTGGTGAGCTCATGAAGAGCTGGAGGAAAATGAGGGACAAATTTGTCTGTGCTAAAAAGTATCTGAAATACAAAAAAAAAAAAAAAAAACCCACAATCTGGACAAATAGTAAATGCACTACTGTTGTTAAAACCAGAAGGCATCTCAAGACACATCTATCCATGCTATTCAACCTTTGTTCCCCCAGAAATAACCAAATTAACTAACTAAATTATATTCAAGTTTATTTGGAAAAATAAAACTAATTTTATACGCAAATCACTATTGGTAAAAGATTATGAAAATGGCGGTTTGAAAGAGTTAAACTTTGAATCCATTATTGCTACATTTAGAACCAAATGGCTCAAAGAGTGCATCTCCTATCCACAATCTATGCAGAATCATATTCCAAATAAAAATTTTCAACAGGGTCGGTGGATTAGAATTTGTGCTTAAATGTGACTTCGATATTTCTAAAATCAAACTTCTACAACCAGGCTTTGGACTTTGGAAAGTTGCTTTTTACCCATAAATTCTCACCTCACAACTCAGCAAAATGGAACAATAGGGTCATAAAAGTCAACAAGAAGTCATTATTCAAATCTGACTGGTATGACACTGGAATATGCTTTATTCATGATTTATTACATATGAACGGAATGATGTTGCCATATGAGGATTTTAAAACAAAGTACGAGATTGCTGTTTCTTACAAAGAATATAAAAAAGTTTGTAAAGCGATCCACCTTTCCTAAAACTTATGCAAAACACCCTGCAATATTCTAAAATCCAAACTCGATTGGCCTAACTAAGAATTGATAACTTTTTACTACACGATAAACAGAAGATATATTATAACTTTAACGTTAAAACTAGACAAGGCTTGGAAGTTACGTTTAGTAAGAAATCCTTTTCCACCTACATTAAGTTTCCACTAAGGTAAAAGAAACCCACTTTAAGATCATATCTGGTATATACTCTACTGGAGATTTCTTATATAAAAGATTCAAATTTGAATCTGACCTTTGTATTTTTTGTTCATCAGAAGTAGAAACGATAGAACATTTGTTTTACTGTTGTCAAGCTATTAAGGTCTTATTGTCTGACATTCATGGTTGGATCTCATTAAAAATGTCCAACATCCTTTCACTGCCAAAGATGTTCTCTACTATGTGGACGATCTGGACTCTGATACTTCTGATACTGTCAACCTCATAATTATTTTGTGTAAATATTTTAGTCATACATGCAAAGGGAAGAATACAATACCTATTTTTTCCTTATTCTGAACTCCTTCATACAGTACTTTAAATCCTTGAAATGTATCACTAAAGATAATAAGAAAACTGCCAAAATTTATCGAAAAATTACAAAATCCATGTTGTTTTAAATGTCCATATATTAATGTCGATGGTCCCAACCCGCTTCAGCATCAGCAACACAATGCTAACCCGAGCTAGGGCTAACACTAACCCGAGCTAGGGCTAATGCTAGCCTGAGCTACTTCATATTTGATGGAAAAACAACAAAGAAGAGTGCTGGATCACCACTCACCTTCCAAGATGTATGGAAATATCCAGACTACGAATGAATGCCAAGAAGATCCACAATGTATGGTATTTGTCTTTTTCCATTAGCGACTGCAAACCCTAGCTCCAAAACCCACCATGCACTTACTTTGCCAGACCTCACCCCCCCCCACCCAGCACACACCTGGCCCAGTTGGCTGGGCTTATTACAGGGTTGTATGTGCACATTTATCAGGGCTCCCAGGACATTGTGAGCCCCAACAAAGTTGCATATGCTCTATAGGGACTCAAAGATCAGTTTCCATTTGTAAAAAAAATCTCTGTCTAAATTAATTCTGTAAGAGTGTGCACTTGTTGTTTTGATCTGTTGTTTGTCTAAACCTGATATAAGAGATTTTAAATCTCAGGAGTCTTATTTCCTGATTAAATAAAAGTAAAATTGTTGTCGTGAGACGAGAACATTTGTGATTGTTACATGCTTTTTAAAAAAATTATAATTCAGTTGTGTCGCAGAAGCAATAAGTGAAAGAGGCAGGAATAAACTTTTTTATGTGCTTTTCAGCTCTAATAAGATGAGGTTTTTAATTAATTTGACATTGTCCATCTTTCGCCATCATTTAACCTGAAAAGTTAAGGTAAATTCATGTTTTTTAGATGGCCTAGACTAAGACAACCCACTTTTGTTGTTTAAAAAAAACATATTTTTTGTTTTTTTAAGTGAATTATAACAAATTATTTAGTTTCTTTAATTGTCTTTTTTATACAAGATGCAAGTAAACTCTTTTTGAAAACATTTATTCTTAAAAAACATACAAAAATTATCATCTCCTAAAAGCAAATGTACAATATGAGGAAAATATCACATTTCAACATCAGATAACAGTCTAAAAATGTGGCCGACCAGCTGCTGCATGTTGCTGCTCTTCTTGTCATGTGACGGTTCTGGTTCAGTCTCAGAACAACGATTCTTCACACAGAAGAAGCTTGAAGGTGACTTCATGATTCTTTTCAAGAATAAAGTCGTACCGACAAAGAGGCCTAAAAGACAATATGAATCAACAGGTGCGACCGGGTAAAACCAAATCTAATAAATTATATAAACAAGTCTGTGTTGCATACTTCTCCTTGTGTTCCAGGTTAGTGACACGGATTTTGAGGACTCGGAGCTTCTGCATGTGTTTGAGCAATTTCCCAGTGGAAAACGTGAGGGAGACCTCCTTCACAGACTCTATGTCTTTGTCAAACTGAGCAAACAGTTTGGTCTCAGTGTGCTTCCTGAATTCGACATCTTTGCTGTTTTCACAAACAAAATCACACTGGAGGTTAAGATGAAATTATTTACATTTAAATTAAAGGAAGACTTACTGATCAATGACTGCGACTGCTTCTTTAGTGCCATTGTTCAGTTTAACGGTCAGGTATCCCCAACGTGAAGACCTGCTCCAGATCATCACATCCACCAAGTAGTTTGATTCTGAGAAGGATGGAAAAAAGATAAAAACAATTCAAATAACAAAATGATTATTTGCTATACACACTAAATGCCATTCATTCTTTAAGAAAAAGTGCATTGTGACTGCTTTCTAGCAATAAACTTTTTTTAATGACTTTCTAAAATGTCAAGGTCACTGTACAGTAGGGGCTGCATGACTTCATTTTTTTTAAGTCGACCGTCAAGTAATGAAAATCTTGTCGACTTTGACTAGTCGTTGATGACGTCATACACCTGAAGAGGCTAAAACTGACGATGGGTGACCAAGCGTTTTTTTTCCCAACGTAGGGGTGGGGGGGTTGGTTGGTTCGCTGGAGTCTTTGACAATTAAAATTGCGCTCACATTTTCAAACATCTCTTCTAACAACGGTAGTTTCTGCATCTTTACTGTTCCCCTGCTTCAGCCCCCCCCCCCCCCCCCCCCGCGCAGCGACTGCAAACTCACTGATGCACCTGCAGCCTCTCAGAGTATCTGCTGCTCTAAACATTAAAATAACTATTTCATTTTCTGTTCCTCACTTCTGATTACCTTCAATGGTGTCTGTTTGTTGCAACCACCAGGTACAAAAACTAACTTGTTTTTATTTGACTATTTTTCTGTCCTGTCTCTGTTTATTATCCTCCTGCATCTCCTCTCAATCCTAAAGAAAAACTGCTACCTGGCTTCATATATATTCACCTTCTGAGTTACCTTTGACCTGCAGTTCTAAAAGATCTACCGACCGCAAAAACAGCAGAGTGTGCGCCGGCCGCACCGGTGAGGTGCGTCACCACCGGAGGACAAAACAGGTGATGTACTCCGCTCCGCAGCAGCAAAACTTATCAGGCACAAATAAGACAGAAAACATAAAAGGAAATGAGCCGACATGAACGATCGCGTGTTAAATTTGTTTTTGAGGTGGCGACACCTAATTTGATAATGTTACTGTGTAATGTGTTACAGGAGCAGATGTCTGGAGCGCGTCAACGATCAGAGCTTTGCATGTGCAAGCTGGTTAAGGTTAGGATGGGGGTGAGGGGAAGGTTAAATTGTAAGAGGGTAAAGGTCACAATTCGGTCAAATGTCCGTTTTACTGCGGGCGTCAGATACCGACGCTCTGGCACAGCGCATCGCCTCCCGATGCACAGGGGCTCGTCACCTGTTGTCTTTTCCGAGGACTGCATCTTGTCGGTCATTATCACGTGACAGCGACTAGTCGATGAAAGTCATAAAAAGTCACTGCTGACTAGTCGACTAGTTGATACAACCCCTACTGTACAGTTGGGGGAAATAAAACATTCAAAACAAGCACACCAGAGGAAATGAATTACAGTGAAAAAAACTAGTGAATGCAAACCCAAGATAAAATGCGTAAATTACAGTCACGGAGAGTTTTGAGTTTAGCCTATATGGTGAAGGGTAGTGGCATTTCTGAATTCAGCTGGTAATGAATTCCAAAGGGAGGGGGCAGATCTGCTGAATGCTCAACTTCCCATGGTGACAAGACCAGCAGGGGGACTGTGCAGGTTAATGGAGGCCAGGTAGGGTGTAGATACTTGTCACAGCTGCGAGGGATATGAGGGGGCAAGGTTATGAATGGCCTTGTAATCAACCCTGAATTTTATCAGCAGCCAATGAATGAGATTGATTACATGAGAAGCAGAGTTTTGGACCAAGATTACATAGAGACTTATGTTGCAAACCAAAGAGCAGTGAGTTACAATAATGTAGGTGAGAAGTGACCAGACTCTTTACTAAAATAGCGGTGGAGTGATTAGACAGAGCTGGATGTATGCGGTAGAACTGAAATGAGAATGGTAGGATGGAGTGCTGTCCAGAATTACACAAAGGCTCTTAATCTGGTCTAAGCAGGTAAAAGTAGTGTTTTCTGTTGCTAATGAGAACTTTGTGGCTTTCTCTAGTGCTGATTTTGTGCCCAAGAGAAGCATTTCAGTTTTATCAGAGTTCAGCTTCAAGAATCTCAATCTATGTCTAATGGGCTCGACACACGGGAGGCGACAAACGACCGCGATCAGTGAAATTTGTCACTGTCGCTTTTATTACCTGTCACATGGGAGGCGATCCGCGGCAGCGGCCAGCGGCAAAGCTGTCTACGCATTCTGTTCCATGGCGAAATCGAAACTTCCGTTGTTTTGTTTGGCTGTGTCAGGTTGGAGGGAATTAAGGTTATTTAAGCGGTTCAGAGTTAAAAAGTGGTAGATATGTTTCACAAGGTGCTGCTAGAGTTATGTGAAATCTTACTTCTGATTTTACCATAAAACATAATAATAATCAACTTCTCCTCCATGTTTGCTCGGAGATGTGCAGAGCATCCTGTCCGCTCATTGGTCAGTGAATGAAACCTCCGTTGATTGGTCCTCGCCCGAGCGACAGCGATGAAAAGTTGAAAATGTTTCAACTTTCTGGGATCGCGTCGCTGGGTCGTCCGTGCACGACACATGCACGAGTGCAAACTTTCACACGCACGTTTTTCGCGTTTCGCTTAGTAGGAGAGAAACCCGCGATTATCGCTTTGTCGCGCATGTCTCATTGAAAATGAATGGAGGAGAGGCGATGTCGCCTCCCGTGTGTCAAGCCCATAAGTATCCAGTGAGTGAAGATGGTAGAAGCATTGTAGTTGGAGCAGTTGACATATATAACTTGATATCATCAGCGTAACAATGAAAATTAATGTTATATTTATGAAAGACTGAACCCAGAGGTAGCAGATAAATTATAAATAGTTGGGGGCCGAGGACAGAACCTTGAGGAACCCCAGATAACACATGAGAAGGAGGGAAGGTAAATGTGTTCAACTGAATACATTGAGTTCTATTTGTAAGATATGAGTTGAAACAGTTGAATAAAATGCGAGAGATACCTATAGACGGATATGGCGAAATAACAGGGAGTTGTCATTGTTCTGGTGATAGTTCCCAATGCGTGAAGCGGGCTTTTGAAAATAAGCAGCAAGAAGTTGAACTTGTTTCTTTTGTGAACATGTTATAAACACAAAGTATACTTTAGCAAATATTTCCATTTTATACATAATGTTTTATTTGCTTTTCCTAATTCTAGAGACTACTTACTGAAAAATGGAGATTTATCATTTGTGGTGAAATAATATTTAGCTTGTTTCTGTTTCAACAGGATGTCTTTCCACTGTATGACATCATACCCTAAAGAGAAGAAAATAACTGCATCACTTTACTGTTAAATGAAGGAGAACATGCATAAATATTCTAACACCTTTTTAAAATAAAACCAAATTCTAGAAATAAAAACACCAACCAAAAAGAGGACATCCAGCATCACCAAAGCTGTCACAGTTTAAACATTTTCCATCCAGGAAGTCGTTGTAGGACGAACAAGGGTAAGCCCGTGCAGAGTTTATTCCAGTAATGGTGTCAATGAAAAGTATCACGGATCTCTGGTGGTCACATTTAAAATATTCTCCTCCTGTTTGAAGCGTCAAAAATTTAAATGTTATTTTTAAACATTTCAGCCACTTTTTAGAGTAAAACACATTCATTAATCTTATGGACGTACCAGAGAAGATGGTCTTAGGACAGCCAGGCTGGTCTTTGCCACCATTAGCATAGAAGTCAATGTGACCCAAAGGTTCCTTGTAGCCCAGTGCTAGACACACACACACACACACACACACACACACACACACACACACACACACACACACACACACACACACACACACACACACACACACACACACACACACACATATAAGACAATCTGAGAGTCTTCATGATTCAAATTTGGATGTAACGCAGTGCTTTAAATACGACACTGCTCATAAAGAAAACAGAAATGTGACCCGTAATTTTTGTGATGCTTGATATTATCAGCCCCAACATGTAATTTAGAAATGACCAATATAAGATTTTACTCTATTAACGATGCCACTTTAACATACCATGCACATTATATACATCAAACTCTTCAGCTTCTTCTCCTCCCTCTCAAAATGTCTACATATGACAGATCTGTATAGTTTTAGAGGTATTTTTGTTTGGCACAACTGGCCTAAATAAAAAAAAAAGTCATATTTGAACAGATAAAGTTTAAGTATGTTTGATTGGTGATGTGTGATGTGAGCTACCTAAAATTATTTAGTTTCAAGTTTTTTTAGAGGGGGTGGCATGTACATTTTGGTATTGGTTTATACTGGTGGTGGAAATTAGACTAAATTGGTAAATCTGATATCAGGAAAAAAGCTAATTGAACATCTCTAATATTTAGACTTAAAGAGACAATATGCAACTTTTTCTAAAATTTAAATCCTTTTCTTGAGCCAGTATGTGCTGAAATGACTCTTTACAGGGTTAATGAAAGGCCACCCAGCCCCTATCGCCCCTTGTGAGTAGAATATTCCACTTGCAACTTCACAGTTGCTGTTCTGGTCCGCTGGGACTTAAGCCTGATATATACTTGTCTGTCTGCATCGGTGCGGAGACACGCAATGCCAGTATGTGTCGGCGCAAGGGCTCACAGAGGGTGAGGGAGACATGACCAAAATTTTAAACATCCGTCGAAAGTGACGGAGACCGCAAGCTTGTGATTGGTCAGGACGCTGCTTCCTGTACAATCAACATCAACACCACTGTAGCTCCATTAAAAAGTAAATGTCACAATCTGTCTTGTCTCCCCAGTTTCTGTTCAGTCCTGTGTCCATGTTAATCACCCCCACCTGCATCTCGTCTCCCAATCACTCAAGGTCCCAGCTCCTCATGTATTTAAACCCTCCGAGTCTTGTCGGTTCATCGTTTCATTGTCCGTCTGTTTCTCATTAAAGACTTTTCAACGTTCTTATCAGCCTGCCTGTCTTTCACCTGCATTTGGATCCTCACCTCAACCACTCGCCTCACCTTCATGTAACAGTAAACAAATATTTAGCGGCAGACCCTGAACAGATTGAAGATAGCAATCTGAAAATGTTAACATTTATTCACCTGTGAGTGAAAGAGAACAAAATACAGAGCAAACGTGGACGAAAACGTGGGTTTAGAGGTGGCGACCGCATAAAGAGGTGGAGGAGAATGAAGAACAATTTTGTCCGTGTTACAAAGTCTGAAATATATAAACACATTAATAAATACACTATCAGGGACTGGATTTGGAGCAGGGTGGAGAAACAAGGGCCCAGGTGGGATTGGATCCCAGACACCCGGGTGAGAGTTACGCGCGCTAACCAGTCAGCCAAAGGGACATCGTGGAGCTCACTGAGAAGTATAAGTCAGACTTAAAAAAAAATTGAGCTGATGTACCTGCCGCTGCAGCCTGCTTCCAGCACGTTTCCTGCATGTTTTAGATCATGAACCCAGCTGATTTGTTTAATTTAGTGATGAATCACTCCTGTAGACACTTAGGAATGCTGGGAGATGTTTCTGCTGGTGATTTAAGGTGTTAAAAAGATGAACGCACAGCGAGGAGATAGTTTTGCCCCTACAAACAGACACTTGAAGGGGCTAAAAGCAAGGAAATCTGCTTAGTATCCCTTTAAGAGTCCAATGTGAGCGCCCAAAAAAGCTATCGGAGCAAGCTGGTTGCTGGTTGCGTGTTCTCAGCTCAAATGTTCTGAGCTGAGAACACACAATTTGTGCACATAGAGAGGTTTGCAAAGAAGGGGAAGAGACAATCATGGGCAGTTTGATATATGGGTTATGTTCTAGTTACTTATAACTACAGAGGTTATTAAAATCACTTAATTTATAACAACACAGTGATCTCCTAACTTGTGAAAAGCATTTTGAGCCATATGGTCAAAAATGCTCCAGAAAACCACCTCACACTGCACCTTTAATATAAATAAGTATTATCTAGTGATATCTATTGCACTGACCGTCTATGTCTGTGTGCAAAACATCAACAAACTGGGCATCTGTTGGGTCCAGGCGCTCTTCTAGAGGTTTGTACGAGAACTCAGGCCCAGCAGCATCCAGACCTGCAAACAAACACAGTAAACCTCAACAAAGTTTTTACTAATCAGGTGAACGCAATAGCAGATTGAAGGAGGAAATAGCAGCATGTCCGGCAGCATGAAACTTCTTTATCTAGTTTAGTAAAAAAAAAAAAAAAAAAAAAAAAAAAAAAGAAAGAAAGAAAGAAAACGCTTTCAATTATGTCAATTAAGAAAATGTTTAAAGGTTTGTTTCTGGTTCAGAGATGATACCATTTAGATATATTTAGTTGTGTGACATCAGGATTAATATGATTTTTTTGTTTTTGCTTACCTGTGATTCTTCCAATAGAGCCATTAAAAGTAGCTCCCACAAAGCCTGATATATGAGCTCCAAGGCTGACTCCAATCAGGTGAACTGAACTCAGAGAAGCACCACCATCCTGAAGGGAATTATTGTTATCTTCAGATCCCAGGCAAAGATTAAACAGGAACAGTAGCATTTTGGGGGTGCCTCATACCTGCATCTTTTGAATGAAAGCTGTGATGTTGTCTGCTACTTTGCGTGTGTTCTCCACAGCTTTGAGATAGTTGAGGGTGGCAGCTCCTCGGTTCCAGTCCACCAACACAACGTTCATGTCTTCCCTGACCAGCAGTCTCTCTGTGATGTCCAGCAGCCATGTGGGAGGAGATCCTGTGGGCCGGTACCCGTGGATGATGAAGGTGGTGGTGTGAGACAAGTTGAACTGGGGATGCTGGGTTAGATTGGTGTGAGAAATAAGAGTGCCACAGGTGTGGTTATGCCTGGTGTACAGCAACAACCTGACTCTGACGCTAGTGCCAAGGAATGCATGAGCCAAATTCAGATCTGTGAATTTATCACATCTCCCAACAAGGTGTGCTGCAAATAAAAAGAGAAATGAAATCAGGTTAAAAAAAAGTTGCACAGTCTCTAAACATCAGTGACTTATTTTAGGTTTCTGTGATGAGCTGTATAGGGAGCCTTAAGTTTCCTACTCTTCTGGTCGGCTAATTTTTCCCCAGAACAAAGAAAGAAAATTAATGGATGCTAATGGGTCAATAAAAGCAATTTTTTTTGTTGCTTTTGCCTGTGTCCTGTCCGGTAGATTCAGCTATGCCCCATCTGATGTCAGAACTTTATTAGAAATGCTTTAGGGTGTTTTAATTCCCAACAGACACGGAGACAGAAATGAAAGAGAAAAGGGGAAGAGGAAAGGAAGAAGTGTGTGTGTGTGTGTGTGTGTGGGGAGGGGGGGGGAGGGAGGGTTCACAAAAATAAACAACACAGGATGTACAAGAATCTGCTTTTAGACCTGCAGAAATGGAGAGAAAACAGAAGGGGACACACAAAAATACAACAGAACAAAAATATCACAGAGCTAACTACATGAGGACATACAACAATAACAATTTTCGCTGAAAAACACATGATAATTATTCATAGTGCATTTAGTGCCAACCACAGCCTTAGGTTGTGTGTCAAAAATGCCCAAGTCTAGACTTGTGAGAGCACCATGTGAGCACCTTTGTGCGTACACATGCTTGTGTATGCAAGGTTTCTCCACAGGAGAGTTCAATAATGAGTGTTGGGGTCCAAAGCCCAGAGATCCAGAGGTTTCCCCCAGAAGGATACTGCAGGGAGACCGCCGCCGGAGCAGCCCCAGTGCAAGACACTTAACACCCATTGCCTGCTGGTGGTGGTCAGCATCTGGCTCTGCAGCTTCACCTCTGTCAGCGCGCCCCAGGGCAGCTGTGGCTACACTGTAATTCATCCCCACCAGCGTGTGAATGTGTGTGTGAATGGGTGAATGACTGATTTTGTTGTAATGCGTCTTGGGGGTTCCAGGAATCTAGAAGGCGCTATATCAAATACAGACCATTTACCATTTTACCCTCTTCAGAAACCTATGGGTGATGTCACGGGGGTTTGTACATCTTTTATACATATATACATATATATATATACACACACACACAGTCATTTGTTGATACACAGCTGACATGTTTAGTAACATCATTTCACAGGTATAAAAACTTGACTATTATTATTCTCTTGCGGCAGGTGTGTCTGACCTGCAGTGTGGGTGTGCCCCAGGGAACAGTCCTGGCTCCCTTCACTTTGCAGATTTCAAACACAACACGGACAACTGTGTTCTGCAGAAGTTCTCAGACGACTCCGCGATTGTCTGACTGATCACCGAGGATGATGACGCAGAACTTTGTGGACTGGTGCCAGCAAAACCACCTCCTGACTAACACAGGGAAAACAAAGGAGATGGTGGTGGATCTTCGAAGATGCCAGCCCGCCGTTCCTTCACTGGTGAACATCCAGGGAACGGACATTGAGAGTGGAATCCTACAAATACCTGGGTGTTCACCTGAACAATAAACTGGACCGGTCTCACAACACAGTGAGGTCTGTTGGAACAGCAGCAGCATCACAGAGAGAGAGAGAGAGAGAGAGATGAAGAAGCTGGACAGATTGATAAAGAAGTCCAGCTCTGTCCTGGGCTGTCCTTTAGACTCAGTACGAGAGGTGGGGGACAAGAGGGGGCTGGCAAAACTCAGATCCTTGCTGGACCATGAGTCCCCACCCCCACCCCCTGCAGGACGCCTTGTCTGCTCTGCAGAGCAGCTTCAGTGACAGACTGATCCATCCTCGCTGTGTGAAGGAGAGACACTGCAGGTCTTTCCTTCCTGACGCTGTTAAACTCTAAAATGGTCACTGCTAATATGGAACCCAAACATCTTTAACATTCCACTACAAATACGATCATCATTGTGTGCAATAAATATCTTGACTATCTTATTTACATTTTTACTCTCGTGTTAAGTCTCTTGTGTGCTGCTGCTGCTATCCGCTGTCCCTGAGCGGTTGAAACAATGCAATCTCTCCACTGAGGGACAAATAAAGGTACCCATCTTCTTTTATCCTCTCTGTGACCACCAGTCCTTTTATTGCTCGACTAAAGTTACAGTGTACTTAAGTACTTCCCCTGGAGAGTTGTGCATGACCTCATCAGAGGATAAATGACTGTGGTTTTTCTGTAGTAAAACTGCACTTGTGATACACTTGATGTGACAAGTCACCATGCTTGTGGGATTGCGTGTAAACATCATGCACGCACACTTAAAGCTCACTATTGAGTCCTACCTTTGCATAAGTAAAGTGTTGTCAGCAGGAATGGAGTCAGATACTGCCACAGGAACATGTTTGACACAAGTAAGTGAACTGTAGAGAGAGTAAACCAGTCAAACAATGTTTGGTTTAAAATAAAAGTTTTTTCACACAAACACAACAAACTGTGGTTTTATTTGCTCTGCGGGAGCCTGCATGGTTACTGATCTACTCACTCTCTGGCCTGATAAACACGGTCATGACTGAGTAAAAAAAGATAACTACCTGCTTAAAGAGCAGGTCTAAGTTTGGTCTCTCACAGGTCAAAATTCTGTTGAGTTTTTTGACTCCACCCTCAGAGATTAATCAGAACCAATAGCACTGGCCGGACTGACTCTCTGACCTCAATGGCCTTTCTCAGACTGGTTTACAGATGTTTACTTTGATCTGATTGAATTCATTCTGAAGGCTGAGGGGATAAGAAAAGTTATCTAGTATCAGTCTTACCTCTGCTGTTGTGTATTATTCAGTGTGTCAAAGGTCCAGAGCGTCTCTGTGTTTACTTCAGGAAGTGAGAGGAGAAGTAACAGAGTGCTCCCGCCTTGCGTGCTGTCACAAGGAAAACCACACCCCTCAGCCGCCTCACTCTGTTCACTGGTGAAAAACTACAGAGAGGTCCGACCTGTTTTCTGGGAAATCAGACGCTTCTGTAAATGACTTCTTGTTTTGACTGTAAATCAAACCTCCCAAAACCACAACTGTAGGGACTTTCCTGAAGGAATCTTTCAGCTCTGCTAAAAAAAACAACCTTGTTTCCAAACAGGTGACATAAAACCTCAAAGGCATGGCAAAGCTTTAGAAACTATCAGAAGGAATTAACTCTGTTTTTACATCACTGTGGCCACGGTCTTTCATCTAAACTCAGATACCTTCAACAAATGTCTTCATCAACAAAACCATCTTAACAACAAAACACTAACTATCATAGCTTGTTTTCTTTTCAGATCCCCGTCACACGTCTTCTTTCTGTAGAACAGGTTGTTCAATTTCTAATCGCAATGACAACAATGACGATTATAATGGCTGCATGCCAGCAGCGTGAGCATGAAACACTCCTTAACTGACGACGAAACCAAACTACTGCTCTTACTGTTGCATCAAGGCTAATACTCTATCTGGACATTTTCAAGCTCGTATTCACCCGTTTTTCCCAGTAAATGGGATTTGATTGCCCACATAAATGAATGCCTGTGAGTCACTTTTATGTGGAAATGATGCTCTCACGTTCCTGTTTCTTGGGGTAAAAGATTATCAGATAAGTGAGGGTGGAAAACCACTGGATTACCAGTCTAAAGCCTGTACTTCTCCGTCTTCTCCGAGACGCGCATCACCATTATTCATGGGTGCAAAGTCCTGGTGGGAATTGCTTTGCAACACTCTTCATCTCCATCAAAGCGTGTGCGCGACTCCACAAGTATAAATTAGACTTTAAGCCTAGTTTATACTTCTCTGTCTGCGTTGGTGCAGAAACATGCAACGCCATTATCCGTCATCGCAAAGGCTCTCCAACAGGCATGCAAGGACGAACAGAGCAGAGCCCACTTTTCTAAATATGCATCGAAAGCAACAGAGACTGCAAGCTTGTGATTGGTCAGGTCTTCGCTTCTTTAACTTTGTCAACATCACCGCCATTCCCCCTCAAAGCTTAAACAGAAACTGAACTAATGTAGCGAGAGACACGGAGCAAACTGATGAAAGACTCTCAGAAAAAGTCAGACGATAAAAGCGTTTATACACCTGTGACTGAAGCAGAACAAATTACAGGAAATGTGAGTTTAGAGGTGGCGACTGCATGGAGGAGTGGATGCTAAAAGTCTCATAAAGTAAATAAACACAAACACAATATAAACACACTATGACATGCCTGCAGTCATGGCAGGATAGCCCAGAAAAGTGCTTCACCCTCTGCCGTCCTGGCAGAGAATTATTCACAAGACTGACACACCAACAGAGAAGTGTGTGTGTGTGTGTGTGTGTGTGAATGCAAAGTTGCTGATGGAGAGGTGTAAACTTTACTCAACAGCAACACAACTCTTCCACTGTCAGTTCCTGACGTTAGCTTCTGTAAGCTGAGACATGCTCCGCTCCCTCCTGGCCACAAAAATCAGTACAGCCTTCCTGTAGGCTGTAGGTGGTTGTAAGGCAAAGTGGGCGTGGCCGTGGATACTAATTTTCCTTTTGAAGAGACTGGCTTTCTCTGACCTGATCATTTCCCCATTCATCCCTTTTCTACAACTAATGCAGACTGAAGAACCTTTCTACATTCACCACGCACCTCAGAGCGACCGATCGCAATTCAAAGAGAACAAGCAAGTGTTCCTCAGTGAATGAGACCTTTAAATCCAGAAGTGGTTCAATGGGAATTCACAACAGTATTAGCGGGTTAAATATTTTATTCGTCACACCTATAATCTCTGGCTTTATTAGATTACAGGTATGAATAAAGAGTGAAATATTAAACTACAGTGTAAGAAGTAAAAGAAGTGCCTATTTGCATAAAAGTCGTTTTGGTAGTTGGGAACAAAAAATGTGTTATTATTACATTCATTTGCACAGGAAACTAATAGTTTAGATGCAAAAGAAAAAAAAAACTTTTATTACTGATCGTAAAAGAGTTTTACATCCTTGAGTAAATTGACCCGAGTGGCATGAACTTTGCCCCCACACACTTTCTGTCATCAGGGTCGGGAAGGCTGATGGGATGAGCACTTAACCACACAGATTCAGAAAACAGCCTGTTGGCTGAGAGGAGCAGCTGGGCTCACAGTCGACGGATCATCCAGGATGGCCAGACGGAGACGAGGACGAAACAGCAACGGGCAGAACCAACAGAACCGGAGAGGAGGAGGAGGAGCAGGAGGAGGCTCTCGAGCGGTAGGCCTACGTTTGTCCTGAACTGAGCTTCTGGGAGCAGATCTTTATTATATTCTGGTTACTTGAGAAGGTGATCATGATGCAGGGATCAGAAGTGCATGCTTCCTGGTTATTAATTATCTCAATTATCTGAATAAATGTTTAGATTTTTGTTTGCAGCAAACAAAAACATTACATAATAAATCTAAGTTTTATTTTGGACTAGTTTGTATTAGTTCTTTCATCGGATACATTCGAGTTTATAAGGTTTGTGTTTCACTCCGTTCCTGTTATAATGAAACAGCACAAGACATTAAGCAGCATAAATAACATTATTTTTCCCATATAGGTGAAACGTGCGTAACATTACGTTCTTATTGACTTTGTACCAAAGACAGGACAAGAGTTCAAAGTGTATCTTACAACACGGCAGATATACGTCTCTGCTCACAACACAAAGTCCAGGTGGATGCTCGTTGCTTCAGAGTGATGAAGCTGTTCATCCATGTCCTTGTCATGATGTTCATGTTTATCTTTTAAATACCAGACCACCTCTTTTTACGATTACAATAAAAAGGGTCTGGTGCAAATATGTCATGGTGTATTATTCTGTTTCAGACAGTTTATTAATGCTTCACCATTTCAGACAAGCTTCCTGCACGCAGTTTTTGCTTTGTCAGTGTTCACATTTGAAGTAACTGCCAGTAATACCTTCCTCCTCCCATGCTCTAAACCAGGGGTGGGGAACCCTGGTCCATCGAGGGCCACTATCCAGCATATTTTAGTTTCAACCCTGCTTCAACACAACTGACTTCAATCAGCAGGTGATTAACAGGCTCCTGCAGAGCTTGATGAGCTGCTGAACAGGTGAATCAACCGCTGAATCAGAAATGTTGGAGCAAAAACATGCAGGATACCGGCCCTCGAGGACCAGGGTTCCCCACTCCTGCTCTAAACACAACAAAACTGGAAATGTTACGATTGCCCTCAGGAGTGACGTACGCGACTGTGATCATGCATACTAATAAATAATGGCATTTGCATATCATGTGCATGCTCAGAGTTTAGGTAAAGACACTGAACCTGATTTTATATGCTGTCTTTGTCCATCTTATCTGTTTGTGTTCAGGCTCTGCGAGAGCCAGCGCCCTTTGCCAAGCCAACAGGTTGTGAGTCAGACATCTCCCTCGACAAGCTGACAATTGCTCAAGCAAGGAAGGGAACCCCAGGTTATTATTTTCTACGTTTTTATTGTCATTGCTAAGTGATGTTTATGTTTATGTATTTAGCAGACGTACAGGTGACAACCAAGCCATCAGGTTGCCCTTGAGGCTAACAACAAACACTATTTAGTCAATCCTAGTTGGCAGTGAGGCAGCATAATGAATAATAATAATAACAATGAAAGAGGGACGTGAACATGGAGTGTGCAGTGGAGTGAGCGATGGGTGCAGGGAGGGTGCTAATTTAGTTGATGCTCTCTGAAGAGTAGGGTCTTCAGGAGTTTCTTGAAAATCAACAAGGAAGCCCCTGTTCTGGTAGTTCCGATGTCCTGAAACCAAAATATTAACTTTGAATGATTTCAACATAACAGCTAGAAACAGGCAAACACCTCCCTCAGCGTGATTCAGTTTTTATAACAGCTTACTTAAAGAGCAAGCCACTCCAAATCAACTTTTAATTGCTGATAAACTGTATAAACGAGTGTAATCATGCTGTAGACACGTGTAGTCAATAATTCAACACTTTAGTGCATCTTAGTTAAAATTTAGACATTCTGCCTAAAACTGTCAGTGTTGCACTGTCGTCAGGTAAAAACTCAGCACAGAATTTAAATCTGCCATCGCTATTGGCTAAGAGGTACACTATGATGTTAGATGGTACATTATGATGTCACAATGTCCTTTTGAGTCTGTGTGTGTGTTTGTCAGCGGCTCCGCCCTCTTGGTCTACTAGGCTGCAGCATTTGTTGCATTTTTCAAACAGGAAGTGGAGTAAGAATTTGGTAGGGGGTGACTTGCTCTTTAAGAAATTAAAGTTATTTATGCATCAGTATGTATCTGATTAAGTACAATATCATGACATTTCTCATATGACAGAGTTTTTGTTCTGAATTCCCGTTTGTCTCGAGGATGTAGCATCTTCGTGATACCATATTTATTTATTTATTTATTTATTTTGTAGCTCATCGTCCTGTGCGAGTCTACGCTGATGGGATCTTTGATCTTTTCCATTCGGGACATGCTCGAGCTCTAATGCAAGCCAAAACGGTGTTCCCCAACACACACCTGATAGTCGGAGGTAAAGTATGAATCTCACTTAAACATGAGCGTGAATATTCACAGCTAAACCAGGAGCTTCTAAAGTCAAACCTTTAATGGACAATTCAGACCTTATAAAGAGTGTTATGGAAAGGTTATGGCTTACCTGTAAAACAGAAAAGTTCTCCTCAGTTTTAAAAATTGGGGATTGGTTCTGTCTGGACTGATGAGCTAAAGGCTAGCTACAGCAGGGCCAAGACAAATGTGGAATTTTCCATCTAATCACAAACTTTAGATGTGTTAAATTAGATTTTCAGTGATGATACACACACCAGTAAATATTGGTAGTCCATCCAATCAATCATCAACCAATCAATCAATCAATCAACCAATCAAAGCTTTATTTATAAAGCGCCTTCCGCGACCCTGTCGGGAAGCCCAAGGCCATCCATCTATTACAATTATTAGCAACAGCCTAAGCAGAGAGGCCCAGACTTTCCTCTCCCCAGCCACTCGTGCCAGCTCCTCCGGGGAATCTTAAGGCGTTCCCTGGCCAGCCGAGAGACATCATCCCTCTAGCGTGTCCTGGGTCTTGATTTAGGTCTCCTCCCAGTTGGACATGCCTGGAAAACCTCACCAGGGAGGCCTCCAGGAGGCATCCTTATCATGTGCCCGAGCCACCTCAATTGACTCCTCTTGACATGGAGGAGCAGCGGATCTACTCCAAGCCCCTCTCGGCGGATTGAGCTTCTCATCCTATCTTTAAGGAAGAGCCCAGAAACCCTGCGGAGGAAACTAATTTCAGACGCTTGTATCCGCGATCTAGTTCTTTTGGTCACTACCCAGAGCTCATGACCACAGGTGAGGGTAGGAACGTAGATCAGCCGGTGAATTGCGAGCTTCACCTTCCGGCTCATCTCTTTCTTCATCACAACAGACCGGTACAACGCCCGCATCACTGCAGACGCAGCACCAATCGATCTCCCGCTCCATCTTTACCTCACTTGTGAACGAGACTCCAAGATAAACACTGGTAGTGTTTTCTAAAATCCAAAATAAATCATTTCCAAGTTAAATCATGCTGCAGAACAGGCGACAGTGGCAGACCAGGATACATCACCATGAATCCTCGTTGTGCTGGCAGGATTATACACCCGGACTAAACAGGGTTACTGTTGTTCCTGCATGCTAGCTGCCTGTAATGATAATTTTAGAGGATCTTTGGATTTATATTTGGTCATTAAAATGAGTCTTTGTCACTTTGTGTCACTAGTTTGCAGCGATGAACTCACTCACAAGTTTAAAGGATATACTGTGATGACGGAGGATGAGCGTTATGAAGCCCTTCGGCACTGCCGTTATATTGACGAGGTGGTGCGCGATGCTCCCTGGAGTCTTACCCCAGAGTTCCTCCACAAGCATAAGGTCAAGAGTCTCGCCATGATGGGTTACACAGCTCTTTACGTCATACAGAGAGAACAACAGACCAGAAATACTTTTGTTTCTTCACAGATTGACTTTGTGGCCCACGATGATATCCCGTACACGTCAGCTGGATCAGAGGATGTTTATAAGCACATCAAGGAAGCAGGTAGAGGTTCAAACAAACTCTTAGGATTTATATCCAGTTCTGCTCATTCTCTCCCTGGAATCAATTTTCTGTATTCAAATTAGGAATGTTTGTGGCCACGCAAAGAACAGAGGGAATCTCCACATCAGATCTGATCACCCGTATTGTCCGGGACTACGACATCTATGTTCGCCGCAACCTGCAGAGAGGCTACACCGCTCGTGAGCTGAACGTTGGCTTCATTAAAGTGAGTAAATATGAAGTATTAAATAAAAATGTGTACATTAAACTGTTCATATAAGTTGCCCCTCCCCAACAGGAGAATAAGTATCGGCTCCAAAACCAGGTGAACAAGATGAAAGAGACGGTCCGAACAGTGGAGGAGAAGTCGAAACACTTTGTCAACAGGGTGGAGGAGAAGAGCCAGGACCTCATCCTCAAGTGGGAGGAGAAGTCTCGAGAGTTCATCAGCAACTTCCTGGAGCTGTTTGGACCAGACGGAGCTTGGGTATGTTCGATTTTATTTTAACAACAGAATACACCGGGTTAAAGGGAAAGGTTCGGGACAGCAGCAGCTCAGGAGGTCAGTTCGATCCCGGCTCCAACCAGAAAATTCTGCTGTTGTGTCCTTGGGCAAGACACTTAACTCACCGTGCCTTTTGGTGGTGGTCGGAGGGACCGTCGGCGCCAGTGTTTGGCAGTCCTTGCCTCTGTCAGTGCGCCCCAGGGCAGCTGTGGCTACATCGTAGCTCATTCCCGCCAGTGAGTGAATGGGTGAATGACTGATTGTGTTGTGAAGCACCTTGGGGGGTTGCAGAACCCTAAGAAGTCGCTATGCAAACACAGGCCATTTACCATTTCCTCAAACAATTTTTTGAAGTGTTTTTATATTATGTGGAGTCAAATAGAAATTGTCCCTATTCTGTCACTGTGTCTTTGGGAAAACCACCTTACCTGCCTTGCCTCTGTTAAAAGCACCATGGATAGATGCATTTGCAAAAACTTGAAGTAAATCTTTAAAGTAACACAGAGCAGTTTCCTGCTCCTCTGCCCTACTGGTTGAAAGAGGAATTACAACTGTCGTAAAAACCCTGCTGTAGCTAGCGCCAACAACGAGCAAACACTAACATGAGCCAACTAATACAATAAACCATGAAGCAAAAAGATCCACATTGTTGGACAAAAATATTACTTTCAAGCCCAGTAGCAACAAAGCCAGGTCACCATCAGTCTGTGATTTAGCCCCCTTTAGCGCCCTGTAACTGTGTTTTAGCTCTTTGTGTCAACTCATTACGCTCTTACTTTTACTTCCAGGCTCAGCCATGATTGCAACAGAAGAAAAGCAAACTTCTTCTGCTTTTTATTGATGATCGACAAACTGGCTAACCACTCCACAAAACTATCAACTGCGGTTTTTGGTCCTTAAAAGGCTGCAGAGCGATGTCAAATATGAAACTGGTCAAGTTTCTAATTTCAACAATCCTTGAGATCAATGTTAAAACTCCAGCTTAAAGTTTAAAAAATATCTGCTGTTACTTTAAGCCCCAAACCTCTTTTAGTGCCCTCACAGTGTCACGATTAGGTCGGAGGAGGTCGGACCCAAAATTCAGAAACCCAGAACAACTCGAGACAAGAGAGGTTGTAAGAAAAAAAATCCTTTTATTAAGGAGGTTAAGCAAAATCCAAAAGAACCTGAGAAACTAGAGGGGGACAAAACCAACGCTGACAACATCAATGGACCGACAACACAGAGAGACACAGGCAGAGTATATATACAGACGCTGGGTGATAGGAGACAAGGGGCAGGTGTGTGGGAATTGGGCACAGGTGAAAACAATGAACTAAGGAGAAGCAGAAATAAGCAGGGGGAAAAAACCAAATATAATCCTGTCAGGGACTTGCATACTGTGACAGCTGCCCTGCTGCCACAAATCCTGAAAACTAAAGCTACTGAAATAACCAAATTAAACTAAAAACATAACAGAAACAAGGACACAGGGCAATCTAAAAAGAAAAGAAATGATCTATGTGGGGAAAGGAAACACACACACACACACACACACACACACACACACACACACACACACACACACACACACACACACACACACACTAAATGAGGCAGGAGAACTGAAACACTAAACCAAAAGGTGGAGAGAATGGAGAACACGAGGGACACAGAACATGACACACAGTTAAGAATGTTAATGTTCTCTTTGCAGCATTTTATATATTTGGGGCAATAAGTGTTGTAATTTTGGATGTAAATAAAATATTGATTTATAAATTTGATCGACATGACTGAGTCAAAGATCAGTTAATGGGAAACATTAATCAATGCCTTTTGATTGACAAAATGTTCCAGCCAAGAATGACTGTTCTCTTTCCTTTCCTTTCCTCAGCATGCATTCCAGGAGCGAGGCGGCCGAATGCTCCAGGCATTCTCACCCTATTCGTCCCCCCGCGGCTCCCCCAGCAGCAGTCCCACCAGGCAGCGTTCTGTTTCATCTGAGTCACTCTCCTCCTTCGCCTCTCCTCCTTCCTCCCCATCATCCACACCTTCCCGCAAAAAGAAAACACGCTGCTCCCTTAAAACGGGAAGCCACTAGTCATCAGTTTGGTATTGAAAGTGGCTAATAGTGGGGATTAATGTGTATAGATTGAGCTTGTTAATTTATTAAGATGTTATTAAAGTGTGAGTCAATTATATAATAATGTAAATTATTTACATTAGTTGACGAGCAAAAATAAAACCTTTTAAAACTTGAATTTGGATTAAAAAATGTGGGGAAAAATACGTATTATGTTTGTTCAGACAAAAGACAAAACTCCCAAATATACTCTTCTAAACTCCCCCCCCCCCCCCCCCCCCCCCCAGTGAACAAAAATATCAAGTACTGCTTCAAATGGAATACTTAATTGGCATAAATGTTGGGAGAAAATTTGTTTCTGAGTAAAAAATATAAAACACACAAAAGCACCCCAAAACATCTGGATCTTGTATTTTACAAGCTTATGGATCAATTTGTGAACTAACTCACCATAGAGCATTATTAAACACGGTTTTATAGGCTTCAGATGTTTTTCTTTGCCATTCTTTACAGGATTGGATGGTAGAGCATTGGCTAGCACAGTTGTCTTGCAGAAAGAACGGACGCATACCGAGGCCTATGGAGCTAGCGTGTTCTCTTCATACATGTGTGGATTTTCTCCAGGTTCTCCGGTTCCCTCCAACAGGCCTAAAATGTGCATGTACGGTTGACTGGAGACTCTAAACTGTTCTTAAGTATGAGCGTGACAGGTTGTCCCTGTGATGGACTGGTGGCGTGTTCAGAATGTCCCACACCTGTCCCCTGATGAATGGTGGAGACAGACACCAGCTCTCCACAACTCTAGTGAGGGGTAATGAATGGGTGGTTGGATTATCATAAATGCCCCTAGCAGGTCTGTAAGTGATGATGCATTTTAGTTGTATCCAAGGGCGTCAGTTTGTTTTCAGAATTGCTGGGGACAATAACCATACACTTGAGTGGGGTTTAAAAATTGCTGGGGACAATAAAGGCAGGCTTTTTTGAAAGTGTGTGTGTGTGTGGGGTGGGGGGGGGGGGTGGGGGGGCACAGCTGCCAATCACAAATTTTGCCGGGGACATGTCCCCGGCGTCCCCGGTTAAAATGACGCCTATGGTTGTATCTTTAATTTTCCTCAACATTTGAATCTTTTGATTATATTTGGCGTTTTATATTATCTTAATGTGGAGGTTTGTGTCTAATTCAGAGGCTGTGGTCAGAACAGGGACGTCCCTGCTGCTTAACAAAGCTCCCTCTCACTGGTGGGTCACTGCTGGCCGTGCCAGGCTGCTGCGGTGGGTAGAAGGAAAGATGAAATCACTAGATGGCAGCACACAAAGCAATGTTTAGCAATGCTGCTACTTTATAATTAATCAATTCTTCATTTGATTTTCCTAATTCTAGAGATTACTTACTGAAAAATGGAGATTTAGCGTTTGTGGTGAAATAATATTTAGCTTGTGCTCCTCTGGAGGTTTGTACTTGAAAGCAGACCCAGCAGCATCCAGACCTGCAAACAAACGCAGTAATAAACCTCAGAAGGTTTTTACTAATGAGGGGAACAATTTTTTCCGGTTCAGAGATAATGCCATTTATATATTTAGTTGTGTGACATCAGGATTAATATGATTTTTTTGTTTTTGCTTACCTGTGATTCTTCCAATAGAGCTATTGAAAGTAGCTCCCACAAAGCCTGATATGAGCTCCAAGGCTGACTCCAATCAGGTGAACTGAACTCAGAGAAGCACCACTATCCTGAAGGGAATTATTGTTATCTTCAGATCCCAGGCAAAGATTAAACAGGAACAGTAGCGTTTTGGGGGCGCCTCATACCTGCATCTTTTGAATGAAAGCTGTGATGTTGTCTGCTACTTTGCGTGTGTTCTCCACAGCTTTGAGATAGTTGAGGGTGGCAGCTCCTCGGTTCCAGTCCACCAACACAACGTTCATGTCTTCCCTGACCAGCAGTCTCTCTGTGATGTCCAGCAGCCATGTGGGAGGAGATCCTGTGGGCCGGTACCCGTGGATGATGAAGGTGGTGGTGTGAGACAAGTTGAACTGGGGATGCTGGGTTAGATTGGTGTGAGAAATAAGAGTGCCACAGGTGTGGTTATGTCTGGTGTACAGCAACAACCTGACTCTGACGCTAGTGCCAAGGAATGCATGAGCAATGCTCAGAATTGAGATTTCATCACATTTCTCAACCGGGTGCGCTGGAGATGAAAGAGAAAAATTTAATCAGGTTTTGAATAAATAAAAGTGTGTGAAAACATTTAGCGACTTGTTTCAGGGTTCTGTCATGGACTATATCACACATCCAAATTGGATTTTAACCATAATGTCAAACCTCTAAACCTGCACAAACAAGCTGTTATTTTTAATAATACGTATAAAATATTGGCGCTTTGGTTGGTGGTTGTCCTCAGAATACAGTTTCTAGTCATTTCAGGGTGGTCTCCCTTGTTCTCTTTAGAGGTAGACCCCACAAGAACTGTTTCTTTTTTTTTTTCATATTCATCTTTTTCTTCATTTTATTTCTCAAAGGACACAGAGAACAAGACAATTGCAGTTCTTCATACATTAATAAAGTTGTTAGTATAGATACGTTGAGTTACACGTTCAACTTAGAGTCCTTACATATTGGATTATTTAAAGGGGTACTTTGCAACTTTTTCATATTTTTAAATCCTTTTCTTGAGCCAGTATTTGCTAAAATGAGCCTACAGGGTTAATAAAAGGGTCCCAGCACCTATCGCCCCTTGTAGCAGGAATGTAGCACTTGCAGCATCTCAGTTCCATGCTTTTGTTCTTTTTAAACACAGAAACAGTTTTGTTTACCTGTTTTGTAGCTACAGTTTCGCCGACGGCTGCCGGCTTCTTCAGGCTGACAACGTCCTCTGCTGCCCGCAGACGTCCTCTGAGTCTGAAGAAGCCAGCAGCCGTCGGCGAAACTGTAGCTGCAAAACAGGTAAACAAAACTGTTTCTGTGTTTAAAAAGAACGAAAGCATGGAATTAGAAAGACACAGCAAGAACACACCTAAGATGTTTAAAGCATCTCAGTTGCCGGTCTGGTCTGGCTGGGAGCCAAGCAAACGGATGTAGCCACCTAGCTACAACCGGAGCTAACTCTGTGGAAAACCCAACGACCGCATGGAGTTCAGGTGGAGGTTTGCGGCGCATTTTCATGAAAAGTACCTTTCTGTGAATAAAAAAAATTACATCGGTAAGTTTATAAGTTATTTCCGTAATGAAAATATATTTTGCTTTGAGCAAGTTTTCACTATTTTTAACGTACCGTATTTTCCAGACTATAAGTCGCTCCTGACTCGCACCAGCCATTAAATGTATAATGCAGAAGAAAAAAACATATATAAGTCATATTTTGGGGGGACATTTTATTATTTTTCTTACAAAATCTGAGACCAAGCGTTTCACATTGCAAGACAAGTACCGGTAACAATAACAGAATAATGCGCCACAGCAGCGCGCCACGGTCTCCAGTAGAGGATGGCGGTGTTTGAAACCCTCCCAGCGGGACAGGGGAACTCATTCTTGGGTCGGAGTCGGCCCGCAGCAGCACGGTGTAGCCTACATATTTTTTATATAAGTCGCTCCGAAGTAGCAGGACCGGCCAGACTATGAAAAAAAGTGCGATTTATAGTCCGGAAAATTAGGGATGCACCGATGGATCGGCATTTATCCCAATCGGCCGATAGCGCCCCTATCGGTTTTGATTGGAGTTTTCAAAATAGATCAAAGCAGACCGATCAGGTAGGGTTGTCACGGTAACCGGTGTAGCGGTAAACCCCGGTAAAAAAAAAGTTGACAATAATAATAACCGTCTTGTTTTTTTAAAAACTATATTATCTCGGTGGATTACCGTGGCTGCGGTGTAGGCGCGGTGACCCTTACCAGCCACCGTATCATCTGCTGAAGTTGCCGGCGGCACATGCGCGCTTTGTTGTTTACAACCAAAACTTTCTTGAAGCTAAAGCTGAAATAATGGCCAAAGGAGGAGATGGCAGTGCTCAGGAGGACATTTTTTATCCCTCAAAGAAGACAAAGTCGGAAGTACGGGCATCTTTTGGATATATGAAGAATGCAGAGGGACAGTTGATAGAAGACGGCTATCTTGTTTGCAGCACGTGCAGAAAAAGTGTCTGTGAAAGGCAGCAATGCTTCAAATCTCACGACACATCTGCGTGACCATCACCCACAACTCTACAGTCAATGCAAGGCAAGCTAATGTTAGCGTTTTAGCTAAAATGTGTGATCCGAGGATTTGGGTTGAGGGAGAAAGCAACGAGTCGCTATATAAAGCAGCCGAGCGCCGCTACCTGCATATAAACCGTGTCACGGACACCCCCATGTTGAAATGACGCTATGCATTACGGTGCTCCCAGGGGCAGATAAGAGTTGGTCTCTCCGAGAATAATTATGAATTTAACAATGATTACTGCCTGATGACATTTTCCCACATCTGCAAAGCTCACTGGAAGGACACAAACCGAGGACAATATTTTCCTGATATAGGGTTTATTACTCAAGTAAGGGTAAAAAGGTATCTGATTAGAAGGCTACTTGAGTACTGAGTATCATCTGGTCTAATATTTTTAAAACAATGACATCAAACAGACATAAAATAAGAAGTTATGGGCAAATATTGGTATTTTAAAGACTAAAGGGAAAAAATGTAAACAAATAAACAACATAATTACAAAATAACACATTTTAGGCAAAATTTAGACACAAACTGAGGACAATATTTCCTGACATACAGGGTTTCTTTAATTGTGTGAAAATGTAGCACGTTTAAAAAAAATACTGCGATAATACCGAAAACCGTGGTAATTTTGGTCACAATAACTGTGAGGTTAAATTTTCACACCGTGACAACCCTAATACAGACCATTTTAGATTAGGTTACATTTCCTTTCTTCCCAGATTATGTAGTTTGTAGCACTCATTATAATGTTGTAGAAAATTTCTGGCCAATCCAAGTGATCGGTATCGGTGATCAGCATTCTTTGATATTGGTATCGGTGATCGGCAGCAAAAACCTGATCGGTGCATCCCTACGGAAAATACGGTTATTATTAGTATTTGAGATTAATTAGCAGGCTAAATACATTTCATATATTTCCAAAACGTAATACTTGTTTGTATCTTGTACAGCCAAGTAGCCTTTATTCTGGACTCAGTACAATTCACCAAAAGTAAAGAGACATTATACAGATGAAGTAAGCACAAGATAACTTACTGGAAGAAAGAGAATTATTATCATGAGAACCAGAACAAGGCAGCCTGATAACAGTCATGTGAAAATAACAATTAAAAAGTATGTATGTTTAATAGAAATAAAAATATATTAGAATTAGTGTAACTCACTGTGATCCAAACAATAAATCAGCCATAGCTGATTAGCAATCATGAAATGAGGTCTGGGAGTTTTTAAGTTTCATTCTTTTATTACATTTTTTTTCTGAGATCTGTTAAAAGGTCAGCATG